CGAAAATTTGTTTGATTTGCTAGAGAATTTTTGGTTTTTGAAAAATCACCCCCCCTGTAAAATGTAGCTCGCACATTACTGTTATTGGTGTTTACTCTAACTCTAACGATACTGCGCATTTATGTACAAAACTTGGGAATAGGTTTATATAATTGTACCAAATGTACTTAATGATATCACTCATTTTTTTAAATTGTACCTTACTCGTTTGGATAATATTTGAGGGTCAAATTTTAGGCACTTCAATTTTCCAGTCAATTAGCCAAAATAAAACTCAACGATATTTTAAAAAAATTTATGGTTGATAATAATTGTACCTAAAATGTACCTTCAAAATAATCTCACATGTCATTACTTCTATGGTGTTGTTTCTATATTTTCAAACGTGAAAGTCTACTGTAACACAGGGTCGAAAAAAAGTGAATCAGTCACTATTGAGTGTAAGTGACTATAGTTTGCTAAATTCATTAATTTTAAAATTTTGTATGGAAAGCAATCGTCTATAGTCACTCAGTCAGTCAGGCGATTATTTTGGGACGTCACTTAAACATACTTGGAGGTATAGAACAATCTGTAAAATAAATACAGAATTGAAAAATAGATAAGCATGCACTCATCGTATATGATAAGTACTTTATATGAAAAATATAAATACCAGAGGAATCAATGAGTTCGTATTAATCGATTGGTGCAACCGGTTGTGAGAGAAATCGAATTATCAACGATATATCTTCTTTTTTTTTTGAAAAATTTAAAGACAGATAGTTTTCTAAAGTGAAAAGTTTTATTGTAATTTTCATTATGTTGAATTCACTTGAAATGTTAAAAGTGACGCGTTGCGCATCAACGATTTATCGTTTCACTGGACAAATTCTACGTGAAAAAAGCTCATCTGGAGATTCGTCGGTTGGTGTAAAAACGACCAAACAATACATTAAACCGTTCTCATACGATTTTACAGCTGAACTACGTCGAGAAAATGAACAATTCATGCTTGTATTTCCAGGTAATTTGTATCTTTTCACTATTCGCTCGAAGGAGTTTCGCATCATTATTTAAAATGTCCATTTTGAGCTTCAAAACACCCATTTTTTATTTTAGATGTAATTCACCATTTGACGACATTTATTCCAAATCAGTACGAATTGAGAAATGTTTCCAAACATTTTGTCAAGGTATAAATCAACGGTTTCCTCAGAATAATTCAAATTTTACAATTAATTCAATTGCATACAACATAAACCACGTTAGGCACTGGAGTATAATGTACCATATGGCAAAAAGATCCGAGGCTTAACCGCTGTCATTGTGTACAAAGATTTATCTGAAAAACATGAACTTACACCAAAAAATATTCACCAAGCTCACATTCTTGGTTGGTGCCTCGAAATTGTAAGTAAAAGTCGCTTTATTTTTTACGTAAAATTTTATTGAATCATTTCAACGAACTTTTTCTATGAAATTTGGTAACTTTGTCTAATTTCGATTCAAACAGTATGTTAATAGTAAAAAATCTACCTGCACCTTCAGTCCTGCTCCTCATGACCATGCATAATCATGAATAATGTCAAAAATTTATTAAGTATTGTAATTTGTTCTTAATACTACTAATTCATTTTATTACAATCGTATGTTATTACTTATATTGAAAAAATTGCATCATTGTTTTTGTTTCACATTGCTCAATTGCTCACTATGAACTTGAAAGACTCGATGTTATTACGGTTTCGTTTCTATTTTATCAATTGCGACGCTAAATCTAGGTTAAACTTGTTGAAGAGTTCTAATTGCGAATTGCTTTAAGATTGTGCACACTTGAAATTGGCAGTCAGTTTATGCTATGAATCACAGTTAGACAAATGAAACAATTTGCATTATTATTAATATCGCAATTCAAATAGATATAATATTTGTGTGTGTTTTTGTTTTCGATATCGGGTAGCTTCAAGCTGCATGTTTGATATCGGACGATATGATGGACTGCAGTCCAATACGACGTAATAAACCGTGTTGGCATATGTTGGACGATGTGAAATCAGCTGCGGTCAATGACGTTCTTATGATTGAAAATGTAACTTATTTGCTGTTGAAAAAATTCTTCGGCCATTTATCATGTTACCAGAGCTTGTTTGAAGTGCTAATGGAAACCGCAATGCTTTCATTCATTGGACAATCGCTTGATTATCAAATAAACAACGAAAATATTGAACAATATTCCATGGAAAAGTATAATGCCATAACGAATTATAAAGCAGGGCCTTTCACATTTTATGCACCCATCGCAATGCCCATGCTATTGGCCGGGTAAGAGAAATGGCACATCCAATGACATCGAGCGCAGTTTTATACGAGATTATGTTTTTTTTTATTATAGTTATAAAAATGCAAAAATGTTCGAAGATCTCAAGCCTATATGCAATGAATTGGGCGATTTATATCAAGTTCAAAATGATTTTTTTGACTGCTACAGCCCTGCGGATGTAATGAGAAAACCCGGCACAGATATTGAGGTTGGAAAATGTACATGGCTTGCTGTTTCAGCGATGGAACATGCATCAAATGCACAAAAAGACATTCTCATCAAATGTTATGGACAAAATGGTAATGCATTTATTTTTCTTGTAAATACAACTAAAATGTTACATTGAAAAGTAACTTGACAGCCAATTTGATCATATTTCATATCATTTTTCTTTTTCACTTTGACAGATCCAGAGAGTGTGAATCAAGTCAAGCAAGTATATAGTGATTTAGATCTACCCCAAGTGTATAGTCAATTCGCGGAGAAAACCTACAAACGCATCAAACGGCAAATTGAAGAATTTTCACAACAACATGTTTTGCCGCCAACATTTTTACTAAAAACATTGAACAGAACTTTTAATCGAACATGAATTTCATCTATCTTTTAACAGAGAACACGTTGTATAGTTTATAGTTAACATTTCTATCTGCTTCTCTATCTTCATATCCAGATTGAAGTCACCAAATGAAGCCTCCATTTTAATAATTAGTATATTCAGATTTTAATCTGGAGGAGTATTGGCCAAAGGCAGCAATATTCACAAAAAAAAAATCTTAAAATTGGTGACATCACTGATATAATATATACTATAATTTAAATATTTTTTGCTCAAATGCAATTCGTTTCAAATACATATTATAAAAGCATGTACTTAAAAAAAACATACAAATAGAGAAACATGCTGCAAATAATATTAATAAAACTAGCCTACTTGTTTGGTTTTTGTTCTAAGAATTTACACACTATGGTTTTGCGTACATTTCTCACTTGTTTTACTTTTGTCCGATGCGAAAAAAAACCAATTGTAGTTTCTTACAAATGTCCCGGGTCCAAAAGTAACAAGGCCAATTGAAAGTCATCCTTTTTGCGTTTGACTGAAATTTTATGAACGCTACAATCTAATAATATATGACCTTGAAATGGTCTTTATCCACACCATAAATAAAGAGGCGTAAGTACGCAAGCTGGCTTTTACGCGTTGAACCGAAATTTTGGGAATAAACTGAAACTATGGTCTATGTATGGTTGCAGTAACTCAAATCACCATGATAACTTGTGAATACTATTTTCTTATCAAAATAAATAATCTCACAAAGTTTAAAGAAATTTCAATCAAAAATATGAGTACTCCTTGGCTCATAAATGAAGATGTTGTATGGGAGGTACCCTAAAATTGCTTTGAAATTTCTTCAAACTTTCAGAATGTTACTTTTTTGTGGATAAAATAGGCTGTGCAAAGTTTCACATCTTTACGACATCATTGAAATCACACGGCTCAAACGAACTGATGGACAAATACACAGCAACACACTGACTCCGATTCTAGTGTGTTCTATTTTTCCTATTCCATACACTGTTTCCGTCAAATATGCTAGGGTTTTTCGGAATTTAGAAAATTTCTTCCGATTTGCTATGAATTTTCCTAAAAAAAACTGAAATCAGCGTATTTTGATTGGTAAATATGTGACTAATTGAAATTGTAAACGAAAAGGAACAAACCAATACATGTGCAGGTGTAATTATTGAAAGATTATGGGAAAAATACTTTAAAGTTGATTTTGAATTCGAGCAGAAGAAATATTCTATTGAAACAACTTAACCAGAAGATGAGTAGAAAACGAACAACTGAAATGTTTATGTGGTAAATATAATATACAGATTGAGAATGCCAGAGAATGAAAGTAAAGATTTGTTTTTACAAATTTGATTGAAGTGTTCTATCTGTAATGTACTTTAATATTTTCTTGTCAAGTCTCACATTCATTCACAAAGTTTCATTGAATTATTGGTAATGAATCAAAGGCCCCTTTATGTCCCATCTTTGCACTAAATTCAGGCGTTTATTGCGTTCCAAAAACAAATGTAAATATGTTAACCAATGCACATAGGAGACTTAACGGGACTCCTACTATACTGTCAAATACAATTTGCACAAAAATTTCCATTTGTGATGACGTGCAAATTGGATTTACGAAAAAGTGTCTCAAATGGTTTTGGCGTCTAAGTTTCAAGACAAATTCTGCATGTGACCAAAGATGAACCAATCACTCGTCGAACCATTTATCGTGGTTCAAGGACTTAGTATGAAGACAATGATTCTAGAAAAAGCAAAAAATCGTATTCCCCATTTAAGTGTTCAAATCTTTCAAAACTGTCACCGAGTGCCAAAAATCGGGGTTTTAAAGCAAACATTCATTTTTGGTGATTCTTATGGTAACAGTACATCCAACATTCATTAACCAAAATTATTTTCATTATGGAAATAAATTTGAAAAATCCCATTCCACATAAAGTCATCTGAGGCAATAAAAAGTGTTTAGATTCACCAATCATTCAAGACAAAGGACCGTTCTTAAAAGAAAATTTTCACCTCTTACATACCTAAAGTAACATAATTTCATCAATCGATTTATTATTATTGAATATTCAAGGAGGCATTTTAACGAGCATAACAGCACATTCGTCTCTGTGGATTATTGCGTTCAATTGACCTTGCTTATTTTGCTATGTAAAATACAGCTCACCGTATGAATAAATTTTCCATATTTTCATTTGGTTTTATAATTTTAGTGTTTTCTTTTTCGATAAATATCTCATTCAAATGACAAATATGTATGTAAAGCGAATGCAATTAAAGCATTTATTTGATATGCTAATCATACATAAAAGTGTCTGTCGTATTTCTTTTTTCCCGTGGATTTCAAAAATAAATTAGCGTTCAACCATAAACTTGTACAATTCAGATTTTGTATGTTCTCGATTAATAAATAAATTAAAATAATCGGTCAATGAACAACGTGATGTGTATATGTTGGAATTTAAACATAAAGATGACATCAACTTGAGTTCTTTGTAAATCAGTGCTACGTCATTTCTTTGGTTTTCCTTTTCAGTATGACATTTTGACCCCAAAAATATCGGTCAGTCCACTTCATTCGGTTCAAGTGTGGTAATTTCTTGGCCATTACTTAGATAACGATCACTTATATATTTTAATTCACACGTGGGCAATATTCATTGAATATACATAGCGTATTGCTTATACATAGCGTATTGTTTGGTGTCCAGTCTGCGTTTGTCCGTTTTGACTATGATTTTGTTGTGTCACTGTTTCATTGTTACAACTTACAAACAAAATAAGGATTTTACTGTTAGTGTATTGTATTAATGGTCATAACACGCACGGAAATGTTATATATTTAAGGGAGTTGATTCTTTTTTGACCACTGAAATTAGAAAAAACGCTAAATTTTTACAATGACCATTGCGTTTTTTCATAATTGTAAATATATGAATGTTATTATTAATTATGCTTGAATAAACATTTTTTGAATAAAAAAAATTATGACTGAAATTCGTAGTTATCATAAATTATTGTAAAGAAACCCATGAATGCAATAGAGAACATTCTCTGTCCAAACTCAAATTGATAACCGGTCTTATCAACTCGATTAAATCCAAATTGTCTCTTGAACGTGTTAATTCAGGTTTTGGACTTTTCTATAAAAATTAATTTGATGAATGATTGATTCCTTCAAAGAAATTCGCAAAATTGGGCGTTGTTAGAAAAATTGACAAAATTCAAATGACCATTTCTTACATAAGATTTATTTCAAACAAAATTGGCGTAATTTTCATAAAAAAATGACCATTTCACATTTCGCCAATAACCAACAAAAACTTTCATGTGGAACGTATTAATTTTCGTGTGTCATTAGGTTCTAGTAGAAAATGCCACCCCATCAAATTGTTCAAACGGACTCGACATTAAAAAAAACGGACACACACACAAAAACGAAGGGCTACAATTATTGAAGGGTAGTTGTTGTGGTCAATACTATTTGAAATCAGTCTTGTTCAGAACTTGGTGCTATTAACTACAAAACGAGAGCATTTAATCATATTAATTTCGAACATTTATTCACATAAATATTCATTGTTTGGTGCATTTAAAAAATTATAAAAATGAAATCGTGCGGAATGGGCATCATCAAATATATTCTTTTTGCTTTCAATTTCATATTTGCTGTAAGTAATCAACAGTGTTAATGAGACCCAACAACATTGTAATTAAATGTGAACTTGATTTAAAAAATATATATATGCAAAATTAAGTTCACTTTATAATTTCAACATAATTCAATTATTTTAAGATTAGTACAAAAAAAATGTGAACAAATTGTTAATCATGTTTTCAATTTAACGGATTTTTCAACAACGATAAAAATTCTACCAACTACGTATTTGAAATTTTCAAATTTAAAATCAATATACATCGAACGTGTTTTAGATTTAGATGAGACCTGCGCAGACATTTTAATGAGATATTTTCAGCTAGATGAATCAGCTCAGCCAGATATCGTTTGGAGCTGAAATGTAGTGAAAACAATAAAAGTGATTGTTATAGTGATTGTAGCAATGTAAGTGTAATTATAACCATAACAATTACTTCAATTGTTTTCATTAAATTTCAGCTCCTGACGATATGAGGCTGAGTCGATTCATCTGGCTGAAAATATCTCATTATAATGTCTGGACCTGCGATAAAGTTTCCAATCATATTTTTGAATAAGGGTTTGTTCGTGTTTTTTTTCTACTCATCATTTGAAATCAGGTGTCGTATATTTCGATAAGAATGATGTTTTCAATGACTGTAACGTAAATTCGGGCTTAAAATTGTGTACAAAAAAAATTGTGCAGAAAATCTTCCGACAAGTGTATATTTAAAAAAAAAAGTTTTCATAAATTTTCCAATGAATATTTTTGTTTTTTCGAATATTGACGAAGGTGACAAAAAGTTAAATTCGTAATTAGTGAAACTGCGACATACAATCTACACGTATATTCCCTATTCAAGTCTTAACGTTAATATTTCAAAACGCAGACGACTCCGTAATGAGATTAAACCGAATTCTTGTATGTTTTATAAGTCTATTTATTGAAACGATTATTATCTACGAAAAATCTATTCAAGCGCATGACACGTAAATATGTAAAGAACATTATGAAAGCATACAACAGGAGCTTGTTGACAATTGAAACACGAATATTAATGTTTTGTTTCGATTCTTTCGATGTTTTTCTTTCCTCTTTTTTTCATTCGATTTAATTTATTTACTGTGAATGCAAATGGGGCGTTTATACGGGAATTTATGTGGTGGTTGGCAATACAAAACCTACTCAAGTTAACAACACTTTAATAAAATCTATTATTTTTTTACTATATATCCATCGATGTTCCATTTTTTTCACTCATCGATATACATTAACTGCTATTAATATATATATATATCGCACGATTCGCATATGCATACTAACTATGGTATTTTCGATAGGTATCTGGCTTGGGCATTTTAATAGCTGGCATACTGGTTTTGATTGATATTAATGATTTCAAGCACTTTTTGGAGGGTAACATTCAAGCGCCACCTATCACACTGATTGTACTGGGATCGCTAATATTTTTCATAGCTTTTCTCGGGTGAGTCACCATCAATTTTTGCTCATTTTCATTTTACTCTATTATCATTTACATAATTTCTTTAAATCGAAGCTGCTACGGTGCCATCAGAGAATCTCCCACACTTTTGATTTGGGTAAGTTTTGCCTTACGTTCACTGGAAAGATGATGTGCGTGCTATAATGTTATAAATTTTCGTGATTTTCGGTTATAGTTGCGTTGATATAAAAAAAACTTTGTGATTTCAGAAATGTATGTTAGAAAAATATGTTTTTTGACACTTGACACGCATAAGATGTGTGTATATTAACAGCTAACTACATGCAAAGTTTCTCGTGATTCAACCAATCAATTTTGTGGACCATTAAATGGGCTCATTCCAACATTGATTGTAAATGGGTTTGTTGCACTTAAAATAATTTCGAAAACATTTTTTTTTGGCAGTTCGCGGTTTTGTTGGGCATTGTTTTTCTTATTGAGTTGGGCGTTGGCATTGCCGCTTGCCTTTTCAAAGCCGATCTTGAGGAATTCCTACAAAAATCGTTGAAAAACTCGATTGAACGATCGAATTCAAATGATTTGGATGCATGGGATACTGTACAGAAAAAACTTGAATGCTGTGGCATTACCGGTTATGATGACTGGGTTGAAATCAGTAAAAACAGAGTTATACGATCAAGTTGCTGCCGTAAAGATCACATTGACAATCAGACAAATGATTGTAGCAATCGACCAGCTACTTATCCCGATAAATACTACACGGTTTGTATTTTTTTAAAGGAGCGAGTACGACGTTTTCCCCTTTGCTAAGCGAAATAAATCCGATATACGGCGCTGATTTAAATGTCACTCTATGTCATTCCACAATGATACATTTTTTGGCTTGACAATATATAAGCTCTTCATTCAACATGCATAATTTTTGAACGGTCGAGTAAAAAAAAGAAACATATCATAAAATATTCTTCTTACGTTTATCATAAAAATTCTCTATATTTTAAATTTATTTGTTTAAAAATAACAATAATTTCAATTTTTTTCATAGATTGAACAAGAATCTAATGTAAAAAGTAATACCAATGCGACACCTACCGTTAAAATAGAAAAGGAAACTTATTTGGAATTGTAACATTTTGGTCCGCCATAACAGCATCTTCGTTTTGCTTCTCTGTGATTGGTCAAGTAAAACGAAGATGCTGTCATGGTGGACAAAAATGCTACAATGGATACCAACTAAGTTTCTTTTTGCATTTTTACGGTAGGTGTCGCATTGTCATTACTATTTACATTGGATTCTTATTTAATCGATGAAACATTTTATGTTGAAATTATTGTAATTTATAAACAAATTAATTTTTTTATAAAAAAAAAATTTAATAAATTTTTTAATGAAAAATGTTAGAAAAATATTTTATGACATGTTTTTTTTTTCAACGATTCAATAATTATGAATGTGTATGCATTTTAAATGAAGAGCTTATATATTGTCAAGCCAAAAAAGTATTATTGTGAAATGACAGAGTGACATTTACATCAGCGCCGTATATCGGATTAATTTCGCTTGGCATAGGGGGAAATATTTTGACAGATAGTACTCGATCCTTTCACAATTCTAGAAACTGAATAACTTTCTCAAATGCATTATTTAGGATGGATGTCTTACAAAATTGAAGCATCGAATTGGTAATAATGCCTCAACACTTATTACCGTTGGCATTGGCGTGGCATTCATTCAACTTATTGGCATTGTTCTTGCTTGTTATCTTGCCGCTTCAATACGCCGAGAATCGGTCAATTAAATGAACGTTAACCAACACTGATCAAGTAAACAAAATTATACATTTGGATGTAGTTTTCCTACCACAAAGAGACTTCATATAGTATAATTGTGGTAGCTAAATTAAATTTTAGTTTTAATCACCTAGTCAACATAAACTTTGCTCACAACTGCTCAAAATCTATACCTCAATATTAAATAGAATAGATGTATGAATTTTAAATACAAAATTCATTAGACAAACAATGTGTGAATTTTTAAAAAGTAAATATTTTTAAACCAAATGTTCAAACTGAGCTAAATGACATATGTATATGAATCCATGTGCAATTATACACACACCTTTAAAAGGTTTTATTTTAATAATAATATTGTTGTTTTTTTTTGTGTGTGGAAAATTTCACAAAAGAAGAAATGCATCAATGAAAAAGGGCGTCACAGTAGAGCAAGAACTCAACATTCCAATACTTACGTCGGAAGGAGAATATTTTCTATTTTCGGGCAATTGTCGAAAAATGATGTGCAATTTATAAAGGTTGTTAAACGATGTGTAGCAAATATTGTTTAAATTTTTGATGCTAAACGTTCTATTCAAGCAAAAAAAAAAAATCAAAAAACTCTGGGTTGCATTCCTAATTGGATTCGCATGACATTTCGGACAATATTTGTTTGAAGTGATCCAGCTGGTATTTCCAAACTGTATACAGTTACTTAATATGATATTATTTTGTGAATTTTGTTTTCAGCGCATGAAAATAGACAAATATAAGAAGAAAGCAATATAACAAAGTAAGAAGAGAAATCAATTACAAACGAAGAAAATCAATGAAAATTGAAACACTTTGACACTTTATATTTTTATCAATAACAATGTGTAAGGCCAAACTGTGTAAGGCAAAAAATTATCAATAAATTTATCTATCTACCACAATTCTTTTTTGCGTGTTTTTTTTTGTGACTTTTTATTCAATATTGAAGGAGAAAAGAAAGAGAAACAAATGGATAAATTGTGTTAATTCACATTGATTGAAAAATGACATGTTATCCAATGGAGTTACCAGAATCTCCAGCAACAATAACGTTCATGTGCCACGAATGGTTTTTGTAACGGCATCAAGAAGGAGGAAAAATAAAATACATGAATAAGTTTTAATAAAATTACCCATTGGATCTGCAATGGATCGATCCGTCATCAAACAATGTTTATTAATGGATAAAAATGATTCCAAAGTATTTATTACAACTTGTATTTGTACTTACAAGTAATTAAAGTAGTTTGAAATTCATTTACATTGTTACAAAGGAAAGCAGTACATTTGCATACTTTTTGGGATCTTGGAACTTCAAAACACCAACTCATACCACAAAATTTCAAATTAAATAACACGATTGTATGAATACCAATCTGAATTGGCAAATGTACTTACAAAAGGATCGAAAAACAAGTATTATTTACATAAATTAAGGCAAGTTTATTTTAAAAATACATTTCAACTGGTCGCATCATCTTTAATCAGTTTTATAAATTCTTTATAAAATGTATTGTATTGTTTTCTAGGGTTTTATTTGAACAGGAATTGAAGAATTAGTAAGAATATGGGAAACACGATCAAGCCCATACTTCCAGAGCAAATACCAGTATCGTTGGAAGCACTGTAAAATAAAAAAATAAAAATCAATTCGCATATTTCGTATGAATTAACAGTTTACATCAATTAACAGAAATCTGCGAGCACTTCTTCGAATATGTCTTACGATCAAAATTACTATTTTATGCAATTTGTGACAATTTTGTTAAATATTATTACTGTACCGACTCTAATACTACCCGACTAAATATGTCACATGCTAAAAGAGGATAGATGAAAAAAACTAATTCTCTCATTAAAGATTTATGAAAAGAAAGCAAATACATGGTCAAAATAGAACAGTACTGAAAAAATAACACATCTTAAGAACTTTGTATCGAAGTCTAAGTCTTAGACTCTAATAAGATATGGTGGGTTGTTCGAAAATAATTTGGATTAGTGAATTAGATTCAAGTAATGTTATTTTGATATCAAAATATCCAAATTTAAATGAACTTTATCAACGGTTTTTTTATTAAGTTTGCTAACCACTGACAAAAAATTCTCCATTTTTTCAAACGATCAATTATCCAAAACCTATGTCCCTTTTTTCGATTTAGAACTCTAATTAAAGGACTGAATCCGATTTAATTCCAAGTATTTGTTGTATCCAAAAAATATTCCGAATAAATGTTATAAATAGATGAAAGTCGTATTTGATTTACTTACAATCATATTCATATCAGTTTGTAGTGGTAAACGACGCTGCTGCCTTTACTACAGATAATTACTCAATATGGAATTATAATGACATAGGATAAACTCTGTTTTCAATCGAAAAGTTGTACTACTTCGATTTTCTATATTTATAAATAGAACGATTTAAGTTTGACCCCTTGAGAGGTAAACCGTTTGACTTTTGAGAGGTTAAAATGTGTGTGTATTTTATGTATACCAAAAAAAAGTTCTACCAAGCATTTAATGTTCTGTTTTTTCATATTTGCATCACTTTCAGTTTATAAACAAATTCCACCGATGTTATTTTACTTTGAACTCATGAACTGTTCAATCACAAAGTTTTGTGTTGTTACACAAGTTGTATTTTAAAAAACTGATTTCTTGTTCAATAAGACGAAGTGGAATTCAATTGATGAGTCTATTCGATTTATCGAATATTCAATTATACATTATTATATTCTAATCACACACACAACCAAACATATTTACGCTGAAAAGATATTAACAAAAACAACAACAAAAGAAAACTCAGCAAAATATAAAGGTATAAGAAAAGTGGTCGGTAACCGACCGTCGGTTGTTGGTTAGTATGGTAGACGTAATTCACTGCTTTGGACATATTCTGTTTAACTACTGTTTTCGATGCGAAAATTTACGTTTAATTGGAAGTTTGGATTATTATTGGAAACAGAAACAACTATGGTTCTTATTGAAAAAAATATTAAATTTCGATGATGAAAGATGATGTTATGAAGGTTTTTTTAAAGATATTTTTAGCTTAGTTACCCAATTCGATCATAAATGTCAATTTTACCAAGTATAGATATCTTGTAGAAAATTGTATTCATGCATAAGAAAATTATCTATTTTTAAAAAATTATCATTAAATATGAAAATAAAAAAGCAGTAATAAATCATCAAAAGTTCATATTCTATCTATTCCTATACTGGAAATTTACCTATTTTTTCATAAATCTATAAACGATGTCCTTCAGTTGATTTGGGTGGATTGGAGTAATGTTTGGCCACAGTTTTTCGTAGTTGTGGTCAACCAAGAGTTGACACAAACATGAAAAGCAATGTTTTTTGGAAACTCTATGAAAATACTATTCTTTTCATATTCGTCCCCCCCCAAATATTTTACGCGTAGTTGATTAAAGTTGAAAAAAACATAAGAGGCAATGTTTCAAAAAGCACATTGCTTTTCATGTGTTTTTTTTTTTTTGAAACTCGATAATATGGTATGCAATAAGATACTTCACTTTATGTAAGGTTTAGTACATACATCGTATACATATAATGAGTAATTAAAATGAGCACCACCACCGCCACTTACTTCTTCAACTGTTTCAAACAGACGATTGTGGATATTGCCACAAATTTTAAAAAAACAATTTACAAACAAAAAAGTATAGACAAAATATGTTTTCTGTTAGAAATGTATTATCTAGATCCAGTACCGATTTTTCGAATATGCAGTAAACATGAATGGAAGAAAAATAAACATATTTCTAAAGAAATTCACAATAAACTATTATTTACATAATGCCAATAACACCACATCCAGCGCGACCGCCAGCATTTCCGGTTTTCTTTGAGTCTGGATGATTTGTTTTGCCTAAATCATCAATTCCACTGTGAATAACAACCGCACGTCCAACAATCGACCAATGACCAGCCAACGTGATGACTTGATCAGAGAATTTTGTTTCAGCAACACCTTGTTCATTTGCACGGATGTTTCCAAGGTCACCAATGTGTCGGACTTGGTCATTTGGTGCACCATGATCCAGCTGAATTTAGAAATCGCAATTCAATTGTAAGATTTTTCTTTAATGTGCTCAAGATAATAAAAGTTACCTTTTCTGGATTATAGTGTCCGCCGGTGCTCAAACATCCATTCGATAGATCACCCTTTTCATGAACATGGAAACCATGTTCACCTGGCGAAAGACCAACTACAGATACTTCGATAAGAACACTTTCACCGCATCCATTTTGCGAAAATGTTACATTTCCATAAACACCATTTGGACCATTGATTACAGCTATCGCACGCAACGGCTTAGTATTCTAAATTCAAGAAAAAAATTCTTCATAAAAAAAAAATTGGACTTTTCAAAAAAAAAATCGTTGAAATATAGAGATTTGAAGACGTCTTAAAAATGTTGAAGGTTATTTTTATTTGTTGATATTATTGGTTTGGTTATTTTTATTTGCAAGTCCTAAAGAATATCAAATATAAGTGCAATAATTCAACGTATCTTTCACCGTATCGATGGAATCGTGTAAACAATCAAGTGCTTATAAGTGCTCACATTTCTCTTATCAGCGTTTTTGAGTCGCCGTTTTCTATATCCGTTTTTTTTTACATTAAATAAGTTTATCTTTAGCAATTTCAGATTTTTTTTTTCGAATTTTTCTAGGGGCTCTTTTCAAATTTGCATATAGCAAAATATTTGCAAAATTTTAAAATTCGAATTTTTCGTTGATTCGTTGGTTTTTGTTCAATATTTATTGAAACAACAAATTTGACGCGTATTTTATTGAACACACGAAATTTCAAACCATCGAATTACATGTATTTACGAGTAAATAGATTCCGGTCATTTAATCATCAACAAGTGCTATATATTATGTCTATACAATGTCTACATATAGACAGTAATGATGAACCCAAATCTAAGGTCAATTTTGAAAACCAAAAACTGGGGGATGGCATATGAATAATGTTTGTATTGCAAACCTCGGCATTTGTGTGACCAACCACAAACAATGTAAGAATTGCGACCACTATGATAAGTTTGAGCATGGTTGCTGAAAACTTTGGCTAGGATTTGCGTTGAAAAAAATTGTTCTGAAAATAAAAACGAAAAATATGAAAAAAAAAATTTTTTTTTTTAACTTAGTGTCTAGGGGCTTAATTCAAAATTTTCAACAACTGAATTCTATAATAATATCCAAATTAACTGAATTTTTCAGCAAACGAATGAATTTCGGTGAATTCTACGGCGACTTCATTCAAATATGTGAGATAGTGGTGAATAGTTTCTGTTGGTAATTACTGCCATATTTATATTTTGTGTAACAAAATTGCAAATGTTTTTTATATTTTTTTAATAAAAATTAATTTTATTTTCAATTTTGAGCGATTTTCTATCGAAAACAATCGGAAATATTGAAAAAATAATAAATTAAAAAATATTGCGGTTATTATAACCTCACTTTATTAATTTGACACATTTCATTCTATTCACACGAATTCACCGAACTCATCAATAACCACTCGATTCAAAAGTGTGAATTTACGTGAATTCCTGTGAATTTTTTTGCCGTATTAAGCCCCTAGCAATTCTTATGAAACATTTATGCAATTCTGATTTTCATGAGACTCGAATGACCAAAACCATTGTTTTTATTAAAATAAAATCATGTTCACGTGTTACTAGAACGTTCATCTATCCCCTAGGAATTACACGGCCACATTTTATGTACATTCAGACAATATATTTAGATTTTGTCATCTGGATATTTCAGCTCATCTGGATAACGTTAGGCGATGATACGAAATGAAAACAATAGAAGTGATTGTTGTACTGTATAGGTATAAAAATACTACCATAACTATAACAATCACTTCTATTGTTTTCATTTCGTATCATCGCCTAACGTTATCCAGATCAGCTGAAATATCCAGATGACAAAATCTAAATATATTGTCTGTGTACATTATATGTACTATATAGTCAAGAACGTTTGATAGAAATTTTTTGGTCACTGTTTGTTGATTATTGCGTTGATTGAGTAAATGTGCTTTTTTTTCGTCGAACATAATATCAAAAGTTAAAACTATGGATCCGCATTAAAATATGATTTGAGAGATTTATATACACGATTCATGTCTAACCAATATTTGTATTAATATGTAGTGGGGCATATCATTCCATGACCCAGTTATGATTTTTGAATGTTATGTTGTTGCAGCGAGAAATTAGGGTCAGTGCATATAAATGACGAATAGCAAAATAAAAATAGTTGAATGATCAAAATTATAAGCAAATATTTATATTCCATTTCTATGTTAAAACGATTTGAAGCGATCAAATAAAAAAAAAAACAACAACAACAACACCGATCTCGCTTATGAGTTATTAATTTCACTTTTTGCTCTCAAGCAATATGAATCAGTTTTAACTATTTCCAGCGATGCTGAATTTGGCATTGATTTGTTTCATAAATTAAAGCACGTATTGAAATCGAGTACTTTCTTACTATATATTACTTATTGAAATCGAGAAGTATTGAATTATTTGCTCGAAAGTGAAATAGTTTCGATCTTGCCAAAAACTACACCTCTGCTTGTGATAGTGATCATTTTATTGAGAAAGTTTTTTTTCTAGTCTGAATTAAAAAAAAAAAAAAAAAATCTCCACTTTTTAAAATGAACCATTCACATTTTTATCAAAAAAAAAAAAAAAATCGTAAAAAAAGATATGAACTAGATGGTTGATTTAATAATAAAACGCGAGCATCCAGTGTGATGACACCTTGAGCTTATTTATATTTTAATACGCGTCAGGTAATTTCAAGGACACATGAAGGAAATTTGTCCAGAAGAAAAAAATTCAATAACAAAAACAGGTACAGTTTTATTTTTGTTCTTGCCACAACTGACTAAATATAAATTAGCCACATTATATGGTTATTCGTTAATCAAGTCAAATAAAAAGAACACTGTTCAATCATTGTATCATTCGTTGTGTTTGTACAATGTCAGTGAATAATGAATGATTCATTTACTAAATATAAACAATAACAATTGATGTAATGGTTTCAAATATTTCAGTGAAATTAATTCATTCAGTCACTATTTGGCGAATCCTAACATATTTTGTTCGGTCTTTCAACTTGAACATTGATTTTAAAATAGCACCAATTCACAAACCATTCAAGGTCATGTATACAATAGTATGCCGGTTGTTTTTATGTAATATGATTTTCAAGCAGTAAATAATATAAGAAACACAACAGGTACTAATTTGACAACAAAAGTCATTGATTCATTATTACCGAACGATTTTTCTACGGTTTCCCCTATTTTTTTCAACTTTTTTTACTATTCGAATTTAAATTTCATTTAGATCGACAAAACTGATATGATATACGATAAAGAACGATAATTGCACGTATAAAATATATATATATATAAAAATATATCAAAAATCTTACTGAATTTTCGAAAAAGTGGCGAAAAAATGCTTTTGATCCGATACTAATGGAATTAAGAAAGAGAATGTAAAATAATAAATACAGTTTGACAGTCAAACCTCAACTGTTTTCAGTCACAACTTGTAATGAACTAAGCACACAAACTGAAAACCTGTTATGGTTATGCTTAATAAAGGTTGTTTACGTTTATTTTTCATTCTCGAATATATACATGTAATAATAAGTTAGTGGAGGGTGTGCGAAGACATGCTTGTCTTTAGACGAATATAAGTGGTTTTTTTTATATTAATCGTTTATTGAGCAGTTTTGAAGAGAGAAACAAAAAAATGTGTAAGTTTAGCATTGATTTAAAATCGAAATCAAACGATCAATTCAAACTAATAAAAAAAAGAATATAGGAGAACATGGTTCAAAATTGGTTTCCTGTTCCGAATAGGCCACCCCACTGTTTTTTTTTTATCGCAGTTACATAAATCGTCACATTGGCTGTCAAATTGTCATACTTGTTAATTCACATTCAGCCTCAACGATCAACAAGTTGTATTTGGCAACCTTCATGCTCATGTAGTAACTTGTGATTTGTCGCTTCTGACATATTTGCATTGAACATAAGCATTTTTAGAAACACCACTTTTTCCATTTGAAATAAATGTTTTGATACTCTTTTGATAGTTTTTTGAACTCAAGTTACTGGAAAAATGGAGGCTATTTTTAGTACTTCAGTTGAAAAGTACTCCAAAACTGTATTTTTTTGAATAAAAAATGATCCAAGATATAAGTAATGATGAGCAATCGTAGAAGATCGCGGCGTGCTGTTTTCATAGTAAACAGTGGCATGTCATCTAACACCGGACTTAGATTGCCAAAATGACACTAGTCACGGTGTAAAAAAGTTGCATGAGGAATAAAGTATAATCAAAGCTCCACCGAATGGGCTCCAAATTGAAGAATGACACCAAGCAAAAGAATAATAATTAAACGGCGTACGAATTTTGTTGAAATATGACCGGTTCGGGCCATGTTCCCCTAACATTTCGTATCTTGAATTGATGAAATAGTGATTTCAAAAAAACAGGAATTAGATCTATGTTAATTTGAAATGTAAAATTAATACAATCATAAGAAAACGACTTAGATAAGATTAGATTAGGTGCTGTAATCTCTCAAGTCGGATAAAAAATGTATATAATATACGCCATCGAATTCGATAAATGGCAATAATCAGCGGGATGCAATTAAAATAATATCAAAGAAATACTTTCGCTACATACAATAAATACGCTGTTCGGGTGTTTCACAATATTGAGACTTTTTTGCCGAAAAAATTGTTTGTGCAAATATCTTCTAAAAAAAAAAATACAAAAAAAGTAAAAAAAATGTTTCGACTTTACAACGAGTCTTAAAGGTGACTACTGTCTTAATGGAAATGCGTAATAGCTTGTTGTATCTTTTTATAAAAATAATAATCGAAACTTGTTCCGAAATACTGCAACGGTGACAACACTCCAATATGTTTTGAATGTATGTTTTGATTTTGTGTTGTCATACACACTGAATGACATAGCATGGCACGCTATTTGGGGACATTAATATAATAACTAGATGATTTCGTTCTTTATGATTTGTTTAACGCAACTGTAGAATATGGCATTTGATAAATTATCGCTATTGACATCGAAATTGTATTATTTGTCGAGTACATGTTATGAATAGCTACGTTTATTATCAAGCCAAACACCTTTTGATTTCCAAAAAGTCTTCATTGAACTTCTTTTTGGGAACAAAAAATGTACAAAATGGCTTTGGAGCACAGCAAAATCTATATGAAAAATCGTTTAACATTTTTTTTTATATGCTATAATAATATATAAAAAGCATATAAATTGCATTTTTTACAGATCTGTATTTAATACACACCATTTTTATGTACTCCGATAATCATTCAATGGTTATTAAAAACAAGAATAAATCTATGGAAAAACAAAAATTGACTTTTCGAGCTCTATTGATTTTTTTTTTTTGGATTTTAGAAAGTGATTGGAATTTCCTTAATTTGAGTCATTTGCATTTAAAAACAACGCATTTCTGTAAACAAACAATGTTGTTCTGCAAAGAAACTACATTTAATGCGACTGATAAAAAAATGTCTATTAATAAATGTCTATTAAAAATGTCTATTGTGGTTACTGATTTCAAAGATCCCGTTTTTCTAAATTGTTTATTTATTATTGAAAAGAAAATTGCGCGATATATTCAACTCGAATGATTTGTTTCCACACAATTTTGCATAGAATATTTTCTAATTTTTGGTGATATTCAAATTTTCATTTTTTTTTTTTCAGCCAAATTTAGGATGACACATTTTTTCTTATTGTTCAAAAATGATGATTTACGTTGTAAAATCTAATATAAATCAGAGACATCAAGCGATTTCACAATGGTCTGAGAATATGTCGATCGATGTGTAAACAATTACCAAATAATTTGTGAAGATAAAAGCAATTTGTATTACAAAGTGGTCTGATTACTTAATACCGTTTTTCTGATGAGTAAAACATTTCAATTTTGTTGTATCTATTGAATACAAATTTCGTATAAAATGTACGTAAAAGGTGTATACATAACAAAATAGTAATGCATTGATAGAATTTTGATGAGTTTCATTTCACTTTCTGCACTTTATGGTGAAATTTTGCGTATTATCAATTGAGTGGGATTTCTTATAAAATGGATGAGCTCAAGTTTGTTCAATGCATTAGTCTCTTTGAATTGTGGTCGTTAACCGTATATCCGAAAATAAATTTTGAAAATGGATCGATTCATGGTTAATCCATATATTTTATTAACAAATAAATATATATTTTTTTTAAATTTTAAAAACAATAATAACTAACGGATTTTTTCCAATTTTTTTTTTTTTTGTTTAGTTGTGTATAATTATATCAACTTGCATTCCATCAATTATGTGTGGACCTGTGATAACCGATGATTATGCTGCGCCAAGATCAGACTCTGAACCTGTATACACTCATCCGTATAGTGATTCAAAAAGTGATTCGCCGTTTGAATACGATGTGCCTACATCCGAATATGGACCACCATCCCAAAAATATAAATTAATCACAAAAAATGTGTACATTCATATTCCACCAGCCGAACAACCAGAATATCAACCAATTCAAACATTTGAACAACCAATTCCCAAAAAACATTACAATATTGTGTTCATTAAAGGTAAGTGTTTATACGAATTTCAAATTGGAATTTAATTTTAAAACGAAGAAAAATCGAAGCTAAGAAAATCGAATATAAATTTTCAGCTCCAACTGCACCAACGCCAACCGTGCCCGTTATACCTGAACCAATTCAAGACGAACATAAAACATTGGTGTATGTTCTTGTGAAAAAACCAGATCCACTACCTAAGATTGAATTGCCACAAATTAAACCAACCGAACCATCAAAACCAGAAGTTTTCTTCGTTAAATATAAAGAAGACGAACCGAACAAAGCATACGGTGTACCAAACTAATATATCTATTATCTATCTTTTTTTTGAAAATTGGTCATAAAATGTTGCCATTGAAATAAAAAAAAAATAAAAAAATAAATAAAAAAAAATTGATTCGTGACTTTTAATATAAAATGCATGAGATCATAATGCAAAGCGCAACAATTGACAAAGTGTCGCCACTGTACACATTTGAAATGTCAAAATAAAACGTTTGGCGCCTTTTTCATTGTACTCTAACCGCGTTTGTAAACATCAGCGCTGCCAAAAGAAAATATTGTGTGTTTTCAATTAAAAAGTCCAAAAATTTGAGCAATGTTTTGAAAATTGGCTGAATGTCGATTGAAATAAAGTCCAATTGATACATACACATTTCGAAAGTGAATTTCTAGCGTTTTTATTATTCGTTACTTCACATGCGACACAACAGTGAGAAAATTAAATGAAATCATGTGCAGTATTAATCAATTTCGACGAATCGGAAAAATTGGTGAAGGTAATACGGTGGATAGCAATGTTATTTAAAATCAATCTGCTCATTATTGTTGATTTTAGGTACATACGGTGTGGTTTTCAAAGCAGTTGATGTTGAAAGTGGAAAAATGGTGGCGCTCAAAAGGATTCGGTTAGAAAAGTAAAGGAAATTTCAGTGCAATTTGTTCGCTACCAGAAATGTATTGTTTTTCTTCTATTATATATAATTTTTTTTAGTGAGTCTGAAGGCGTCCCATCAACAGCAATCCGTGAAATATCTCTATTAAAAGATCTCAAACATCCATCCATTATTCAATTGTATGATGTGATAATTGCCGATGCCAGTTTATACATGGTATTTGAATTGCTGAGCATGGACTTGAAAAAGTTATTGGATAAAGCAAAAGAAGTGTTCACACCAAAATTAGTCAAAGTATGCATCTTTTGTTTACCATCAAGTTTTAAACTGGCACTCAATTTAATTTAATATTGTTGTTGTGTGTGTGTGTTCCATTCTAGAGTTATATGTTTCAAATGCTCGATGCAATTTCATTTTGTCATTTGAATCGCATACTACATCGTGATTTAAAACCACAAAATCTACTAGTTGATGAATACGGCCATATAAAATTGGCTGACTTTGGTCTTGCCCGCACCTTTAACATTCCAATGCGCGCCTACACACATGAAGTGGTCACACTTTGGTATCGTGCACCTGAAATTTTACTCGGAACAAAATTGTATGCAACCAGCGTTGATTTATGGAGTTTGGGTTGTATATTTGCCGAAATGATATTACAGAAACCGTTATTTGCCGGTGATAGTGAAATTGATCAATTGTATAAAATATTTCAAATGATGGGAACGCCAAATGAAATGATTTGGCCTGGTGTATCACAATTGCCGGATTTTGGATTGAAATTTCCAAATTGGAAACCACAGCCATTACCAACATTAATTTTAAGTTACCAAGACAAAGACTTTTTAGATTTGTTTAAGCAAATTATGGTTTTAGACCCTTATAAACGGATATCAGCCAAAAATGCTATGCAACACATATACTTTCGCAATATCGAACCAGTTTCACATGTATCTCTACCGTTAGATTTAATTTAATCGATTTTATACATTATTGCCATGTAATAAATAAAAAGAATCGTTGAAATATTTTGTAGTTTCTAATTGAAATAACCATGACCATTCAATTTTCGTTGAAAAAAAGAAAGCCTTCATAAAAAAATATCGAAAAAAGAACGAGAGAATGTCTATTTTTTCATACTTAGCCCGATTTCTTAACATATTTGAAGCCTTTGGGTAATGGTGAATCGTTGTAAAGAAAACAAATAATAAACGTATAAAATAAATTTTATTCAATTATAATTGTATATGAACATTTAAGAAAATTGTTAAATTTTTTTGTGCATATTTTTTTTTACATAGAAATTGAAAATTAATTCTGAGATTCGAGTTCATAATCTAGTTATCCAGTACCATATTTACCTAAGGGGAGAATCACAAAAGAAAAGAATAAAATTTAAAATAATCGATAAGTAATCGAAAAATAATCGTAAAACAATCAATAACCAAACAACCATATTTACCACTTTCAAAGAGTCCTTTTTTGAAGAAATGAGAAAATTGTACCAGAGTTGGTTTGCTTATTCCATATCCATTTGTTCCGTCTTCATAAAACGGACACTGCGGAATTTTTGAGCAGACAACTATTTATGAAAATGACACAAACAAAAAATCCATAACTAATACGGTTAAAAATACAGAAAAATAAAAGAAAATTTCATATTTTCTTTACCTATTAATCGACGCAAGTAGGTTTCAAGTTGTCGCCGTCGATTTCGGGCAACCGATTCACTTTTGGATGAAAAAAACTCCCGACTTGGAAATGGAATCTGATTAATCTAGATACAAAAGTGATAAATAAATATTTTCAATGAATATTGCAAAAATTCTAAGTTAATGCTAATAGTATACCTTTTCGCCATACAACGCCTTCATTGTAATGTGCAGCTCCCGAAAACGGCTGTATCGTCTCATAATAATCCATTTTTCATCAGGTAATGTGATTCGAACTTCATACTCAAAATGTGTTTGTTTACCGGCGCCTCTCATCACAAAACTTGGTATAGAAATAATATATTCCGAATCTGAAATGATTTTAGTTTTAATATCATAAATATATCCGTTTTTAAAATGTTTAGTTGAAAATAAATAAATTGACTTACTGACGTCACCCAGTTGTGATCTAATCATGTTATCATTTTGAGATGAAGTTGTGATGCTTGATTTATAATCATTGTCAATTGAATATCTATCAGATCCGATGCAGTCATTCAAACAATCAGATGTCGAACCTAAATGAATATGATTCGATTTTTTGGTATAATGTCAAGTTAGCTTACCATTCTAACAAGTAACTTGTTCGAACAAGTAACTTGTTAACTTGAGTAATCGAGTTGTAATCTTAACTTGAGTAATCGAGTAACAAGTAAGCTTACCATTCTCTTGCTCATATTGAATATATTGTTTTTGCAACGTTTGCAATGTGGCAATATCTTTATCCAATTGCGCTTTATCACAGTTATTTAATTCCAAGTTTTTCATTATCTGATCTTTTTGTGCGGCAATTTTTTGAAGCAATGACTGCATCTCAGAACGCTTTTGATTGTCTTCAATTTCATTTGAAATGTTTGATGTTACTGCTAAGAAAGAGATAGACAATTTAGTAAAAGTAGATATTTACTTGATCACTGATTTACCTGGTTTCTCGACGTCAGATGACTCTATGGATGCACTTTTGTAATTTTTAATTCGATTCAGAATATCTGTCCGATTCTTTTCCGGTTTTGTAATTTTTTTCATTTTTCTCAGAAGTTCATTTTGCTGTTCACTTATTATTAAAATTGTTTCATCCAATTCTGCAATCTGTTTTATGTTTTCTTTTAAGGCGTCTTCTTTTTCCAATAATTCAACTTTCAGCTGATCAACGTCTTTGTGCTGAAATAAAATTCATTACAAATATGTCAAATTCTGTAAACATCAACGTATGATGAGCAAAGAAAGTGATCAAACAGATAAATTGTAATTGTTAGAATATGATTTGATTCATATGAATACTCACATCGTTCATTGTGTGTGAGTCGGCCTTTTTCGAATCTAATTGTAACTGCAATGTTGATATTTGTTTCACAGCAATATCAATTTGAGTTTTTTTATTCATTTTACTCCATAATAACATCTCTCGTTTTGCGGTCAAAAGACTTCCGCGACAATTTAGGATTTGATCATGATCAGCATTGCTTTCTTCCAAATCAAATAATTTTTGTGATAAATGTTGTACTTTTAAGCTGTACTGTTGGTATATTTGATTTCGTTCCTATTTTCAATTAAAAATTACTCGAATGAATTATCGATTTTTTTTACATATAGACCATTTCGTTTTGCAATTTTGTGCCTGTACGAGCCATGGGTACTAAGGGTCTAATTAACCACCCCACCCCCTTGAAAACGGATTGGGAAAATACCGCTCAAAAAATTTCAACAAATTCTGTAAGGAATTTTTCATCGCACCCCAGATTTTTCGAAAAATTTTGGATTCACCCCCATGGATCTTCAAATTCAGAAGCTATACGTACAAAAGTAAACATTTTATTACCGAGTTCAATTTGTGAAGTGCATTTTCGATGGTTTCCAAAATCTTCCGATGTTCTTCTTGAATATCATCGAATCGTTGCTTTCTGATTAAATCAGTTGAAGTTTCCAGAACAACTGGATCTAGAGATTCTTGATTTTCTGGCGTTTCTTCAATATTTCCTGTAATACTGAACCATTATAAAAAGTACTTATTAGCATTTTTATTTAAAATCTCAATTTTGAGCGAATATTTTGTAGACGAAAAACGTGTATCGATTTTTGGTTCGAGCTTAGAATTTACCTTTGTGAACTTTCACTGAGATTTTCGCGTGAGGCGGCTATAAATGATAATCGTGACAAATCTTTCGATCGATTATTTGTTTCTCCACTTTGTGATCGTTTGGCTGCTTCAGCTGGATTACAATATCGAAACATATTTGTTCGACCAAATAATAAAATATCACCTTGACTTATGGGATGCGGTGTATTTATCAAGTTTGCATTTAACCAGCATTCTGATCCTTCATATGGATAAATAGTCGCCGTGCAATCGGTTAATACTATTGAGCAATGTAATGGTTGGGTGCCTATTTATCGAATAAGTTTATTTATGAAAATGTGTCATGTATTTTTTTTTCAAATATCGATTTATTGGAACTTAAATGTAACAACGTACCCGGCAGAGCGATGTCAACTTTACGTTCATCATTTGAATCATCTGTCTGTTCTTCGTTGCCGATAATGGTTTCGCCCTCTTTCAAGCTATATAACGTAACACCAGTTGTGTTACCGTCATGGATTCCAATTAGATGTGGTGCATCCGAATCAAGAACAACACCATATCCCGATTTGCGAAGACCCAACGTTTTTTCTTCGCGTAAAATTGAGAAAAAGTTAAATTTCTCTGCCCATTCTTCTGTCAAAAATTTTTCCTGCGCCTCTTTCTTCAGTAAATCTTCTAACATTTGCGATGACTTGTTATGTGACTCACATGAAATATCCGTTGTCAAAAGCATTCCTTTCAATTTGAAAATTTCTTCACGTAGCTCTCGAATGAGTTTTACATTTGGATCTTCATTGATCGTTGGTTTATTTATAATATTCTTAGCTCGATTTGCATAACGTAATGTGCTTAATGTTTCATTGTAATTTACATCAGCTGGTGAAATAGCAGCAATCTGAATAAATCACAATATGGAATTAGTTAAGGAAAAATGAATAAACGAAAAACTCAACAAAAACTACCATTATCGTTTTGCTATTGCCTCCAAGACTATCCTTCAGTAACCAGGTTAAGACCGAATCTCGATAAGGTATGAATATTTTCTTTTTGGAGCTTTGCGTTTGCTCTGCCAACAGTGCTAAGCTTGAAATGACACTTCCAAGACTAACAAGTGATTTGTTAATATGGGCGCCCTCTTTCAATCGATCACCGGTTGCTTCTGTTGAATTCGCTCTCTCACTACCAGCCAAATCAACTAAATGGATCTTTGAAACGGTTTCCGATGGTGTATTATTCATGAAAATTGCTTGCACGAATGTAATCTAACATTGAAATGGAAGAAAATTAGTCAAATAAAGATTTTATATTCGAAACTGAGGCTTCTCAATTATTAGAACATGTATTGAGGCTACTTATTACATAGCTATAGCTTCTATTCATCGATAGAAATATGAGCCAATAATGCTGTTTGGAAGCCTAAATATCTCTTTCTACCTTACAAAGTCATTGAAGCAATTAGACTACCTATTACCATGAGAGAGAGGGTGACATCGGGGCCCTGACCCGAGCTCGAACCGAAAATATTATATTCCGGTAATTTGGTACTTAAATGGCATCAATACATGCTTTGTGTCTACTCTAATAACATTTCGAATAAAACGTACAGTGAAAATTGCATGTGATCTACTGCTCGTGTCATTCATTTTGGTGCTGGCCGTTGTTCGATACATATTACCTCGATCGATACAGTCTTGAATTTCCATGTAATCAGATACCGGATGCTGTGATAGCCCTTCAACATATGGGCCCAATTGACGATGTTCACGAACACGCAGTGTATTATTTCCATTTGTTGGTCCCAACAGATCTTTAACACGTTCATTATAAATTTCCAAATAGCTGACATTTGTTTTATAGCCAGTGCCCGATTTTTGTCCCACTTTCATGCGATTGAACATCTCTTTGCATATACGTGGTATCAAACCAGCTTCTTCGTCATGACCCATCATTGTAAAGGTTTTTCCACTGCCTAAAAACCACAATAACATTTAATGATGACATAAGACAAGTGCCATGATATCAATAACATTCACTTACCGGTTTGGCCGTACGCAAATACACAAGCATTGTACCCTATGTGAAATTGAATAACACTTTTTGTTATATGTTTCAATTACCATAGAAAGGGGGAAATATTGTTGTTACATTAAACCAAAAAAAAAAATCTATTATAGAAAAAGAAAATCTTTACACAAAAGTGAAAGATAAAAATTGAAGCACTGCTGGGTCTTATCACGTTTCAAACACCAAATAGATATCAAGTAAGCTACTATTTATACAAAGTATTACATTGGTCATTATTTTGTTTGATTTGATGTCAACACGCTTAAATATTATATGAAAAGAACACCCGCAATTTCAAGTAAAAGTGTCTGAGTTGAAATAATTATTAGTGCACTAATAAAATAGACGATTTTTGCGTATCAATACCTTGAAATGCGCAATTAATAACATCAATGCCAAGATCATTGTACACCTCGTCTTGCGATACAATATGCTGTGATTTATTGTGATCATCTGTGATATGATCACGAAATGACCAATACGAAAAATCGAAAGTGAAATCATGGAAATGATCACGATTGGCATTTGCATTGATATTGGACATATCAAGGGCTGGATTTTCTGGTTTAATTAATCGTGTCTTTTTCCCGTCCATTTGAACAATAAGCTTCGCATTCATTTCATGTTCCCTGTTCAAATAAAATAAAAACGCATTTCATACACAATTTTCATTCAAAAGAAAAAAGTTATATTAGAATACCTGTTGTTGAATGGTCGAACACGAACTAAACACAATTTGAAAAAAAAAAATGGAGTAATGATTGTTTACAAAATATCATTCATTTCATCTTAAATGCATTCCAATAATACCTGCTACTTTAAGAGATGCCATTCTTCAGCTGATTTCTACGGATTTTGTAGATATTATAAATTCCTCAAGTCAAAAACATCACACTTAAATTTACAAATTAATCGAATTACATTTGAAATCGACTTTTTACACACAAAAAAATGTTTGCTAACAATTTTATTGATGCAGCAATACAAAACAAAAAATAAAATAGTAAATTACTTTCTGATCGTGACAAATAACAACACATAGGTATATGGGTACTAAAGCATACATACCAGCACACACGCACACACATTCGTACGCATACACTGCACATACACATGCATATGACAGTTTTGGTAGAGTTTCCGCTATTGTTGTTTTTGTTTTGCCGCTTTGCATTAAGTACAGGGATAGATATATATGTGTATGTGTTGGTTCGAAAGATTGTTTCTTATGTATTACATTACAAAAAAATGAAATCAGTTTCATGCAACATAAGTCATAATAAATATTCTAATAAGAGAAATAAAAAGTGAAACCAAAAAAAGAGTACGTTCTTTTGAATAGAAACGTACTCATCGGATTTGGAGCACACGGTCGTGTGCAAACACACATTGTCAATCAACACAAATACGAACACGCGGTGTATATCAAAATAAAATAAAAAAAGAAACGAAATGAAATAAAGATACATGCATGTGGAGCATTAACTGACAGATTCGATATCAATTTCTTAAATACGTAGAATCACATTTTTTGACAGAAATGCGAAAGAGTTGAAAATTTATCATTACGCGAACGTTCAACCATTCGATCGCACATTGTGATTAAATAAGTGCTTCAATCAAAGGAACAATTGATAGAAAACAGTGATGTACGAAGATAATAAAAAAAAATCATTTGCCGCATCAAAATAATTAAATCACTATTTAAATTATGTTTTTTAAATGTGTTCTAGACGTTCCAGAAAAATAGACGGACTAGACACTAAGTAGTTGACAAAATATTTCACATCTGAATACAGTCACATTTGGTAAACTGTTTTTGTTCAAAAATCAAATCTAACCGAATGATGATTATTTTACATATAGTTTTCATGTTGAACGATTGAAAATCACAGTTAACTTACATGGTATTGAATTTATTTTTTGCATACATTTTGAACTATCAGCATGACTAGAAACTTTGGTTCGTGTGTTTTTTTTTTTTTAATTATTGATGTAAAATGAAATGCCGTGAGGAAATTTATGTAATACCATTCGGTACTGAATTGTGAAGGCTCGTGTTTACTTAGATTGAAAATGTCTGCAATTATCCCAAAAAAACATATCTACGATTACATTAAATGCATACACATTTTTTGATGTTTATTAAAATCAAACAAATTAATGAACAATTTGATGAATGACAATATATATTTTTTGAAATACCAACAAACTCATTGTGCATGTGCATGTGTGTGACAGTCCGGAATAATTTTTAATATTTATGAATTGTTTTTTCGAAAATAATGAATGAATCAAAAATATGAATCGAGAAAGTGACGTAAATGAATTTTATATAAAAAAAAAAAAATCTCCAGCCAGAAAATTGAATTATTTTTATACGAAATCAGTTACCTGTGAAACATTTGTTTATTTATTGAAACTGATAATGAATTTTTATCGTATTTTCTGTTTGACTAATAAGATAAATTTAATTTTGTTTAATTATTTAACAGATAAAAGGAGTCCAGTACGACGAGATTGGATTTACCAATTAATTAAATCAATTATCTGCAAATAAAAATCAATTATTATAAGGACAGAATATGAATTTCGATGATTATGAACAATTACCCACAACGTCACATCTTCACAATATGATTGCTGGTATGAAATTTTGTTATTTTCGCAGTTTCTTTTAAAATAATTGCATTGTGTGTTAAATTGCAGGCGGAGCAGCTGGCATTTTGGAACATTGTGTCATGTATCCGGTAGACTCTATTAAGGTATTTGATTCGTTCGATGAATAAAACAAATATCTAGTAAAATTTCAGAAATCATTTGTATATTTGATTATCAGATTTCTATAAATTGATTCGGTCATTTTTAAAGAAAGAACAAATAATGAAGAAGATTGTGTCGTGTCAGTATTTTCGCTACTATTTCATAACAATCCAAAACAAATGGACAATTTCAACCAAAATAGTGAATAATTTTGTCATTTTTGTTCTTATAAGAAAGACCGCAATCGAATGAATCTTTAATAATTCTGAATAAAATTATCCGGTTCAAAGGTCCCAAAAAAAGCCAAAGGTCATTAAGTTATGTTAGAAAATAGCATAACACATTATTTTTCTCTATTTACAGACACGAATGCAGAGTCTGCTGTCACCCGCAACTAACCATACTCTAGTCAGTACCTTTAGCCACATGATAAAAACGGAGGGAATCTCAAGGTATGTGTACTTAAAATTTAATTCTCTACTGCGCAAGACCCCCGGGTCTTAGGCGGGGATTTTGAAATGATTTTTTTCAACGTGAATCTGAAAAATGCATTTCACTTAGGTACAGTTATATCTTGAAAGAATGAGAGCGAGAAAGAGAGAGAGTGAGAGGAGCTAAAAATTCATGTTTGTTCATAAAAAATCTTTTTTTTTTTTTCACAAAAATATTTCAGGCCATTTCGCGGTATTACAGCTGTTGTAGCTGGCGCTGGACCTGCACACGCATTCTATTTTGCAACATACGAACATTCAAAGAAAGTGATGTCACAAGTATTTCCTCAGTATGATCATGTTAACTATGGTAAGCATCAATTCAACTGATTTGCAGAATAAATGATTGATTGTGGGCTTATTTTTTTTTTTTGTTCATTGACAGTTATTTCGGGTGTAACGGCAACATTAATTCATGATGCTATTTCAAATCCAACAGAAGTAATAAAGCAACGATTACAGATGTACAATTCGCCGTATAAAACTGTTATTAATTGTGCCGCTGGTGTTTATCGCATTGAGGGATTCAAAGCCTTTTACCGGTCATATATAACCCAATTATGTATGAATCTACCACATCAAACCATACATTTTACAACGTATGAACTATTTCAAAATAAGGTATGCTCATTTTTATGATGAAGAAACAAATTATTCTTATGCGATTCTCGACAATTCGAAGACTTTTTTCTAAAGTTCACTTCAAAATATTATTATTCTTGAATTTATTTATTGATTGAATGTCAGAGTTAAGTGCGCAATAGGCAAATGAACATCGCATATCACATAAAAACAGAAAAAAAATGTTATTATTGTTGATATATAAACAAACGGTTTATAAGATAATCACATTGTTCAATTTGATTTGTCATCAAAATTAGTTATTTTGTTGAATGCAAAGTTTGAACAGTTACTTGCTGGTTTTGTTTAAATTCTATTCTTCGAATTATCGAACAGTCGACTGTATTTGCTATGTGCGACTGCATGACTTCTCATTTAACAATGTGTTTAAATTTTAAATGATCTATAAATAGAAGTTAAGAAGTGCAATAGCTTATTTGTTTTTTTTTTTTTTGTTTTCGAACACAAATGATTTGTGTAAAGAACGATAAAATTCGATTTCTAAACCAATCTAAATTTTTCCAATTCAAGCTGAACAAAGAACGCAAGTACAATCCAGGTGTCCATGTTGTGGCTGGTGGTGCAGCGGGTGCAATAGCGTCAACGTTCACGACACCATTAGATGTTGTAAAAACTTTATTAAATACTCAAGAGACCGGCGCCGGTGTAACACGCGGAATGAAGGAAGCAATAATACAGGTGTGTGTGTGTTCAATTATATTTTTCTATTCGAATCCCATACAATTTGCCGAGTTTGCAATTTCATAGATAAAAAAGTGATCACGTGCTCTATCAGTAAAGTGAAACAATACGTGCTGTTCTTAATGTTGAAGATAGCAACGCAAGGCGTCGCTCGGCGCGTAAAAAAGTTATTTATCATGTCACATCGTGATTTTTAACGCTATGATAACAGAAAAATGTGTGTTTTTTAATGAGATAGATTTATGTATTGTTAATGAAAATATGAAGTGCACTATTTATTCTAAGTGGTTTATTTGGCGTAATAAAATAATCGTAGATGTACATGTACAACACACATTGTCTTACATATTCGATAGATCGAATGGGCATCGCTCATAAATGCCGTAACATATGGAAAATTATATTTATTTTGTTTTGTTTTTTTTTTTTCATTTGTAATAGATCTACACAGTGGCCGGTCCATCGGGTTTCTTTAAAGGCTTGGTAGCTCGTGTGCTGTATTCTATGCCGGCAACAGCAATTTGCTGGTCAACCTACGAATTCTTCAAATTTATTCTATCAAACAGAAACAACGAGAATTACGTTACGTCTAGAGAATTGCCTTCAATATCACAAATGTATATTCGAGAACTTCAAAACAGTAAAATTGAAAAATAAAAAAATGGGAAATTGTGATTAAATGGTCAATTTATTTTTAATATCTCGTAGTTTATCTTAACCAATGTTGTTGTTATATTTAATTATTTTCCCTAGTTGTCAAATTCGTCCATATTGGTCTCGAAACTTTGCGGTCATGATTCTTTCGACTTCTCAAATGTGTCGTCCGTTGTACCCAGGGTAGCGATCTCGGAATGATCTATTGTATGAATTATTTATGTCTGTTTTGATGCCTCTTGCTCTGAAATGAAACAAACATTTCCATCCAATTAATTTAAATCTTTGAATATTGGTAATTACCACCGAACGTTCGTAGGCAGCAACGAACGATGTCAATATATCGTCAATGAAGGATTGTTCAAAATTATACTTACTTTTCAGCGACACAATCTGTACAGTACAGTTTTTTGCCTCTTCCAACAGGATTTTTACAGTCGTCACATTTTTTTTGCTGATTTTGGAAGTTGTTGAATTGTTGTCTGAGGTTTCTGAGATCGGTCTCAAGAGCGTCGATTTTGTTCTTTTGTGTGTCTATTTCTTTTTTTTGTGTGTCTATTTCTTTTTTTTGTGTGTCTATTTCTTTTTTTTGTGTGTCTAATTCTTTTTTTTGTGTGCCCATTTCTTTTTCCAGATCGGCGATTTTCGTTGTGAGTGCTTTGACTTCTTCTTTATAAAGAGTTTCTGCGTTTTTCAAAGCATCCAAGGTGGTTGGTTGATTTCCGCTCATTTTGTTTTAAATTTAATCTTTGGATTTTACTCGATGGCGTCGCTTGATTGCTAAAACAGATATGAAGAAAATTTCGAATGTAATGAATGTACTAAAATCTATTCGTCAGCTGTCACCTATTATATATTGCAGTTGACGAATTCGCCTCGTATAAGTTGGCCATACATTCAATTATTTATATTGGCATAATATTGATTTTTACTTCCAATAATTAAATAAAAATATTTAAATATACTTTTTGTTCGAGAAGAGCGGTTCAAATAATGCAATTTAAGAAGAAAAAAAAAAATAAAAATTCAAAAACGTATTTTCAAACGAAGAACTGTAAATTGTACTAGAATGACATATTCGGCCCTCTGGCAGAATTCTCACTATATTATTCTGACGCTGTACAACGCTCGCTTTGTTTTTAATAGTGAATTTAACAATTTGTAATCACATAAAATATTTTGCATTTGTAAAAAGAAATTGTTTATATTTTCAAATAAACATCGGTGAAAATACACTGAAAACGGACCGGGAACATACACTGGATCATATAATTAAATCCCACTAATCAGTATGTAAGTATTGTATAAATGAAAATGTATGTGCAAATATTTACGAGAGAATATTGATTTTTGTTTCTCTTGTGTATGCAGAATATCAAAATGGAGACAGGGAACAAAGCCGGTAGTGGATGGCCGCGTGGTGCAACAAATAATAATGCTATCAATAATAATGTTAGCATTCAAAAGCCAATCAGTACGAATTCATCGATTACAATAAATCGCACCATAAACTTGTATCCGTTGACAAACTACACATTTGGTACGAAAGAACCACTATTTGAAAAAGATCCAAGTGTTCCGGCACGCTTTCAACGAATGCGCGATGAATTTGATAAAATTGGTATGCGACGTTCGGTCGAAGGTGTTTTACTTGTGCACGAACATGGTTTGCCACATGTACTGCTATTACAATTGGGCACAACATTCTTCAAGTTGCCGGGCGGTGAATTGAATCCAGGCGAAGATGAAGTTGAAGGTTTAAAGCGTTTGTTGTCAGAAACGTTTGGACGAAAGGATGGCATTAAACAAGAATGGATTGTTGAAGATATTATTGGAAATTGGTGGCGACCAAATTTTGAACCATCTCAATATCCATACATGCTACCACATATTACCAATCCAAAAGAGCATAAACAAATGTTTTTGGTTCAATTACATGAGAAAGCACCATTTGCCGTACCGAAAAATTACAAGCTTGTTGCCGCACCGCTCTTTGAATTGTACGACAATTCGTTGGGTTATGGACCGATCATTGCAAGTTTACCACAAGCACTATGTCGATTCAATTTTATTTATCACAATTAATCCATTTTTCCCCCCGACTTATTATATAAATGGAACAAACACACACACACACACAAAAAAAAACATAAATTGAAAATAATAAAATGCGTTTACGAGTTTCATATAATCGTGTAACATCAATAATAAAAAGTCATCAACCATTTTCAGCTGTGTTGCATAAATCGAAATGTCTATTAATTAAGCGCTTCAATTCATTCAATTTTTGGTGATGCTATTAAGATAAGTTTCATAGAATAAATGTACCCTTTTCATTGAATTTTTTTTATAAAATTGGACCTGTGTTGTATGAGGTAAACATATTGGAAATCTACTACCGCAAAATTCTGTATCATCCATTGTTGTAATTATTCGGTTGAGATGGAGTTGCTGCTGTTCACACCAATACACATAAATGAATAAATATTACTACTAAAAATATACAGCATTGTGACAGCTATTTAACTCAAAAAAATCATTTCCAATTGAAATTCCCAAAAAAAGATTATTTTGACTGCGAATACTGTGCAAACAAAATTGATGTAAAATATTTTTTATTGTACAATTTGTATAAATTAAATTTTAAAATGGAAGAATTTGGACAATCAACCACAGATCTGGATTCTGGTCTCATCGATGAAATCGTTTGTAAAGGTAATTTATGATTTCTCTTTTAATTTTTTGTTACCGTTTTGATTGAATTGCACAGTTGTAGTCATATAAACACAATCTAACTGCAACAAACAACTTTACCACCTAATCGAATTAATGCCAAATTCTTTTCTGAATTCTTTGAATGTCATGGAAATAAACAACAAATTTTGAAATTACACAACTGCGTCAAAAAAAAAGTTAATTGTGTTTGAATTTTATTAACAGTGAAATCTGAAGGCCTTTTTGATCAGTTTCGTCGTGAATGTTTAGCAGATGTTGATACAAAGCCGGCATATCAAAATCTTCAGCATCGTGTCGAATCAGCTGTTAGTCTGTTTTTAGATGAACAAACATGGAGTTCACAATTGAATAAAAATCAACTTCGTGAAAAACTGCGAAAATTGACCACAGAGTAATTTATTTTGATGCGACCTTCCTTTTGTATTTGCTTATGGATGGTATGAATATTAATCTATGACAATTTTATTTTGTAGAAAACGATTTTTCGAAGCGGGTATCGAAAGAATTATTGACCAAGTTGTTATTCCAAAATTGAATACGAACTTTGTGCCAAAGATTGAAGATGTTGCTTATAAGCTATTAGGTTTGGAGAAACCATTGTTAAACATAAAAAAGGAATTGGAAATCGATGCCGATGTTTTATTGCCTAATTATGAATTGGAACAAGTAAGTCCCGAGTCAGAAAAGTCCCATTCGAACGAATCAAAATGTAATACATATGAAACGAGTTTAAAATATGATATGCACGAGGAGCTGGATGGTAAAAATGAAGATTTAGAATCGCCGGCCTTTGAACCAATCGAACCGTGCTCGGACAAAATATTCAAAACCGAATCAACCGAATTAATGGATAACGACGATATGGACATTTCGGACGGTGATGATGGCGAACAAATCAATGGTTTCAACAATTCAAATGCTGACGAAGTTAAATCAAATCTATCATCAATAAGTGGTTTAACATCAAACGATTCAAATTCCAGTTCATTTGATAATTTCAAGGTAACCACAGAAAATCACACATCAATCGATGTGAATGATGGTAATACAAATGTGACCAATGTTGTACCACAAGAGAAATCAATTCAATCGACTGAAAATCATGTGGCACCAGAAATAACAATTGGCTGTGCCGAACGTCTACCATTGTCAGAGAATATCATTTCAAATAATATGAGTTTTAATCAAGACTCAATGTTATCGCAAGATCAACTGTCGCAAGTATCAAGTTCAAGTCGATTGTCCATTGTCACGAATAACAATACAAATACACAGGTGGGCGATGTCGAGTATGAGAGTAATGTTGCCATTGATGAAACCAGCCATGTAAATGTTCCAAAACATACTACACAAACGGTGTGCCCGTATGGAATAAGTGAAGAGGCACAAATGCAAAAATTCAATGAAAGTTCATCGTCAAGTAATAGTTTAGTTATTGAAACCGATAATATGGATGTTCAACCGTGTGCATCGGAAAAGAAAGTGTTAGTCACAAGTTTTGATATTAAAAGAGAAGAAATTAAATTTCAAGGTACCGAACGAAAATTTTATGACATTAGTACAAATCGAGAGAATGACAATAAGGAAGACAATGGCAAGGGTTATGATGAAGATGATACGAAAACAGGGGCAGCATTTGATAGTCAACAAATCGCCGATTCAAATCATGAATCAAATGAAGAAGACACGTCCAAGGAATCAAAATTAATGTCCAATTCGTTTGAAGAAAACCAAGAAGATATGCAACCATCGTCGAGCCAAAGCTATAACGATGATGATAGTAATACGTTTAGGCGCCAAAAAGACAAACATCATCACAAATCTCAGTCTCACGATGATGGACGAAAAAACTCTGTAAGTATTTATATTTGTAATTCATGGAAATTGCAGTTTATAACATGGAATTGACTGACGTTATAGATATAGCAGCGCTATCTTTGCAGCTCCTATTCACACAATGCAAGCCAATAATATATTCGTAATTTTATCATAATGTCGCGTTGTGTACAAATAGCGCCTGTGAACAGGAGCTACGAAAATGGCACTATCCCTTGTGTAAAAATATTGGCTAATTTGGGACGTTTTGACTGTCTATATGTAGTTGTTTCTGACAAATCAAGACGATTATATTCAATTTTGACTACTTATCAGACGATTAATCTCAATATCAACCCAAAATAGCCGACTGCGATGATTTCAATAGTCGCTTTTTTGCACACGGGGTTTGGTCAGTCTAATCGCTGGCTTTCAAAATAGTATTCACAAAACACAAATTTAAATAATAATCCAAATGGTACATATTAAACATCAATTTATTTTTCATTAACATATCATAGTGTTCCTCCATTTTACATTCTCTTCTCCAACAATTGGTATACATTTTTATTCCTTGTATTTGTTCAATCTATTGTGTTGCCTTCGTCCATACTGATTTTAGATTCATTGTACTAATTGACCATTTTTTTCTGATGTTTTTTTTTAACTCTGAAATGAAACAAACATTTTCGTTTAATTAATAGTGATTGTATTTTGGGTGCTCAATATCTCTGTGATAGCAATAACTATTATTTAATTTGGTAATGGTATATATTTAAAACCGAAATACGTATTGATATTATTTAATGTAAATGAAGGATTGTTCAATATTCTCCTTACTTTCGAATGGCTGGAGTTGTCGCCATTTCCCACTTTGTCATTTGTTTTTTCAATCTGTTGATTTTATTTCTGAGGTTCTTGATTCGTCTGTCCAAATCGGCCATTTCTTCGGCTATTTTGTTTTGAGCATTTACTAGTATTTTTGATGAATCCTCGGAGGAGATATCAGAAGAATTTCTTTGTTTTACTCTCATTTTAAAAAATTCTTTGGATTTTTGGCGTCAGTTAATGAAACAATTGTGAAGAAAATGTCGAATGTAATGAATGTTCTAAAAACTATTCGTCAGCTGTCACTTATGGACAGAGGGATTAAGAGGTCGCCACACATCATTTTTAACTAGATATTTAAATATCAAATACTAAGACGAAACGTGTGTGAATAACAATTGAATTGTCTCTTCTAAAAAATCACTACATCAAAATTATTTGGCAAGCTAATCACTGTAGCTTTGTTATAAATTAGCGCGATTGAATTTAAATTTTTGTATATAATATCGGTTTTGATGATGCCATTTTATATTTTCAGACGGAAGACATTGATAGCAAATCTAATTCGAGAAGAAGCAGACATCGAAATTCTTCAAAAAGAGATGTTGACAATGATAAGAGAGATAGAAAGCACAATGAATCACCACACAGCAGTTTGGATCGAAAGAAGACATTAAAAAACGATAAAAATTCAAGTAAACAAAAAGATCGTACCGAATCGCATCGTTCAAGTTGTCACAAAGATAAAGCCACATCACGGCAACGTTCACGCTCAAAAGATTCAAACGATGGTTTTGCTCATCCAAATGTGCAAGGTTCATTCAATTGCAATGAAACCAATATTGTTAATCAGGGTCAAACAACGGCAAATTCATCAAATGACGGCGATCACGTAACAACAACATCCGAAGGTACAACGAACGCCAATGATTCAAAGCAATCAACCGACATGTTGGATGCTGTTCACGAAAATCAACCATTTGAATTGTCGCATCAATATGCCGAACATGAGAAAAGTATGATATCAAATTCACCGGTAGTTATTGATCAAATATTGACGGGCAATGAACTTGACTTGAAATCTTTCATCGGAGATAATCGAGACGATCCCATTGTATCGTCGATCGAACAATCACTTGAAATAAAAGAGAAAAAACCAAAGGTGGCCGATAATTTTGAAGACGCAAAACGTATGAGAAAAATTCGAAAACAAATTGAATTAAAAAATCAAAAGCAAATAGGTATGTTTCCATATTGGTTTGTTTATAGAAGAAATTTATCTCAACATAATTTGATTTATTTATTTTTTTTTTTGATTTCTTTCACAATTTAGAAAAAGCAACCGTTTTAGCAAAACAGTATATCGCATCAAACGCATCGACTGTACGGGATGACACAAAAGGTGGCATCGAATTGGAGTTCGTGTGCTCCGAAAATAAGAAAGGAATTAATATAACCGGTCCAATAATTTCCAGTCCAATCAATTATATCAATGGAAAATCATTACTGACGTCAACGTTGACATCAACATTGATCGCAACAATGAAAACTGATGAAATAACATCGCCCGCTAATAAATTTAAATTTGATGACGATAAGGAATTGATTGGTTTTGATACAACTGAAATTGAATTTGCGGAAAAATGTCATCAACATTTTTTGTCAATCAATATAGCTTTAGGAAAATGTTCGACAAAACCAGTGTCAATATCAAGCCAACGAATGGCAAACGACAAACAGAATCATATTCATGAAAATAGCAAAGACTTCAACGATGTTGAACTAACAAAACCATGCAATCGTAAACGAAAAGCAGATGCTAATAATACCCAACCAGATCCAAAATCGTCAACAGTTCGTGATGATGAAGTTCTATTGGCAAATGTTTTCATCTCAAAAACGTCGCGAGAATGTAATTTTAAATCAGATGCAACACGTATAGGTAAAATTAGTACATTTGCATTCAACCATGTGATTTTATCATTAATTTATGTTTTCGTACTATTTTTGTTTTGTTTATTTTGTCTCCTTTAGATGACCAAATCTCGACTAAAAGTAGTATCGAAAAGCAGCGACAAAAGACTAGATATTCAAATGATGATTTATTTAAACCGAGGCCTTTGCTGGGAGGAGTATCTCGCCGTCGTCGGGGATTCAATTGCAATGAATAAAGTTCAGTTTTTTCAAAAAAAAGAAGAGAAAAAAAATATGATCAAAAAATAAAACATAATTTACATTCGCATACCACTTTCCAATTGTTTAATTTTAATATATAGATGTGTGTATCAATTTACAGCATTGCCAACAGAAACATCATGATTACTTGACTATTTATGAGATGTGTCATCGTCTCAAACACATGCGCAAAACAACCATACATATATTACTACGCATATTAGTACATATACATACAAACACATCCCAAAAAAAGAAGAATGAAAAAAAAACTGATGATGTGTGTGTTACACTCACTACAATAACTGTCTATTTTCTATTACATCATCCGCTAACCTAGCATTCAATGAATTTTCATGTTTCTGTGTATATTGATTCTCGTTTCGTTTTCTCTCAATTTTAGTTAGCGGCCAATCTCATTCGTCATGTCAAGCAAATAATACTTTTTCCGCTAGTATTTAGAATAATTGTCATTTTCAGTGAATTTTTTTTATATATATAGATAACAATTGCAAATTTAGGCATATTTAAGTTACAAAAACAAAAAAAAAAATCAAAATAAATAATGAAAAGTTAGGTTCGTGTATTTTGTGACCAAATGAAGAAAAATTGATGTTGAGCATCTGTTTTTTCGATTGCCTTACACACAAATTTCGTGAACAAAAAAGAAAAATTATAGCAAGAAATAAGCTGGAACTTTTACGTTTTTCATAAAAACCTTTTTTTTATTCATGGTCATATTTTCAAAATCATTTTAAAATATTGCGTAGTTAAATGTGAAGCTTGCATAAAACCAACCAATTTTTTTTATGGGAAAAGAAACCGTGACTGGAATTTGGTGAAATCGTACTATAAACAAAAAAAACGACGAAAAAGAATTTAAAATGGGTGAGTTTTGTGTGTTCTATTTTTCTGATTCGAATCGTCTTCACTATTGTTGAATTTGAAACGAAAAAAGGAAAAACAAACAACGATCAATGTGAATCGAAAAGTGCCAAAATAAGATTAAAAAAGGTATTTTTGTATAAATGCGAATTTACATTTGTGTTGATGTATGCGTGCATGTGAGCAGATAGCTCGGAAAATAAAATTAAAAGTCAAATAGAGAACGGAACACGCCTTCAATCAAGCATTCAACGAAATGAATATTCTCTCACTCTTTCTATGTGTGTGTGTGTGTGTTTGTTTCATATCCAAAACACATAACATACAATTCATTTTATTGTGCATAATGTACATGACCCGAACTCAGATAAAATATTCTATATTGAACATATAACATTGATTTAAATTCTCTTAACGTCACGATATGTACATTCTGATGATTATGATAATTACCTAGTGTGAATAATTTCAGATGTTTCGAAATTTCACCTCACCACATCCAATTGTAATACAAAACAGTTATATCTTATCATTGTAATGGAACATCATCAAAGCACTCATGTTTATATATGTGCTTGTAAACCCTATAGATAATATAAAATACAATTAGTTGCGATGAAATAAAAAAAAAAACATTCCACATCGATGACTTCATCGCAAAAACGCTTCAAAATGGAATGAATTGTGGCAAAAAAAACACATTTTTAAAATAAAAAGACAAACGTTTTTAATGCGATCTTCATTCTGAATGACAACAATCAACAATCCTTTTTTTTTCTCATTCAATTTGGTTAAATGTCAAATTTCGAAATTAACATTTTTATGAATTCGCAAACTGATACGCCAAAGATACAATGCAAACGTTACTATCATTTTCTATTGTCCGTAGATATAAAACTTAATGACATATTATTTACTTTTCAATTTTGGATGGATTTTTCGTTGTTGCTGTTGCTCATTTCATTTTTGATGATTGCGTTGAAGACAATCACTGATTGTGATGATACATCTACTGTTTATTATACTATATGGGGGTTAAATCAGATCTAGTTTGACATGGTGTCACCACATATTATTCCAATCAATTGATAGAAGTGAATTCAGTCATTGGTTTGACTGAATGTACTAAAACATAGCAATATTTTCCAATTAGATCCATAGTGGGAAAAACAAATTCACAATTTATAGCACCATACTCATTGATTAGCTAACCGTCGGCATTTTTTCTTTCTTTCTTTCTTCTTATGTATGGATCGAAAAGAGCATTTAAATACACGATTTGCTTGCCTTGAAACCAACACAGTAATATATAATAACCAAAAACAATGTGAAACAAATGAAATGAAAAATTATCGCATCCATTTTCTGCTTTCCATCATATACCGTGAAATGCACTCTATCAATGTGTGATTGATTTCTTAAAAGCAACCAACACTATATGAACGTAATTGAACCAAGTTGGTTTTGCAATTACAGCTACAAATACGTCGTTTTAATCAGTAACAAACTGAACTATTTTTGGTATTAAAATGAAAACAAGATGTTTAATTAATAAGTTTCTAATTTTTTTTTATCAAATATGATTACTGACAAAACTAAATAAAAAAATATTTCCAGGGAAGACAAAAATTTGCTGCACAAGATGCCAGAAAAAATGCTCCGGCGAGGTTCTTCGAGTGACCGATAAATATTTTCATAAGCAATGTTTCCAGTGCACGACGTGTCATAAGTCACTAGCTTCGGGCGGTTTTTTCTCGAAAGACGGTGCATTTTATTGCACAACGGACTATCAAAAACTATTCGGTACCAAATGTGCTGCATGCAAATTGTATGTTGAAGGCGAAGTTGTTTCCACAATGGATAACACTTATCATCAAAAATGTTTTACATGCAGTCGATGTAATCAACCGTTTCAATCAGGGAGCAAAGTAAGTAGACTATACAGTTCAATTGATTTAAAGCGAAAATAGAAATAGATTTATTTTTAATGCTAATAAAGGATGATAAGTGTCGAAAAAAAATGTTAAATTTTTTATTGTTGTTGTTGATCTAGGTAACTAACACGGGCAAAGGGGAACGATTTTGTGAAGATTGCGTAGCAATTCCACCCAATACAAAAATCCATTCATCATTTAATACACAAGTAAATCAATCGGCGGTGATTGACACCAATAGTCCAACGCTTGCAAAAGCACAACAACATAATCAAAATAATTCACTTAGAGCATTAAACGATGATGATACATACGATCCGAATGCATGTGCTGGTTGTAAAGAACAACTAAAGGAAGGTCAAGCGTTGATCGCTTTGGATCGACAATGGCATATCAGCTGTTTCAGGTGAGAGAACATTTGAACATTTTTATTTTTATTATTTAAAAAAAAAAAAAAATTTTTTTCAAATTCATTATCATTCAATGGCATTGCGAATATTTCTTAAAACAGCTGTAAAAATTGCAATGCACTATTAAATGGTGAATATATGGGCAAAGATGGGACTCCATACTGTGAAAAATGCTATCAAAAACTTTTTGGTGTTAAATGTGCCTATTGTAATCGTTATATCAGCGGTAAAGTTTTACAAGCTGGTGACAATCACCACTTTCATCCTACATGCGCAAGATGTACTAAATGTGGTGATCCATTTGGAGATGGTGAAGAAATGTATTTACAGGGTAGCGCAGGTAAGATCGTATTGTTTGACTTGCATGTCACCATTGTGACATTTAAAAAAAATGAAAAAAAAAAGAACCATGACCGGTCCAATAATATTTGCAATTGTCAATTTTACAGTTTGGCACCCGCGTTGTGGACCTTGTCCGTCTAGTGAACTAGGAGCAATATTAGATGGAAGTACATTACTAGGTGGAAATCAACTCAATGGAAATATTACAGACACTGAGTGTGATCGTTTAAGCAATAGCGTTATCAGCGAAATGCAGGTACGTTCTTTATTTTAGAAACCATGTTACACTGCTCTTTTTGTGTGTGTGTTTTTTTCATTAAATTTGTTTTTAGACCGCTAGTTTGGATTTTGTAGTATTTTTTTATGTTTTTCCGAATTGAATCCGTATTGCCATTTCGGAATGAATGACAAATGGACTTTTATCAATTAATTTCAATTGAACAAATATTATTTATATGCACGATTTTTTATTTGACTTACACAATTTTTTTTTTTCGTTTATTTTTGTGTGTTGTGTTTTTTCTTTGTTTATTTTTTCTTAATTTGCAGTTTTCATTACGTTCAAGAACACCTAGTTTGAATGGTTCAGTGTACAGTCCAAATTCTAGCAGAAGAGTAAGTAGGTCAATATACAAATAAAACTATCATTCTTCGACTTATCTCTGAAAATGTCGCTTTTATTTTTAATCGCATAATGAGTAGGTTTTTTTTCATGTTTGTGTTTTATTTAATTTTATTTATTTATTGCTTGTGCAAATGTTTGTTTTTATTTAAAAATTGACTTTGATTTTAATCGATCACTTTGTGTCTCTCTGTTTTCACTCTCTCTCAATTCAATTGATGATAAGAATGTTTAATATTCAACCTGAATTTATTTTGTTCATCTCAAACAGTACCGAACTGTTAGTCCTGGTTTAATGTTGAGAGAATATGGCGGCTATGGATATGATGATATATCACGTATTTACACATACAGCTATCTTACTGATGAACCTCATTACTTAAGAAAACCGGTTGATCCGTATGACAAAGCACCGGTATCACCACATTTTCATCGGCCAAGTAATATGGGTGGTTCACAAGCCGGTAGTCGTCCACCATCTCGACCATCGTCTCGAAATAAAAGTGCTATGAAGGTGCTAGTCGATTCAATTCGTTCCGAAACACCAAGACCAAAAAGTCCAGCTATGAACAATGAAGAGCCAATCGAATTGTCACATTATCCGGCAGCTAAAAAACCACCACCCGGTGAAAAGGCAAAAATTGAACGCGATGATTTTCCAGCACCACCATATCCTTATACAGATCCGGAACGTCGTCGTCGCCTATCAGATTCATATAAAGGTGTTCCAGTATCAGACGATGAAGATGAAGTTGACCACGCAAATGGTGATGCGAATACTCAAGATGAGTAAGTTTGAATAAATCAATTTTCAATCAAAATAATGAACAAAATTTCGAATGTGACACCAATTCTTTTAAAATAGTCTTCTGAAAAGGGAAGAGGAGGAACTAAAGAAAATTAAATCGGGAATGGGTGCTGTTATTTTAAAAGATTTGAAGGAACATGCGAAATATAGAAAATGGAAACAACATCACATCGATCCTAGAAATGCATCACGAACACCTTCAGCCTCCAAAGAGCTTATGTATCGTTTGAGATATGAATCGCCAATAGGTAAATACAAAAAAATATTCTTTGATGTATTCGCCCATTAACATCGTCATTTATAGGTGCATCACCTTCTCGTCATTTGGATCACCAAAAACCATTCTACGACGACGAAACTACATTTGATCGATCAACTAGCTATCGAGGCTCAGTTGGACGATCGCTTGGAACAACCCCTAGTTACAATGGTAAGTTCAACGTTTTCACTTTATTTATACGAACATAATATCGAAATTTGTGGTGAAACCTAATATATGCAAAGGCTGCGCCGTTTTTATAATATGCAAGAAAAAATGTTTTGAATTGAAACAATTATTGCATGTGTCAAATGTTAGGCATGTTTAAGTGATGTTAAATAAAAAAGGAAATTTTAATTAAGTGTAGTAAAAAATGAATTATTTTTTATTGAATTTGATTAACACAATGTTTTTAAATCGCTGACACAATTATTTTATTGCTACATAATGTCGAATATTTGTACATCGATGACTTCATAAAAACAAACGTAAACACGGCACAAACTATGCATATATTTGCATAAACATAAACATACACTAAAATTTTGATGTGATAAGAAAACAAACAATCGTGACACAATCAATAAAAGAAAATTATTGAAATTAAGTATTCGATTTTGATATACACAAGGACAACTCATGAGTAATATACGATTATGAATACATTACGCAACGTTTAGCAAAAAATGATTTATATCTAGTGCTATGATAAAAACAAAATGATTTTCTCACTTTGATTGTGTCATCGTTGTTGTTTTAGCATATCCATGAGATATTTTTTCATTTAACAAAAAAATGGCAATGAAACATTTATTCACAAGTTTGGCCGGACTAGAATGTTTCAACAAAAACCATGAGCTACAATTTCAAAATAAGTGTACAAACCGGTACAAACAGATATTCGTTGTTCTCAGAAATAAACGATATTTTCGTAGCTTTGCTCTGAAAAGAATAGAAAGGTGGCAGTTGAGAGGGAAGAGAGTGCTACAGAGAATCAAGTCTTGACCTGGAAGCGAGCAAGTGTTCAAGCATGCTCAAGCAAGTAATAAACCTTTTTTGAGCAACCGGAGTAGCAGAGAGTAATTTTTAAAGACTACTTGCTTACTTACTAGCTGCTCGCATTGCTCCAAAAAAAGCAAAATAAAAAAATTGAGAAAAAAAGCTAGCTGATTATCAAGAAACTATTTTAATCGCAAAAATATTTTTTTCGATTAAATATATTTTCCACCTCAATTGCCTCCTTCTCCTCAGAGGAACAATCTCTGGTTTTTAGATACTTTCTAGTTGGCGATATAAAGTGATTGAGAAGATTTTTTTTTTTTAACTTTATATATGTTTTCTTTGGTTAATCTTTGTTTTCTTTTAATTCACATTATATGTTCACTTTATTTTTAAAATTCAACATGCGGATATATTCAGCGATTCACAATTTTCGTTCGACTCCAAAATTCGGCATAAAATCTTCAACGTTGCCGTCACATATTGGTATTAAAAATGGGTATAGCTCTGTAAGTTATCTTCCACACATGATTCAAATCACATAAATAACATGGTGTGATGTTTTTGAAACTAAATACGAACTGTGATTGGTGTAATTTCAATACCATTGAATTAATTATAATTCATCAGAATTTTATGAATCAACAGATTGAAAAAGTAAAAAAAAATAACCTACAATTCTCAATTCAAAATACTGTATTCATTATAAATACGCTGTAGATGTCGTATACACGACTAACCACCGCAATATGTGACTGCATTTTCAGTCATTTCGTATGCAAATTCAATCGATCAAAATTCAGCACGTTGAATATATTTTGAGTTTATTTTTCATTTGTTTTAGTTATAAACTAGCAATGCAAATAAGAAGATATTCAATTTTTAAGGCAGCTAAATGAATTGCAATCGAAACGGCGACCCGATAATTAAGAGCAATTTATTAGATTAAACATAAAATTCAATTTAAATGATTTCAATGTCAGCATCTATCGCCGATTTCTGCAGTTCATGTGAATTTTTTTTGCTATGAGCACGTCAGTCAATTTGACAAATTTAGTGAAGTATTCTAATTTATATAGTTTTCTTATTTCAATTTATTAATTTCGATTATATTAAAATCTTTCTCAATTGTTTTACAATATGCGTTAATATGTTATGCAGACGTTTTATTTTAACGATTGATTATTCGAAATTTAAATTCGAAAAATTGCGTTTCATCATAATTTGCTTAAATGTTTTGTAAATTTTCAAATGTTGAACAAACCAAACATTTTGATATGTATATTATATAGTGGTGAGTTCATTGCGGCAAATAATCAAACCTGGATATGGTTTAGCTCCACGTTCACACACTTTCAGTTCTGCTACAACGGATTCAACACATATCGGTGGTCCTGTAAGCATTTTAATTATATTGTTTGATACATACGGTAGAGACCTTGTCTTGGTTCCATATTTTTTTTTTTTTTTTTTACAAAGTCAGAGAGAGAAAAAAGTATAAAAAAAACCATATTCGGATCTTTTTTTTGTTCGACATTTTTTGTATTTTTACGAGAAAACATTTATTTTTTTCTTTTTATTTAAAGAAAGTTGATGATTATGAAAAGAGATAAGGAGATAGAAATAAAGCATGATTTGATATTGAAAGAACACAACAAACATTTCATCAAAATATCGAAATCAATTAATTCAATACATATGATTGTCCGAGAATGAATGTAAGACTTCTATCAAGATTTCCTTTAAGATATATTCTCAAGAGAAGTCTCAGATTCATTCTCGAACACTCATAAGTGGAGCTGAGAATGAAACTGACTTGAATGAATGTCCTGGCTTATGCTGATTTCTGTAGTAAAGAGCAGGATTATTTTCAGTTACACATATATTTTCCTGTATCGATTAGCTTTCATTCCGAAAATGTGTTGATATGGTCATTTGGATGGATAGATATTGAGAAATTATACCAAAAAGCAGTTGCGTTTCATCATCCACCCATGTGTTTTTTGAAATATCTTATTGAAAGCAGGGCTCATAAATAATTTTTTTTTGGCAACACAGGAGTTTTCTTTTGGACTTGGAGACAAAACACAGAGCACAGAATTTAGCTGTGGAAAATCTGACGGTAAGCAAAAAACCATTCTGGTTAATTTTAATTTGAGGTGAATATGTTCTAATAAATGTGTACTTTATTTTAGTGTCAGTAGATTCAATAACTGAGGGAGATCGACGTGCTTTGGTAAGTATTAAACTTGTTTGTTTCTGAAGACGTGAATGTTTTGCTCAATTTTTGACAAAAAATCTTTCTTTTTTCATAGATGGCCGATTTGCCAGCATCAAGTACATATTCTGGTGCTTTATCCTATCATTTTCCTCAAACTGGCTTAATTCGTCGCAGTTTGCCCAATATGGCACATTCTGTTTTGGTTCATGAGCCAGCCAAAATCTATCCTTACCATTTGCTTTTGATTTCGAACTATCGTTTGCCGGCAGACGTTGATCGTTGTAACTTGGAGGTAAGCAATGTGAATTGACCACAATTTTCGATTTTTCCAATTTATTTTCTGCATTTAATTCGCAGCGTCACTTGTCCGATGTTGAATTTGAAGCAGTTTTGATGTGCACTAGAACCGATTTCTACCGACTACCACAATGGCGCCGAAACGAAATAAAACGAAGGGCACGATTATTTTAAATTATTCCAATGATGATTTAATTGAAATGAACTATAGTTGGGATTTATTGACTATTACATTTGAATGCCTATGTTTATGCATACCTAATTAAGTATTGAATTTACTTTTTTACGCCGATGCAAATGCATTAACTAAAACTTACTTGTAGAACAAAGCATTTTTCCTGATAGGACAATTATAATGTTATAATTTAAAGCAAGTTGGTACAAGTGAATAGAATGATTTTTTTTTTCGCGGTAAGGTTTATGTTTTCATTTAAATTTTTTTAGTGCATTTCAAAGTAAAATATTTGATTATATTATTTAAACTCAATTTCAATTGGCAGCGCTTGCATTTTATACACATACACACAAAACACAATGCAACATATGGATCTATAGAAATTTTGCATTTCAATATTGTTTGGCTTGAGAGTCGAAAGTTCAAAACATTTAACAGTTTTATAAGTATCCAAGTTATACAATTCAATTGTAGTAATATTACCTTCGGTAAAACCTTCTGTCAATGAAAGTAGCATATATATTTTATTTACTTTGATCACAGTGTTCCAAGTCTTGTCTCTGCTTTTGCGACATAGCCGTTAGTTAGCTTTAGCAACAACAACAAAAAAAAAATTACTAAATATATTATATTTTTAAAATTACTGACATGGAAATCATAATAAAATCAAAACATTATTTCAATTTTCATTTTTTTTTCTTGTTTTTCGCCAAACGGCACAAGCACATTCATAAAACCATTTTTATTCAAATTTAAACTATTACAAACAATTATTTTAATAAATAATTATTCATGTATGATGATGAACACAATAAAATCCTTGGAAATTATATAATTATGTTTTTTTTTACTCATAAAATATATGTATACATCGATTTTTACGTTCCAATTTGTATCCAAAATGTTGAATTTTTTAAAGGACCAAATGTTTCTTAAATTTGTAGGAGGTAACGTAAAATTTTCAGAGGGATAAAAATATCCCTCATCTCCCTGTGTTAGAACCTCCTAATGTTTTTGATTTTAAAACTAAGAATAAGAAGCGATAACTAACTGCTTATATTCACGCACATGGATAACAAACAATAAACAATCTGGAATGTATAATTGTATAATGAACAATAAAATACTGATTACTATGAACAAAATGCAACGGCTATTCATCGCATTGCTGTGTAAAATTCAAATTCTTAAGTGCGTATACCAAATATATGGATATATAAAATGTAATTTTTGGTTAAAATGTGTCAAAAAAAATCCCAAATACAATCAATTGGCAGGTGGGTACTTGATGTCTCTCGCCTAATCAAAGCTTATGCGACTAGATGTTGCTAGAGATTTTGGATGAAAAAAAGTTCTCACAAGTTCTCGTGACCTAATATTTTTATACCTTCTGCCATCTCCTGCTGGGGTATTTCGCACAAGTCCTTTATATTCATGGATGGATAAATTCCATTCAAACGAATCGAGTCGTTTTATTTGAATCTTGCTGAAGTTTGTGCTACCATTTTTGGAGGCCCATTTTGTTGCCAAAAAATCTTTGTCCGGAAGATAAATCGTAACTTTTCCGGCTCCGTCCAATTTTTCACGTTCGGCATTCAACTTACGCAATTTTAATACCACTGGCCATGTAGTTCTTTGAATAAGTTTGATTTTTTTCAATTTTTTTAGTCGTTGAATGAATGGTAAAATATCAATTTCCGATGGATTTTCGAAGTAAAGACGTTCGATATTCACGAGATCATTTACATAGGTGCTTATTTCGGTTTCGTTGCTTTTTTCTTTGCCCTTGCCTTTGCCTTTTGCTTCGAATTGGTATTCGTCTTCGTATTCGAGGTCGTCTTCGTCTTCGTAGCCGTCTTCTATATCAAATACAAACCGTTTAGGTGGATCACTTTTTGTTTCAGCCAATTCGGTCAATTGATTGAGTAGAGGTTTCATTTTCTTAAATGAAACACAACTATCAATAAATAGCTTTTCCACAAACGGATTTTCATTGCCACTAAAAGGAGCCAAATTCTCCCAATCACCGAGATCCGTGCTCAAATGTAATTTATTGAACGAACCATCAATGTGAAAATGATTCAACAACTCCAATTGTTTCTTCGAACTATGTCTGTAATCAAACTTCAATCCAAGTGAATCCAATTTTACGCTTGCTTCTATGAATTGCTTCGAATCATTACTGATCTTATCCAATGTAGAATAATGGCATGAAAAACTGCGTACTTTTGGATTAAGTTGGAAAAATGCTAAAAATTCCGCTTTTGTTGGGCCATCGCAAACAATCAATTCGAAATGCTCAAGTTTTGGGTATACATTTATCAACCATTCATATTTTGGTGAAAAGTCACTGTCAAATAATTGAACATGAAGACGTTTCATATTCACACAATATTGTAGTAGAAGTGTGTAAAGATCTTCAGTTACTGTACAACTTAGTAAATGTAATTCTTCGATTGTGCGCAAAATTGGTCGAAGGCAATGAATGTGGTATCGCTTCAAACATACGTCTGCGAGTGTAAGATTTTTTAGCATTTTGAATTCTTTGTAGTGCAATTTCATATAGTTGTATGAGCCCAGCGAGTCACTCAGACCAGTTGAAGTGACGAATTCATTATAATCTGGTATAGCAATACGCCTTTTGTCACCCCACATCGTATGCGAATCAAACACACGAATGCCATCACATTGGCATACAGTTTTGGCAGCTGAATAATTTTTTCGAAAAAATTCGCCCGTATTTTGTCGAAAGAATTTACATGTTTGGCCCAATGCAACCAAATCTTTTAGTGGCATGTATGGAAATAACGCCTGAAAACAATCATTATTCAACGTAAAAATGTACGCTGGACCCGAAATCTCTTCATTTTTCTCACTATCCTTCTCCTTCTTTGTATATATACAAACATTATTCCCCTTCTTTGTCCCTGTACGAATGTCGTTCTCCTCGTTTGACTTTCTGAGAGATAATTTCCTTTGAATGTTCCCCATCAGTGAATGATTTTGGATTTTTTTTTTTTATTGGATGAATATATGTGTTTAGTTTTGGTAACTGAATGAATGCTGTATGGAATGAATAGCCAATTAATATGATGATAATAAATTGAAGAAACAAGATTTCACTGGGATACAACTAAAGAAAGGAAAAGAAAAGAACAAACAAACAAAAATATGCACACCTTTTAACAACCTCTTTATGGCACCAACTGGCAATAAAATCAATAAAATTTCCAGGCACACGTACGCATTTGACATTTTATGTCATTCCTGATTTTACGCACTTGCGTGCTGCATATCAATAAGGATTGTCTGTGATGTCAATCATTAGACATTATTTATTCCCAACAAATCCATAGATAGATATTTTATATACTGAAAAAGGTAAACATATATTTGAAACGTTTTTCGTGCCCAAATATTTAAAACTAGTGAAAAGATCATAAAATTGATTTTTTTTTGTTTTCTGAATATATTCATGTGTGAAATATTTCTTGGTTGTAATCGCAGTATTATTATCCACAAAAAGGACAACTGTTATTCATTGAAATTTTATTGTGAAAATTTTTGTTTGGTTAATTTTTTCCCAGGTTACACCCAATGAAGAAACAAATACACTTATCCAATAACAAATGACCCAGTGATGGGCAACATTCACATAAGGATGCGTAAAAGAAGGAAGAGCAAGGAATCGGAGGCTGTAGCGATCATTTCGAATGTTGAACACCATCAACCGTCATCGTCGATTTTCAATTTGATTGGCCATTGTATCGACGAGCTACTTGAGTATTTATCCCTAAAAGATTTGCATTCATTAGGCCAAACATGCCGAACGATGCAATGTGTGACGGGTAAATTTTTTACACGTAACTATTCAGCGGCAAAAATTGTTTGCGAAAGTGATGGCATTTATGTGATTCATTTATCCCATTGTAATCGCATCATTGAACGTATTCCGATACCCGGTTTTATTCAATTTATTACCTCGGTTGCGATTGAAGGTGATCTAGGCCCATTCAAATTTATAAAATTGCATGCCAACGAATTCAAATTGGTGAAACATTTGTCTCTCACAAATGTATGTGTTAGTCAGCAAACAACAAATTACATTAAAAAAATGTTGGATAAAATTGAAATATTGCATCTACGACATTGTTCGATGCATCGAAATCTATATGATGTTCTACTTAAATATTGTACAAATATACGGAAAATTTATATACAAAAAAATGACAATAATAAATTCCATGGTCAATTTAAATGGTTACTAAGACAATATACAACGTTAGAATATTTAGAATTAAGCTTACAACGGTCTATAAAAATCGATGAATTTCGCAAATTTTTTAAACGTAATCCGAATGTACGCAATTTTACCTGTGATTCATTTGTATTATGGCCAAATGCATCTTTGTTACTCAATTCAACAGCGAAATTGGATACATTCGGATTGAAATATGTTGGTATTCCGCTCATCGGAAACAATTCTACCACTGTAAAACCATTATGTAATTTATTAAATAGACTTCATAGTCAAGGTTTCTATGAGCGTTTACATGTAAATGTGTTTTTGAGTCGAGAGCTCGATTTTATCAATGGTGTTGAAAAAATTTTCATTCCACGTAGCAATATGGTAAATAGCATTGATATGCTTTTAAGCGATTTAGTTGAGTTTACTGTTGCAGAAGTGAATGAACGCTTCGATAGAAAAATGATAGAAAACCTTGTGAATCTTGAACGTCTTTATTTGGAAGATGGCTCCGCCGATGATATTCTTCCATTCATTCAACTAACAAAAAAATTAAATAAAATCAAATTGATTCCTCGTGTTAGAAAGAACTGGATCCACTTTGAATATGAACCAATGATCCTGAAATTATATCCATTGAATGCCGAACGGGAAAAATTGGCAGGGGCACGAAAGGTCACGATTTATGTTCCAGATACCGTTTTCTTGGCAACCAAATGGTGGTCCAAAAATGGCGTCACAAACTTTAGCCTAATTGAAATGAAACGAATTGGTTCATATGATTGGCATTTATTAAGATGAATTATTTAATTGGATGTTACATTTAGGGTGAATTTAATTTTAGTTTTTTTTTTGATAAATCAACGTCCATCGTTCGTGTATTAGTTGTTTAAGTTTCTCCAGAGAGGCCAAAGAAAAGACTCAAACTTAAACTTTAATCATATCGAGTTTAAGCTACTAGTTGAATATGGAAAATAAACAAAACTGTTAAAAATCTGTTAATAATATTGAAATGATTCTTTGCAAAGTCTGAAATAAAAATCAATATTGTAAATTAACCATTTTTATGAAGTTTTATTTGACTTTTGGCTTTGTGGAAAATATATTCTTTTTCTTTGTTGTGCAAATTTGCCATTGGGTACCAACTAGCACTTTTTTCTTATTTTATTTAAATGGAAAATGACATTTCGCTGCTCGGCCTTCTGGCTTGAGAGCTGAATAACAAGTGACTTAAAAATAGTGGGGTTTCATTATTTGGCAAAATTTTATATCGAGTGTGTGCCATTATTCTGCTGAGTGAGTGAGTAGAATGTTCTCATCAAATCAGCATTTTGCCTATTCAGTGAGAACGATCCCGAAAATCAAAACTCCTTCAAACATCTTTACACTTATTTCGATTTATTGCAAAAATCAAATGATTATTAACCAAAGGAACTATTCAGCTTCTTTGTCCTCAGTTTAAATATGACTTCAATACCTGACGGCTGTATATATTTTTTAGTTAATGAAGTAATGCCTAAACAGTCAGTGGTTTGAATTAATATTCATTTTCGGTGAATGCCAATGTTTCGTAATTAAATGACGGTAATTTAAAGAACGAGATGTTTTCTCATGCGACGTTATTGATGTTTTTATTGAATTTCACTTCATTTGTGAATGCTTTCAATCAGCTGGATTGATATGATACTATGAAGTGTACAGACGACGACCAATATTACTTACATCCTGACATAAAATTTTAACATTATAATTCTCTTTTTCACACAGTTTATAGGGAGGACAAATAATTTAGTGGAATTTCTCATTTAAAATGTACAAATGCAGTGAATATTTAATTCAAATTCTGTGTTAATTAGCATGTCTACGGCAAGTACGATTGTTTTTTTTTTAATAATTGGGTGTTAAAATAAAACATGCCAGTTACAAAGCAGAAAATTCCTTTTGAAAATGATATTAAATGATGAATCGAATCAATCTACTATACATCGTATGTTTAAACGGTTGAAAGGAGCGGAGTAATTTCCATTGAAAAAAGAAACGTACAAAACTTTGTGGTGCTAGACTCCACGTTGAAGGGTCTTTCGGATAGCCATGGAGTTGGGGAGACTCTCTTCCTGGAGCCCCTAAATACACAAAAAGGTGAATTTTTTTGACAATAATTCAAAAAACTCAATGTATGCTATCGGATAGTACATAAAATATAGAGACCTGAATGATGGAGTCCAGGGGCCCTCTATGAGTGTAAATATTGAAACATAATGCCAAATTATCTAGAATCGTTCAGGCTTCATGAAAATAATATATATTCATTTTGAGAGCCCCTCGAAAAAAGATAATCACACCATTAAGATTACATAATACATGTCGTGACTCTGTGGTCGATTCAATTTTGGAAACTCGGTGAATGTGTATGTTCTTGATTGGTAGTAAGCCTGTTGTCTTATCGGATATCATAGGTACTCATGAACAATAGAATGTGCCTTGGAATGTGTTTAAAACAGTAGACAACTAAAAAAGTATAATAATATTTTTATTGAATTATTCATTAAACAACGTAGTATTATTTTAATTTAATAGAAATGGAATGACACAATAAAAATCTGGCTTTTCTGCAAACAATTTTCGTTTTGCACAATAAATATAGTATAAAATATGCATTTCATCTATTTTTCGGCATATATTACCATCAAAATTCTTTGGGTTTATAATTCGGTTTCATTTTAAAATCTTATTATTCGTTCGGGGAGTTTTGAAACTGTTGCCGATAGATTAGTTATACAGACATAAGGCTCAGTGTATTTGTATAGTTGAAATTAAAAGATGATAAGATTAGATATTTCGAAATATAAAGGGTTATGACAATGCGTGATCAGTAGTTCTTATTTGTTTGTGGTCAAAATAAGTTTGATTTCCCAAAATGAGGATTGAATATTTTATTGTATTGATTTTTGGCCTTGTGGCTAGTTTTGGTGCTGAGATAAAAAATGTTACCAATGTAAGTTTATTGAGGAAATTTTGTGATAGTAATTTGAATACATATATTTTTCATTTTTTTTTTTAATTTGAAAAGGGAATCGAGCAAAGATTGGGCTATGATTGTCAGTATGCTATTCTTGAAAATATCGACATTCATAGCTTAATAGATATAGCTGAAAAGGGTATAAATTTATGCACGCCAACTACCGATATCTACAAAAAAAAAATTGCGAATAAGGTCATCGAAATGATAGAAAATAATAAGAATCCGGAGTACATAAATATTTTTATCGATGGAAAATATATCAAGACAATCGAAATGGAGACAGTTGATTTCTTTCTTGAACATTTTGGCGAGTATATTTCAACGTTAAAAATTAAATTTGAAAGATATCAGCATGAATATCCAAAAAAAATCGTCGAAATGGCGAATCAATATTGCAAAAATTTGCATGAACTGAGCATAATATGCAATAGCAAATATGTACTGAATAACATAGATAAACCATTCTACAATGTAAAACACATCGCTTTGCGGGGTAAAGGAGCGAGTACGACGTTTCCCCCTTTGCTAAGCGAAATAAATCCGATATGCGGCGCTGATTTAAATGTCACTCTATGTCATTCCACAATGATACATTTTTTGGCTTGACAATATATAAGCTCTTCATTCAACATGCATAATTTTTGAACGGTCGAGTAAAAAAAAGAAACATATCATAAAATATTCTTCTTACGTTTATCATAAAAATTCTCTATATTTTAAATTTATTTGTTTAAAAATAACAATAATTTCAATTTTTTTTTTCATAGATTGAACAAGAATCTAATGTAAAAAGTAATACCAATGCGACACCTACCGTTAAAATAGAAAAGGAAACTTATTTGGAATTGTAACATTTTGGTCCGCCATAACAGCATCTTCGTTTTGCTTCTCTGTGATTGGTCAAGTAAAACGAAGATGCTGTCATGGTGGACAAAAATGCTACAATGGAGACCAACTAAGTTTCTTTTTGCATTTTCACGCTAGGTGTCGCATTGTCATTACTATTTACATTGGATTCTTATTTAATCGATGAAACATTTTTTGTTGAAATTATTGTAATTTATAAACAAATTAATTTTTTTATAAAAAAAAATTTTAATAAATTTTTTAATGAAAAATGTTAGAAAAATATTTTATGACATGTTTTTTTTTCAACGATTCAATAATTATGAATGTGTATGCATTTTAAATGAAGAGCTTATATATTGTCAAGCCAAAAAAGTATTATTGTGAAATGACAGAGTGACATTTACATCAGCGCCGTATATCGAATTAATTTCGCTTGGCATAGGGGGAAATATTTTGACAGATAGTACTCGATCCTTTGTCAAATTAGGAAGTCGTACACTGAATTTAAAAGAAATGTTTCCGAAAATGTACTGGCTAGAATTAAATAAGGTCATAATATCGAATCCGAATGATTTGAACTACTATTTTCCAAAGTTACGTAAACTATATGTTTCATTTCAAAAAGGATACGATGATAATGAAGAAGAATTCATTAAAACTGAAAAGATAATGCAGAAGAATCCTCAAATTCGGTGGTTCCATGGTCATTATATTCCAATAAAAGTAGTAAAATTGGCAAACGAACATCTACCCATTCTTGAAACATTGATTCTCGGAATAGCTTTGGTTGATTACACACAAGAAATTCACTTTAAAAATGTTCGACATTTCGAAATTCGGATGACCGACTATAGTCAACCTCAGATAAATATCACTTTTGAAGAACTGGAGGAGTTTACCTGCAATCCATTCTTTTCTCCAAATTGGCTTGAATTCTTGGCAAGAAATAAATATTTAAAAAAGTTAGATATATATTGGTCTGAAAGAATAAGCTATGAAGAAATATCTTTGATTCCAAAAAACGCACCAAATTTAGTTGAAGCCTCGTTTGGATGTGATCAGTTGCAGATAAATCCTATTGTGAGATTCTTAGATGAATGTAAAAACATGAAAACATTAATAATGTATAAATATAACGAGTTTCTAATATCAGATATAGACCAATTAACAGACCAAATTAAAAATGAATGGAGACTTGAAAGAGTCAACTCCTGCACTATTTTAATTGAGAGAATTTAGTGTGAATTTCTGGTAAAATCGTACCACATGGAAACTTGAATATCTTCTAGCATATTATAATTTTTAATTCGTGTCTTTCCCCCTTGTAAATTTATGTTAACTATCAGGATGAGGTAAATATTTTAAGCTCCAAATACAGAAGTCATTTCTATGTACCCGAATCATTTTATAATTTGTTATATACTGTAAGTTGTGAGCAATTAAAAAATTAATGTTATCTTACTTCTTTTTGTAAACAATAATGTCACATCAAAAAGTTGATTAAGAAATAAAGAAATTTATGGATCTCAAATTTGATGAAAAGTTCTTATTCTATAGTCCAAACGGTGTTTTGAACGTCATCCTCCGGTTCAGTTTGACCGGTTTCTCTGTGAAAAAGAAATGAAAATTTCGACTTCTTCGCATTCGTGACACCAAATTCGATTTTGAAAATATTTATTTTGTAAATCATAACAACCTTTCCAATGATGTATTAAACACCATGATTTGTTTTCATTTCGTGGTAATTATTCTGGTCGTACTTTCAAACTTAACTTAAAATTTCAACCATTTAGTACATCAGTAGAATACGACTGTGCACTCAAATTTGCACATACATGAGCATCGTCCGAGGTAACCTCTAGGCGGCAGTTGAGTATTTCTCTGTTCTTTCGATTTTCTAGGTTTTTTGTTAATTTCGGTTATATGAAAAGAATGATTTTATTCAAACAAGCTTATGCTATTTATGCAATCTTTCCTTATCGTGATTTATTCACGTGATGTGTATGTCATGACTTGCGTCCATAACATTTTTATGTTTATTGTATTCGTGAAGTGGCAGTCACGGTCCTTGTTTTACTATTTCTGGTGATCGTGACTGCTATAGCAGGTGATTACGATTCTACAATTTTGATTCTATTCTAACATTTTTGATCGACATTCTCCTCACCCCGTAGTTAATTTTAATCCAATTAAAATGAAAAACCCCTGATGGGTGTGATCTTCCAGTTCAAATTCATTTATTGAAAGGAATAGATGTTTATTTTGCCGACTGTTTAGTGATTTTTTGAGTCATTTTTTTTGTTTTGTAAAATTTTTAGAAGAAAAAAATGTTAGAAAAATGTAGTATTATTTATCTCGTTGTTTTGTTACTGCACATTGCAGACGCTGGTAAGCTAAAATCGTCAGTTTTTCTTGTATTAGACGCCGGAAATTATGATTTCAACAAGTTTTTCTTTTCCTGACTACAGAGAATTTTTTTGAATGTAATCGGGGATGTAATGACGGTAATGTTTGTCATTACATTAAACCAACCGAGCCGAATCTAAAAAGAAATTTTCCTGAACGAACTCTAATCTTGCTTAAACGAGACGCAGTAGAGCGAAAATTGGTTGGAAAAATCATCGAACGTTTCGAAAACAAAGGCCTCAAACTGGTCGGCATGAAAATGCAATTGGTAAGTGATCAAAAGATAAAGTTACAAAAATATAACGACATTTGCGTTCGTTAATATTAAATATTGGATTCTTGATGAATAATTCAAAGTTTTTCGTTTCGCTTCTAAGCCAACCAAAGAAATGGTAAAGCAACATTATATTGAACATAAAGATGAATCGTTCTTCGATGATTTGATCGAGTTCATGACATCGGCTCCGCTAATTTCAATGATTTGGGAAGGTCCAAATGTTATTAAAATAACCCGAAATATGCTTGGAGTACACGATCCAATTACTGCACTCTCAGGCACCATTCGTGGTGATTTTAGTACCAATGTTCTCAACAACGTTGCTCATGGTTCTGATTCGATCGAAGCAGCAAACAAAGAAATGAACTTGTGGTTTCAAGCAAATGATATTATGTCATGAAACATCGATAGCTGCAAAAAGTCATGAACAGATTAAAATTAAATTCATACGTAGTTTTTATTAGATTGTACAGATCGCAATATAATAATAATAATGAAAATAATACCAGTAAATGAATGTTCCGGTGCCAAGCACAATCTATCACTTGTATATCATATCCAACGCGCAATCAATTTTCGGAATGACGTTTGGATCGTTGAGTTTTATGATTTCATCTGATTTGCAGCTTGGAGTGGCCATTTTCGATTCCAAATGAATTGAGGAAAAAAGGGTATGTTTTAGCTCCTCCATCCGATTCAACCAATATTGGAATGAATTTTCGATGCTCCGCGCTATAAATTAATAAAAACAAGTGTAGAAAAGTAATTAAATATTAATTATTGTCTCTAAAGTAATTATTTGTAATTTCCTTATTTTACCTGTCTTCAACAAATCAAACACATACAGAATATTATTTATCACTTATTAAAAGTCTTCGATGCAATGCCAATAATGGAACCATCTTTTATTTTTAATAGTCTTTGTTTGTGTGTATCAGTATGGCATAGTTCATCAACCATCGTTGATATATCAAACCGAAAGTTTAGTTCATCTATCTTTTTACCGTGACCAATGGCAACGTAATCGAATGTTCACCAATTATTCGGTACTTAATGTTTGCTTCATTGTCCATCTAAAATTCTGGCAAGGTTGCGTTCATTAAATCACCAGCTATTTCAACGTCTGCCACATTTCATCGTAAGTTTCTGAATGGATGCACGCGTGGCGGTTGTTTCACCTCATTTGATTGGGACGCTGAGACCTTTCGATGAATTGAATGCGTTCAAATATTTTTCGGTTGGATGTTGTTCACTCAACAGCTCAAACGTAACTGTTCCTGATTGTGTGTCCTTATTCTTTGAAACGATTTTACTTATTAATTGTTCCGTGTGGAGCTTCCGACATTGTTACTTTTCGTCAACGCCCATATTGCGAAGCGGCACAAAGATATAGAAATTTACCCGACAAAATTCAAGGTTACAAATAAAAATGAGTTATTTATATCTCTTTTTTATGTAGAACCGTTAACAATAATGAACGTAGTGAAAGTATTGGTGCAATCAAATCGGGCATGTGAAAAATTCTCATACACATGTCTTGGATGTAAAACAGAAAATATCATTACAAAACCCTTTGCAAAGATAGAAAACCAATTTTTACCAGTACTTACAGCCTGTGCAAATAAAGATTTTTACCCTCAAACTATTATGGAGGCTTGTACTTCTATTATCATTTTGAGTCATTACCGAACTCAATCTGACGTTTCGTCTTGTTTCACGAGTAAATTTTAGTGTGAAAATTCATAGCGTGCAGACAAAAAATTATTCTCTCCTCCGAACAATTTTTGAACAAAAATAAACACACTTATCGTCATCGGATTTCATCTTATATTTTATCGTTGGAAAGATACGTTGTTGTTTATTTCATTTTTGTTATAATTCAAAGTGAAAAATAAAAAAAAGTTGTGCGTCGACAAAAATAATAGAATGAGTGCTTTAAAGCACTCTTGGCAGTTTACGTAAAAATGTGTGTCTTTTTTATTGCATATGTTTGTTTCCCAAATTTATATATTTGCATTGTTTGACAACCGATTGACCGATGATCAACTTCTAGAATTTATGGATTCAGTTGAATCATAGGAAGAACATGATTACAGTAGCAACGATGAACTACTTGATCCGGATTTTGAGATGAACAATAAACTGCAAAGAGTGCTTCAAGCACTCTTTACCCTTTTTTACCTGACATTAACCAAAACACACAAATCATCTGGTTTTGATGTTTTTTGGTTTCTTATTTCCAGCTATTTAGAAATTTCATTAATTTTTGCGTTGAAGTATACGGAAGCACGAACAGTGACCGGTTCGCGCATATTTCTATGCTTGCCTAAATACGCTAGGTAGCATAGATATGCCAAGCATAGCCGCAAACGCAACCGACGCATCGCCGTTCACTCTATATGAACAATACACATGTTCGTTTATGCAGACGACCGTGCGCATACAATATAGCTCGAATCGAATGGCGACGGGTTCGTTGCGGCTTACGTCTCCGCTATGCTTAGCATAGCTATCAGGCATAGAAATATGCGCGAACCGGTCACTGAGCACGAACTGGTAGGTGCTCGATTGAAACTGTTCTTGTTTCATGAATGTAAAACAGAAAATGTCATTGCAAAACCCTTTGCGAAGATAGATAACCAATTTTTACCAGTGCTTACAGCCTGTGCAAATGAAGATTGTCAGAGAAAACCATACACCCAGTTGCAAAACATCAAGAACCACATATCGCTGGCGATTCGAAAAGCAATACATTCATACTATAACTATTGGATGGTTTGTGATGATCTAAATTTTAATCAAAGTACACGAACCTTTGCACATGTGAGTGATTTGTTTGGAATTAACTATTTTGCAATTGATTTTGTTTTCTAATTAATTTGGATTCCGATTTATTTCAATTTTAAGGTGGTGGACAGCCAGGGACATCCGATATGTTTGGCATGCAAACGTGGCAATTTGCTCAAATTTTACATGTAAGAATCGAATTGAAGTTTTTGATATATTTTCTGTGACTATTTACAAATTCTTTAATCGCTTATTTGCAGTGTCGTACAACATCTAAATTGGAAGAGACTTACGGCTCGTTGTGCGAACATGTCGACAAAGTTTTGAGACGATCATCTTTCCAAAATGTTAAACTATCCGAAATATTTCCCCAAATGGTTCCACTACAAGATACTATAATGGCTAATGGATCAGCTTTGACAACAGCTTTTTAAAAAAAAAAACATCTTGTATTTTAAATTTCATTGATTGAGCACAATAAATATGTTACATTTTAGGGTTATGATGACAACAATATACAATTCATTTTTTCACATAAGATTGGGGCATTAAATAATGCGGAATACTTTCATTTAATTTAATTTCATTCAAATATCTTAAAACTTAAAATTACGGTCGATAAAATGGCATTTCGCCGACAATTACTATCACAAAGAATTCGGTTCATAATAACACAATATAACATTCATTTGACAAAAAATTTGATTTGTTTTTTTTCTATTTTACGTGTGACAAAATCCATGGATGTTTGTTAATTGCTGACGCTAACATACGACGATTTGGATTCTCTTGTAGCAATGATCTAATCAGCTCTTTTGCCGGATTTGAAATCGAAAGGGAGATTCTGATGCCATTTTGTGTATCTGGTCTTTTACCGGTGAGTAGTTCATGGCAAAGGATGCCCATGCTCCATAAATCAACATGTATCGAATACGGTGTCCGTTGAAATATTTCTGGTGCAATATAATCTTTTGATCCACAAAATGTTTTCCGCTTTTCATTACACGTGATAATAGCCATTCCGAAATCCGCCAGTTTTACATGCCCATCTGAATTTACCAAGATATTCTCCGGTTTAATGTCGCGATGAATTACACCCAATGCGTGCATGTATGCCACTGCACTAGACACAGAGCTATTATCAAAAAAATAATGGAAGTAGTTATGGAAATTAAATTGTATTGCCCTAAGATACAAACATACCACATTATTGATGCTGATCTTTTTTCACTGAAACGATGATACGTTAGTTGTAGCAATTCGTTATGAAGCGTTGTTTCCATGTATTCCAAAACCAAGTAGAGATTGTGAAGATCGTGAAAGAAATTAAAGCATCGTACCTTTGGGCAATAAAAACGAAAAAAATGCGTACATGAAATGACTAGGTTCAAAATATTTGTGCTCCCAATTTTCGAGCCAATCGAATTAATGAGGAATTGAATGATCGTACAATGTTTGGATGATGCAGATGTGATTGAATTTCAATTTCACGGCGAACACATACTTCCAATCCTGCGCTGAGCATGCGTTTTTTGTTCATTACTTTTAATGCAAATCGGTTGGTTTGATTGGTTGAATTCGTTCCTTTGCTACACACCAAATAGACTTTTCCATATGTACCTTCACCCAAAAATTTCTTTACATCATAATTTTCCAATTTATCTAATTTTGAGCGCTCCATTTTTTTTTATTGAAATAAGTATACGCTTTCTTTGCTGCTAGTGGTACACAATGTATATTAAAACCATTTGTAATCACGTTGTTGATGATGGACAATAAACTGTTCGGAATGCATTAGAAATTGTTTGATAATTGAATCGAATTTGTAGACTCAAAATAATTGTGTTTTATTATTAATTGAAGTTGAAGTATATGCAAGCACGAAGTGATCGGTGTTCGATTGACACTGTTCTTGATTGACTGATTCTGATTGTCATTTGCGTCGATGATATGTTTATTTGCATATTGGCGCCACCGATTATATAAACATTATTTGGCCGTTTTATACATATAACATTGATGCACATATTTTTATGACTGTGGCGGGAAGTTACAAAAATGGAACAAAAATGAATTTCGTCTATGCTTAATTGAAAAAAATGGTATAGTTCATTTCATCAAACCAATTTTGTTTCTGCTATTTTACAGTCCCTTGATAAATACAATCAAATGTCGAAACGTCGGAACTAATAAAATGACAAACGGCAACAGCCCAACAATAATTACATCTCTTTAGTGAATCAAAGCCGAAAACATAATACATTATAAAGTACCCTATCCGCACACGTAACGATTTTTTGGTCATTTTTACTGAATATGTATCTATCTAACTATCTTCTAATTGAACCAAACATTTAATTTGTTTTTTTTTTCTACACCCATTTCTGTTTTAATTCAATAAATTTCGCATCGATTGCATATAATTTTTAAAATAAGTTTGTGTAAAAAAAAAACAATGTAGATTTCAATTGACTTAAAAACGATTTATGTTTGAAATGAGAAAACGAAAGAAATCAGTCAACAACTAGACAGTTCAGTGCTCACTGTCAAAATCAAATAGAACTACATAACCAAACTTTTATTCGAACGTATATTCCAATCGCTGATAGACTCAAAATAATAAGAAAAGAAAATGTTTCAGAGTTTGTTAAAAATCCCTCAAAATTTGGGAGGTTTGTTGAGATCAAAGCAATTCCCACTCGTCACACCGTCGCATTTCAAAGGATCATCAACGAATCAAAATATTATCGATGGGATTGCAGGGAACGACATCGCTGGTAATGTAAGTCATAAAATTCATCAGATTAGTTTCAATGCTCATAGTCTTTTCACATTTCACAGGAACAAAACGGCAACGCAGACGAAACGTTCACACAAATATTCTTGAAGAATTATGATGGCGATAACGAAACGATAAAATTCGTAAAAATGAATCCCAAAGTGATTATAAAAGAATTCATCTTAAAGGAGCAACGAAAAAATTATCGTGAAGGCGATACAGTTTATTCAACAGAATTGAATGGATTACGTGGAATAATCTCTGGAAAATATCCATACTTGGCTTTGTATCAATACCAATTGCCAGATTCGCCGCTGAAAGAACTTGTTTCGGAATTATCTAACGCAAATTTTGATCGAATATACAGATATCTTCGAGCTGTGCATATGATCGATTCTACTGGAAAATTGGCACTTCAACAACTGTATCGATTTCAATTGGGCCATTATATTTCACAGACTAATTCGCTTCCGGATTTTCATTTGAAAATGCCCGAATGCTTTGAGCTAACTAACACGCAACATTGCAAAAAACTATTTGATTTATTTATGGAATCATATGAAGAAACAATTCCGATGGATTATCAGGATTTATTGTTGAAGGAGAAACCAGTTAATAAAGTGATCGTTGGGTCCCATAAAGATGATATATTTGCTGAAAAGATTTTAAATTACGTTGTACAAAGTTACGGGAAATGATGCAGATTGTCGAGCATGATGCAATAAAATGTTGTATTTTGTAATTGTAAATGAAGGAATAAAAAAAAAATCATTTAATTCCAGACGAAAACCGAGTTGATTATTTTTGTCAGGTGTGTCACTCGAAATGTTACAAAAGGAAACATTTTTTTTCTATTTCTTATCGTAAGACCGTGAAAATTTGCATTGATTCACAAAAAAATAACATTCTGAAATTTTCGATTTTTGGCTCAAAAACAAAAATGTTGTATGGGACGTACCCCTAACTTTGATTGAAATTTCTTCAAACTATTAGAATGTTATTTTTTTGTGTAAAAAATATTCTGCGCAAAGTTTCACGTCATTACAATAACATACAGGTGTGGCTTCCATACAAAAATTCAGTTTTTTCAAACGTTTTATTTTTGAAATAAGAAAACGAATGAAGTCTGTCAAAGAGTACACATTTCACTGCCTACTGTCACAACTAAATAGAACAACATAACCAAACTTTTATTCGAACGTATATTCCAATCGCTGATAGACTCAAAATAATAACAAAAGAAAATGTTTCAGAGTTTGTTAAAAATACCTCAAAATTTGGGAGGTTTGTTGAGATCAAAGCAATTCCCACTCGTCACACCGTCGTATTTCAAAGGATCATCAACGAATCAACATATTATCGATGGGATTACAGGAGACGACGAAGCTGTAAGTCATAAAATTCATCAGATTTTAATTAATTTTTTATTCAGATTTTTATACCAATAATGTGAGTCATAAAATTCATATCATTTTCTCTATTCACAGGAACAAAACGGCAACACAGACCAAACGGTCACACAAATATACTTTGGAAGTACAGTGAAGGGTTATTCGACGAAAGAGAGCGATACGGATGTTGTAAACTTTGTAAGAATGAATCCCAAAATTGTTATGAGCGAATTTATCTTAAACCAGAAACGAAAAATGTCTCTATACGGTAGTAATACTATTAATCAATTGTTTTTCGATTATTTGCGATTCTTTTGCGATTATTTACTAGTTACTTTGTGACTCTCTCCTCAGGTAGTGAAGTTCACTCACCGGAATTAAATGGCTTACGTGGAATAATCACTGGAAAATATCCCCACTTGGCGTTGTATCAATATCAATTGCCAGATTCGCCGCTGAAAGAACTCGTTATGGAATTATCTTGTGAATATTGGGACCGAATATACAATCATGTTCGAAAGCCGTTTATTTCAAGAGGTGCTAAAGGAAAAAATGCACTTCAACAATTATATCAACTTCAAGTGGCTCATTATATTTTGAAGAATCATTCTTGCCCGAAATTCCATTTCAAAATGCCTGAATGCTTTGAAATAACTGGCAGGCAACACTGCAAAAAACTATTCGATGCATTCATGGAATCACGTGAAACAGAAGTTCCGCAGGAATATATTGATTTATTGTTTAAGGAGATACCAGAGCAAATAGATGATCGAGTCCATAAGGACGAAATATTTAGTGAGAAAATTTTTAATTACATTTTAGAACGAAACGAGAAAAATTGTTGCACATGATGCAATATAATACTGTATTTTGTAATAAATAAAAAATAATTATTGGTAGTGCAACTTAAAAATGTCGTTTTTTTTTGGTAAAAATAAAACTTTATTTCATAAATTCTGTAAATAACATGTCATTCAAAGTATTGGCCATCGGAAGCTATAACCTTTTCCCATCTTTCTGGCAGCATATGGATTCCGCGCCAAAAGAACTGCTCATTTTTTGAGGTTAGGAAAGAATCAATCCAATTTTTGATACCTTCAATTGAAGTGAAGCGTGTTCCAGACAAGGCATTCTGCATCGATCGAAACAAGTGATAGTCAGAAGGGGCAATGTCTGGGCTATACGGCGGGTGGGGCAAAACTTCCCATCCACTATTTTCCAAATAGTTTTTAACCGGTAGAGCAATATGAGGCCGAGCATTGTCATGATGGAAAATTATTGACTCATGTCCGGTCGCATATTCTGGCCGTTTTTCGTTCAATGCTCTCTTTAAACGGATCAATTGTGTTCGATACAGGTCTCCCGTGATCGTTTCACCCGGTTTTAACAGCTCATAATAGAGGACACCCTTCTGATCCCACCAAATACAGAGCATTACCTTAGCACAATGAATATCTTGCTTGGGCGTTGATTTTGCTCATTTACCGCGCTTCCCATACGATTTCTTACGCTTCGGGTTTTCGTAATGAATCCATTTTTCATCACCAGTAACAATTCGATGCAAAAACGACTTCCTTTTGTGGCGCTCAAGCACCATTTCGGACATGCAAAATCGTCTTTCAACGTCTCTTGGTTTCAATTCATGTGGTACCCAATTTCCTTGCTTTTGAATGAATCCTAATGCTTTTAAACGTTTTGAAATGGCTTGGTGAGTCACTCCTAATGATTTTGCAAGTTCTTCTTGAGTTTGACACGAATCTTGATCGAGTAATACCTCCAATTCTTCATCTTCAAACTTTTTTGGCTGCCCAGGACGTTCTTTGTCTTCTGTGTCGAAATCACCACTTTTGAAGCGCGCAAACCAACGCTGACACATTCTAACGTCTACAGCATAGTCAGGATAGGCTTCAGTGAGTAAACGATGTGCTTCAGTTGCATTTTTCTTTAAATGGAAGAAGCAAATGATTTTGTGTTGGAACGAAATTCGACATTTTGAACGCAATAAAAAACTTGTGTGTATAACTTTGACAGATGGAATTTAATAGTTTTTTTGACGCTCTTTAAGATACACTTGTTGTCACCGGTTGTCACTGTCAAAAAAATGGCGCGTATGATACATAAGAAGTTGACACAAATACGACATTTTTAAGTTGCACTCCCAATATAAATAAAAAGATATTCGTTCAATTAAAACTTGCGTGACTGCTTCAATTCTTTAAAATAAACATGTATTTTTTTAAGTTTTTACTCGTGAATCTATTCTAAATATACGTAAAAAAAAAAACTCCCGTTACACATGTTTGGACAGAGAGAAGACAAATATTATGAAATGAAAGATAAAAAACAGCGCAAAAATAAACAATTAAAAGAATGGTATTGTTCGACCCGGCGGGTGGAATATAGAGTTTGGAATATAAATAAAAATGGAAGGAAACATGAATACTTGACAATAAAACTACTTATACTGATTTTGTCATTATCTCATTTTGTATAAAGGACAAGTGTTCATTTTGCTGAGAGTATGTTATTTTTATTCTTGAGCGTTTAAATATCGTACAAAATTTTAGAAGTCAATTAATTTCAACATTTTACATTCAATAGGTTTACTTCTTCTAGGTCAGTTGTGCGAAAGACTGTGTCGACATGGTAAACGTATTAACTGACAGTAGAAACAAAAAATTACAAGTCATTTTAATGTTATCTAATTTTTAAGTCATTCAATTTATATTACAAATGGTTTTCATTTGTTCTGAGTGCACTTAACAATAGATCAATCAATGTGTATCACACTTTAATTGATCTACGAAAATTTTAATATATTTTGGAGTGATTGTTTTTATGAAACGAGTGTGTGACCACTGACCAGGCAATTGAACAAAGAAAAAAACGAACTTAATTTTTACTCAAAACATTATATAGAATACTGAGAGCAAAAGCAGCACATATCGCTTTGGTGTTTTAACTGTCAGTTCTGTATGTTGTGTTTTTACTCTCAGATTTTATTTGTCTCATTTTAGCACTTAAAATGTTTATATGTTTATTTGGCGCCCATCAATATTATATTTGGTTTTAGTCAAAAACATCTTTGTTATTCTTATTCAAAAAAAATGCGATTTTATTTATTCAATTCAACAGATTTATTCAAAACTTTATTGAAGCTGTAAATACAATATATGTAAATGATCTGATTTATTTTCAACCAAAAACGAAGTCGCCACCTAGGACATTCCATACTCAAACTAAACTGAAAATAACAGTTTTCGCTTGATTCAGTTTGAGTATGGAATATCCTAGGTGGCGTCTTCGTTATTGGTTGAATATTTGCTACCACATAGCCAAGGGGGTCGACACGGCTGGACACGAATTATAAAACTTTGATCAAATGAATCAAATGAATCATTCAATAGATAAAAATAATAGATAAAAATAATGAGTTAATACATTTAAAAAATGTCAAGAAATGATTTTTTCGAAGACAAATAATTTTAATTGTTTAATAAATATTTCTTGTATGACACAAAAATGACATTTTAAATGTCATCTAAACAATCTGAATCTTTTGAGTCACAAAAATAGCGTTTCCAATCTCTGGTAAAATACGAATTGTTGGAAAGTTCAATTTGAAATAAAATAGTGCTAGAAAAACTTAATTTAACCAATCATAACTTGTGCTTCGTTTTATTTCGATCAAATTAAATTCGATCTGTTTCACTGCCCATTTTGTTGCCAAATACACATCTTCCTCGACATAGATCGTGATCTTGCATGCTCCAACTAATTTCTCACGCATTTTATTCAACTCAAATAAATCAAGAATATTGGTTTCTTCATCAAAATATGATCCACTCATAAGTCTTTCAAATTTAATTTTGTTCAATTTCTTTGCGTGGCAAATAAACGGTAAAATATCGTCAGAAATGACCGCTAAAAAATAAATGCGCTGCAATTTCGATAAAATATGTGGAAGTGACTTCAGATCAGTAATAAAAGCACTATACCCAATCTTTAATTCTTCTAAGTTTCTCAAATAACCAACATTGATTTTATTTGTTTCCAATCGCGTATGTGTGGTGTCGTCAAATTTGACTAATCCTTTTACCGAAGCCAGCCGATAGATATGCTCTTGCGAAAACTTACTGTTGGATATAAAACTCAATTTTCTGTAGAACTCCAACTCATGGAGCTCATTGAGAAAATGACTAAATGATTCAAATTTGTCTTTGTAAAAATCATAATTGATTACCAATGTGTCATATTTGATGTTCAGACTTTTAAACAATGCTCTATTTTTCCAGAATAGCTCTGCGTTGACCTCAAGTTTCTTGATTGTTGTGTTTAGCTCAAGGAAAGTTTTGAATGCTGGTATTGCTTCCGGAACGTCGCCTCCATTCGCCAATATCAAATAATCTAACATTGGATAAATTCGATGCATCCATTCATATTCATTTCGAAATGAAATAGTATCCCACAAACATAAACATTTCATATTTGAACAATGTGGAAGCAAAGCATCAACCACATTTTCATCACTACTTGAAAGGGTCACATTTTCAACTTTACTCATGAATTCTTTCAATCGGTCTAAGCGATCTATTTCTGATTGATCTTCTTGATTAACATGAAGACCGATAACAGCAAATCCTTGTATTGATGTTAAATGTTTCAATGAAGTTGATATTAGAAAATGCATCATCTGATTAAGTGAAGCAAATCTCTCTTTATCGTCTTCCGTCATAAAACCATAAAATCCCGTTATTAAATCATACAAAATCCGGATTTTTTGTGAGGCATTGTTGAAACAATCTATCTTGTCATTGCCAATGTATAAACCATCTTCGCGGATGTGTGCTTCTTCGCTTGCGTAGTTTAGTTGAAAACAATGACCGGCAATTCGTTGCATTCGTTTACATGTTTGACCCACAGCTACCAAATCTCTCAGCGACAAAAAGTCAAACACTTCTTCGAAACAATCGATGGTTAGTTTAAAAATGTCGGTCAATTTTTGTTCCACGTCTACAGCAACAACAGCACTTTCAACTGGAGTCTCCTCGTTCAAGTCTCTTCTCTTGATAATTGATACAGTCTCATTGGCATTTTGTTGTTCGCTCATTGTGTCCGCGAACGTCGATCTATTGATTATATAAAACAGAGAATGCTTAGAATCGATCAAAATTAGTGAATTGACCACTCTACTGAGAATATTGTGAAAAACATGACAAACAAAATCGCAGGAATGTTATCAATAGCACTTTGTTTGTCATGTTTTTCACAATATGGTGTATTAGTCATCGTATCATTACGGCCAGGCTAACAAAATTTGTTTTAAGTCCCATTGCTGCTTATAATCTCACACAGTTTACAAATAGTGTGGTTTCAACCACTGATGAAACTAAGAAGAACTATACACAAAACGAATTATTATTAAGGTGAGACCTTTTACTTAAATATAGAGAATTTAAAGCAACGAACACAATGTTATTCGGTTGAGTAATTCTCTTCAAATGACAAACGATTCAATTTTTTATAAGCAATTTGTCACTTTATTGACTGGAAAGCGCTTTCCGATAAAATGACAATTCATAAGTACAAATTCAAATATTAAGTCTGTATTTAATAATGCAATTGTTTAAATTGAAACAAAAACGTTAAAGATATTTTATTTGTTGATATTCGTACTGATTTCTATTTTTATTTGGATTTTTACTCAAATATAAAAATAATCCGATAGCAAGTTTGACACAAAAATGACCGAATTCATGATTTATTTGATATTTGATAATTTGTTAACAGATCATTTTCAAAATGTATTGAGACGAAAAACAGCGTCAGCTACGAAAACACAAAACAGAATACGGAGTGAGACACGAAGAAAGTAGTGTATTTGCACATATGCTTCGTGTCTTGCGTCTTATTCTTTATTCCCCTTTTTTATCTTTTTGTTATGTAGTGTAGCAGCCTTTGCCATGCAAACAGCTGAAAAAGGGGAATAACGAATGAGACGCAAGGAATGAAGCGTATACGGACATACACTACTTTCTTCGTGTGTCGCTCCGTATTCTATTTCGTGATTTCGTAACTGACGCACGGTGCGAATGCCCCGGGTGAACAGTGCAAATTGAGTGCTTGGGTAGTTATGGTAGTATTTTTTATACCTATATAATACAATAATCACTTCTATTGTTTTCATTTGGTATCATCACCTAATGGTATCCAGATGAGCTGAATATCCAAATGACAAAATCCAAATATATTGTCTGGTTGATTTGTGATTTTTGATACTTATGATTATGGAATACTTCAGATTTTGTTGAGTTGGTAATTTTTGAGAGCAAACTCTAGAGCTTTTTCCCAAAAAAGTGAAATAATGAGCCAAAAATCTCAAGCAAGGGGGGTTATGTCGGCGAAAATTCCAGGGGGAGGCACAAACCCGACGGCTCGGCAAAGGTTTTGGGGGGCACAAACCCGAAAACCATCCCCCGTCAGTACATCTGCCCAAAGCTCTTCTAACCTAGATTTGAAAATTACGTGTATATGTAGCGAGTCGACTTTTCAGTTTCGAACTGCCGTACGATGTGATAATTGGCGCTGATCTACGTATTCTAATATCATTACGTCCTATAAAAATAAAATGGAATTAAAAACGTTTTAATTTTTTTCGGTATTTTTATTGGTTGCATTTAGAGATATTTCTATTAAATATTTCAGTGACAAGTTTCGAAGTATACAGTTTTTTTTTATAAAACTAATATGATTTACTGAACCAAATCTTCTGAGGCATACCATAAAGATTATTATTTATGTAATAATCTGCAAAGACGTATCGAATTACACATTTCAAAAATAATATCATTCATTTTCTTTTCATAAATTTTTTTTGTTTAAAAGCAGTATATTCAACGCATACTTGATTATTTTAGCATCTATTTCTATGGCCCAAAAGCTCGTCGATTTGTAAGGCTTGTATGCGGAAATTCGTTTCTGATGGATTGATTGTTCCCGTCATGATTTTCTGGAATTTAAATTAAAATTACATGTAGTAGAATGGCACGTTTCATTCCGAATTATTAACTCAATAATCAACTTCTAAAAAATTATTCAAAATGAGTTTAACGAACCTGAAATCGGCAAGACATAACCCAAAGTTCTTCTTTTCCTTTTTTATTCGTAACTATTTTCATGCCACTAATAAATTGTAATGTTCGTTCATTTTGAACAATGGTTCTAATATTTTCTCTCGTAAATGGTTTTCTGGAATCCCAACACTGAATTGCTGATGGAGTTTCCAATCCATAAAATAAATTTCCATTGCTATCCATAGCTTGCGCTGAATAAATTGGAAGGAGTGATGTTACAAACGGTATTTAATAACATTTTTTTTGTGTGTGCTCAGAATTATGACTTTACCTGTTGCTTGCGACGGACGATATCCAATTTCTTGAAAAGATCTCGGTGAATTATCAGCATTGCTATCCCAAGCCGTTGCGTTATTTATAACGTCAAGACGAACGCTATTTTCGGTATTACTGGCAAGTGTATGGAAATAAAGGTTTCGGTTTGCATCTGAAAATAAAAATAAATCATCGCATTAAAATATCATCACTGCTATAAGATACATCTACTGTGAATGTATTGAGCAAAACCCACCGTTTGGCGAGGGTGGTGACAGTGCCAATCCAAAAGTTCCGTCCATCAATTCAAAACTCTCGCCAGCAACGGTGTGTGTTCCAAATTGTGGATTTGGATAAAATAATTTATTTTGTACTCGCCATGATCGATTTGTGCGTGATGAGTATACAATCAGGCCAAAACCTTGTACATCAGCTATATAGACCATTGTATCCGAACACATGCCATATGGTGGAGGATCTTTTACATCTAAAATCTATACGAACACTTCTGGATTAAATCTATCTATTTTCAAAATTTGTGAGAAAACTTACTGGTGTGATAAAGAGCGATGTGCCCATTCTGGTTTGACTTTCAGGAAAACGATATCGATGGATTAAGGTGTCTGTATCTAAATTAAATACCAATAATTGTGGTGCACAGTGTACTTGTGTTCCGATTCTACCCGTATCAAGCACCCATAGTCGCCGACATTTATCAATCTGTAATTTTGTTTGCACATTATTCGTGTTTATCTCGAAAGTCAATGTAAAAATCAACATACCGCGACTCTGAACACACTAGTGATACCGTCACAGTTTCGGCCATGACTCTCGTGCCAAGAATACGATGGATATGGTTGAATATAATTACCAGGTCCCGCAACGTACCCTAATATACAAAATATTGTGAATTTTTACAAAATTGATGATGGCATTGTTTTCAACTTACCCAAAGTAACCGGTATGCCAGTTGTAAATCTCGGAATAGTGACAAAAATCCGGGATGGAAGATTGTCCGAACGATAATCTATGTCGATATCAATTGGAACACCATTATTTGGAACAAATTGACCACTTTGAATTGCTTGCTGTCTGCTATGTGGCGGCGGGAATACATAATCCAAACTTCCCCATTCAGCAACTCCCTTTAAATTTTGAGCAACAATGCTTTTTATATTTGCCAAAATGAAGACCCACAAAATTACGTGCATATTGATAGATCAGTGCTATGCGCTTTAAAAAAAAGAGTATCGATTGTGAAGTTAAAATATGAATGAGACTTCTTGATTCTACAGCTATTGTTATTCTCAAACAAGTTTAACTACATCGCAATTTGGGTTTTTTCAGACGCATGCGATTACAACAGAACGGTTTTTCTTATTTATAAAAAAAAAAAACAAGTAAACTGTTTGTACTCATTTTGTTTGCCTACAATCAGTGATTGTCACAGCGACTAAAATGAATGAGTCATTTAATGACATACATTTATTTCTAGGCGAAGAGTTTAAGTAAATATTTTTATACGTTCCCGATTCACATAAATATATTACACACAATATTTTACGCGATTGAATTTAATTGATCAGACGTGAATGCATGGAAAAAACACAGATTTTAATACAAAAAAAATTATGAGAACCTTTATATTGCGAGCAATTGGTAACTTCGTGAGTCATTAATAAATTTAAACTAATCAACCGATGTCAATTTTTTTCGTATGTTCATGATTTTTGAGTGTGATCGCTGAAAGCTAGGGGGAAATTGCGATGGTTATATTTGCATTTTATTGGTAAATTGATTATTTGAATTAATGGATAGTTGCCAAATGTTGGTCAAATTGCCATTCGAATACAATTGTGAATATTAAGAAATTTGTACATATTCTGTACAAATATACCAATAATATATAACATACTTTAGCCAAAGTATGATAACATATTCAGTACACATAACAATCAATTAGTCGGAAGTCGTTGTATTCGTCAATATGTGTGGTGCAATTATGTATGGTCGTTAGAAAAATTATTCTGCAATCTCCCCCTAGGCAAATTACTATTGAATTGTCACTGCCATTTGGCATACCTTTCCAATCGATTATAATCTTTCAAATAAACATACAAAGTTGCAGACCATTTACTAATGCCAAAATTTGCATATTTCCAAATAAAACATTATTCGCTTAAACTTTTAACAATTCCGGAGCGAAAGAGAAATTTCGTTCGATTTAACGAATAATTCAAACTTAAAAAATTGAATAAACACCGTACGTATTCGGTGAAATTGAGTGTAGATTATGAAGTAAGAATATATTTTCGGTATATATTTTGATGATAATTGCTATTGATATGCTTCTAGATATTTTACATATAATAACACATTCAAACACATTTGAATAAAAACCTTATTTCATATTTGAAAAAAAAATCAGTACACACTAAAATGTTTTTGTTAAAATAAACATATTGTTATCATAAATTTGCAATTAAAAAAACTTCTTCATTTAATTGTACGGAATTATTAAAACTTTATAACTATACGTTGATGTATGGATTCAAATATAAATAAAAAAAAACGATTTTCTTAATATTCAAACCCACCAAATAATTTTGTACGTTTTTCCAATTTCAAGAGCAACACAAGACTAGACTAAACGTGTCGATTGACAGTAAAGATCATCAAAGAACGATTTTCGTATTTCTAATTTAAGTGATGTTTTTTCCATAATATCGTTAATCGTATTCAAAACAAACTGGTTTTCGATTGATAATTTTTGACATGTTTTGTCGCATTTGACCAAAGTCATAACAAAGAGTTTGTCTGTGTTCAAAAATAGATTGGCCGTTACCTTAAAAATGGAATTTTAAGCATTTTTTGTAGCGGCTAACACCCGCCGCACGAAAATAAACTTTAATTTATTAATTTGTTATTGAAATGGTACTAAAGGTCAAGAATGTTCAAGTCACCAGCAATAACAGAAAAACAGCAATGCTATAACCTGCTTTTGATAACATTTGCGTTCTGATAACAACAATGTGTACATGTTCGGTGTAACACTTTTAAATGGAATGGTGCGAATAGTGAAATCTCCCAATAGAAATAATATAGTATTCGTTATTAACCTTGAAGTAATTGAAAATCTATTTGGCCGTTGGAAAATTTAAAGCGAATATTGAGTTTTCATTTTTATCGTGACATTTTTTCTTTACTCAATTTTTTTTTTTTTTTTTTTTTAAAGAGTTTGCAAAAAAATGTTTCATGAGATTTTTTTTTATAGTATACATTTATTAACAGAAAAAAGAGAGAAAATAAACAAACTTACTGTGTCGATTGACTAACATTAATACATTAAAGTAAATACTGCAGTTCAATTCGGTCGATAGTACAGAATTTTTAGTACTAAAAAAACTGAAATGACTTTTAACGCATCTAAACGTCAAACACCTTAAACAAATTGGCTTCATAAATGCGTATACAAATCGAAATTGGTGTTTTTTTTTTGACAAATTGTAAATTGTATTGAATATTTTTTTCATTTTCAACGTAAAAAAATGACAGCACCAAAATTACCCGGCACCGGTTTAGAGGATGTTCGAATACCGGGACAAACATTTTTACGTGATGCATTGACTTCATGTACGGATCCACTGAAAGCAATCGAAACATTTCAAGTATGTATACTCCAAACACTATTTAAATTTCATAAAACTTAAAATATTAATTTTGATAAATAATTAGGTTGAAAATGGAATACTTCTTCCGTCATTGCGTCCGATGCTTCCATTGCTCGATTTGCATGGTGTTCGTCGTCTTGATTTCCATACATCTGTGTTGGAAGAGTTGCGTGAAAAATTGGTGTCACGTATCAATGAATTGGGCAGCAAAGAAGGTCGAGAACGTGATAAAAAACTTAAAGAATTGCTGACAAAAAGTTTTCCAGTTGTACGTGTAAAAGCATTGCGGCCAGTTGTAATGAGTATTTTACGTAATACATCACAAATTGATGATAAATACTTACGAATTTTGGTCAGAGACAAAGAACTCTACATGGACACCGATACTGAAGTGAAACGTCAAATTTGGCGAGACAATCAATCACTATTTGGCGATGAGGTATCACCACTTTTATCGCAATACATTCGAGAAAAAGAGCATATTCTTTTTGATCATACAAATTTAACAAATTTATTCTTTTTGCCATCGCCAAAAGTACGGCGTCAAGGTGAAGTGGTTCAAAAATTGGCTAATATGATTGGTACAAGTGTCAAACTGTATGATATGGTTTTACAATTTTTGCGAACACTATTTTTACGTACACGAAATGTTCATTATTGTACTTTACGTGCTGAATTACTTATGGCACTGCACGATCTCGAAGTACAAGAAATCATTTCAGTTGATCCATGCCACAAGTTCACATGGTGTTTGGACGCTTGTATTCGTGAGAAAAATGTTGACATCAAACGATCACGTGAATTGCAAGGTTTTCTTGATAATATTAAACGAGGACAAGAACAAGTTTTGGGCGATCTATCAATGACTTTATGTGATCCATATGCGATTAACTTTTTGGCCACATCAGCCATTAAAATTCTTCAGCATTTAATCAATAATGATCAATTGCCGCGCGACAATACGATACTTATATTGTTGTTACGTATGTTGGCACTTGGATTGAGCGCTTGGGTTATGATCGATTCACAAGATTTTAAGGAACCAAAACTTGAAAGTCAAGTTATTACCAAATATTTACCAGCATTAATGTCACTTATGGTTGATGATCAAGTACGGCATTTACATTCACGATTGCCACCCGATGAACGTGAAAGTGCCATCACAATTATTGAGCACTCAGGTTTGTGGCTCTTTTTTTTGCTTCATTTTGGCTTAGTTTTTATTATTATTTAAAAAAAATATATGTATCATATGTATAATAGGTCCAGCGCCAGATTCAGTGGAGGCATTCATTCGAGAGAGCAGCGTTGCATCAATTATTGCCATGTATTATACATTACATACGGCCCGTCAAAAGGATCGCGTTGGAATTTTACGTGTTTTAGCAGTCTTGGCGTCATGCAAAAATGATCGGGCATACGAAGATCCATTTTTACATTCTCTGGTTAGTTGGATGAATTTCAATTTTTTTTTTACTTTCCTAGTGATCAACATCAAAATAATATCAATATCACTTTAATTGTAGATTGCATTACTGGTTCCAATGGCAGACGAATTTGTCCACGAAGAATTTTGCACCGGATTGTTTGATGAATTTTTATTTGCGGGCTTGACCCGTGATAACGTTACCAGACATATGTTAAAATTGTTATGGTACATTCATCCAAAACTTCCGCCGGGTCGCCTGACAACGCTAATGAAAGCACTACAACCAACGGCCCAACACAACGAAAGTGTTCACCATTTGTACAATAGTTTACAAGAACGAATTGGCATTGCAATACAAGAATCGGCCGCTCAAGAGATAACCGACGTTGATTTTGATTCACCGTTGAAAAGCGTTCCAACACCCGGACCACATTACCTGTAATCATTTAAGACAATTTACAAGAAGCCTGAAAAATCAACTATTACATGGGAAAATTGAACAAATAATGACTTGATGCCACAAAATGTCCAATAAAAAATTAAATCCCGGCACCGTCGTTGAAAAAATTCCCAAATGCTATGAAGTATTAAGAGCTGTAATATTTTGGTTTGTCATATCCTCAAAACTTCAGAAAACAACGTTTTTTTATTTCATATATTGAATCATAACCTCAAACTGTTTGTTTTGAAAAAATATCAATGAAAATGTTTAATCGATATTTATGTTTTAATAATATCAATAGATTATTTTCAGTTGTACTTCGTACATACGTTTAAGGAATTTTTTTACAGTGTTTAAAAAAATGAAACATTTAATTGGAGATTTTTATATGAAAAGTAATAAAGCGAATGAGCAGTGTGGAAAATCAATGGATCAAGTAATTTTTCTGATTTTTTTCAAAGCTTTTTGCAAATTTATTCAATTTATCAAGAGAAGTTCGTAGTTTTGTTTTTCATAAATGTGAACATTTTTAGTAGTTATTAAACTTTTTATTATTTGACTGAAACCCCGATTTTTTGATTTAAACTAGCTAGTAAAATTACAGTATATAGCAGCAGAAAGACAGTTAAAAAATGCACTTTATGTTTGCATTATTGCCCGAGTTTTCGGAGATTTCATATAAAGTTGCCAATGACAACTTGCCATATAGCAGCCAAATGACACCTATTATTCGCCCAGCGAGATTTGGGTCATTACGGAAAAAATGTATTTTGTTTAATTATTATTTTTATAAAATTCATGCATATCCATGGATATTGAATAGAAATAAAGTGCAAGATTCACATATTTAAAGTACATAGATAACTTAACAGTTGTTCAAATACACTTCCATTGGGATAAAAATTTCATAGATGGTCTTTGATTGTGTTAGTAATGTTCGTTACAGTGTATGGTTCGTTTATTGTGTATAATTAAACTGTGAGTATGTTGTGTAAATGTGAGGTTGACATTTGAATCGATTGTTAAACATTGCGAATAGCCGGCAATTTAAGAACAAAACCATTTTCAAAATATATTTGTTAAATATATGAATTCAATGTCGACCACCTTCGCATATTATTGGATAAGTGGCATACTTCACAACGATACAAACCCCAAATATTAAAAGTCTTCACTTTTTCTGTGCAATTCAGTATCACAAAAAAATTAAAATTCATTGGGCATCATACATAACGGTAACTACTCGATTGGATTTTTTCCATTTTTTCCCAGCACAAAAGTGAATTAGTTTGATTCATTGTATATTGAATTTTGGCAGTGTTGAATTATCATCAGATCGACAACAATGTTACGACGTTCGGCCAGAACGGCTGTAATGCAAAGCAAAAGCATCGAAACCGGTAAACGCTTAGCACCACCAAAACTCGATACTAAACGAAAACGACGCAAATTGAACGATGTCAATGAAGAAAACGAAATAGATATTGTTATTGCACCAAACGACCGAAATCAATCAACATCAATTTTGGATCTGAATGAACATTGCTTTGAGGAAATATTCGAATGGTTATCTGTGAGCGATTTACATTCATTTGGCAATACATGTACACAAATACAACAGTTTGCTGGCCGTCACCTTCAATGCAATTATCCGACACAATCCGTTTATTTTTGTGAATTATGTCCAGTTCCACGTTTTTGTCGGTCAGCAGATTTTGAAGGTTTCGAAGAATATTTTAAAAGTATAATCATTAAAATGTGTCTTAATTGTAATGATACGACTAAACACATAAGCGATAAAGTCATAAAAAAACGAAACGAACAATATCAATATATCAACTTTTACTGTAACCCACCACTTAAATGCATCACATTCATAGCTTGTACTTTGACTGCATGTGATATGAATAACATTAGAACTCTATTGAATAGTGTTGAAGTACTGCGCATATGGAATTGTATTGTTGTCGATGATTTGCATGAGTGTTTGTTACAACATTGCGTGAATTTGAAGAGTTTATTCGTTTATATGACAACATTTTCAAAAAACCACAAATGGCTGCGTCAAACGTATCCAACGATTGAATTCTTCGAACTGAGACCTCTAGAACTATTGTTAAGGGAAAAACTTCACATCAATATGACACAAGTGTTGCAGTTTCTTGAAAAAAATCCAAATATTCGAAGATTCACAGTTTATAGTGAACATCTCATAGAATGCGTCAAATCCAAGGTCAAATCTAAATCATTGTTTAAGAGAAATATTCAACTCGATGAACTTACCATCAAATACTGTGGAAACAGTGAAATACCGACCACTTTATTAAATCAACTCTACGAACGTGGCTTTTATAAAAGAATAAATTTGCTATATACTATTGACCCGGTCAATTGGGATGTTAATGGACTTGGAATGCTTGGGGCTGTAATTTGTTTAGATTCAGTTTCGGATTATTCTAATTTGGCCAATATCAAAGAATTATGGCCCGATTGGATAGTTGATAGACCACGACGACCATTGGCACAAAGTTATGTAGCAAGAGATACAACGGGAATGGTTGCATGGTTAAAAAAGATGGATAAAATAGAAAAAATGTATGAAAACAACTACAAAAATGAATTGGAACGCCTCGCAAAATGTATGATAAACCTCGAACGAATCTGGTTGAATAAGAAATACGTACGTCATAGCGATATTTTGCCATTTGTTAAACTTGCCCCAAAACTGAAGGAAATTTTTATCTTCGAAGATTTAGAAACTATACTAAATCTATCAAAATTGAATAAAAACCGTAAACGTCTAGCCGGATCTCAAAAACTGACCATTTACTTAAATGAAAAACAGTTTCTGATGAATGAACGGGGCAACGGTCGAATGAATCTCAGTTTGATTGCATTAGATCGCCATGAAACATATTTTGGTAAACATTTGAATCCATCGGACTATTATAATAGTATTACTTTATAAAAGTCGTTATAACCCATTCTAAATGTATATTAAAAAAAACAATTTATGATAATATTTAAAGAATTCACATAATCATTTGATATAAGTAACGAAAGTGAATTTTTATAAAATTCATGGATATTGAAAAGAAACCAACTGCCTAGTGCAAAGTACACACATTTATATTGTAATACATTTGTAATATTTTCAGTTACTCGATAATAAAATGTCTAAAAAATAATAAATATAATATATATCATATTTACTCTAAAAACAATGCAATGCATTCGATGTTCCGAATTAATGAAATCAGAGTATTGCTCAGCGCTGCTGCCATCCACAGCATATTAAAATATCTTGCTGAGAATGCGTCGTCCACGTGGCAGTTTATACATCACAGCGAACAAGAACGCATGCATTGTCCTCTTCACGCTTATGTGACTCAAAGCATTCAAACGATTGTATAGAGAACAATGCATGTATTGTTGTTCGCGGTGATTGTAAAAACTGCTACGTACATTTGCATGCGACGGACGACGCATTCTCAGCAATATATTTTAATATGCTGTGGATGGCAGCAGCGCTAAGCAAAACTCTGGATGAAATTTCAATTGTTTGAAAATCTTTGGAATATTTTGAAATTACATGTCGATAATTTTTTCTAAAAAGATTTTTTTTTATTTTCTCAAAGAATAAAATCGATATGTATCTCATAACTCCTGTTCGTGATCGTAAAACATCTGATCGTAAACGAGGTAATTCATTTTTATTGATTTTTTTTATATTTAAATGATAGGAAAAAATGTTCTTTCTTAAAAATCAAAAGTTCCAAACGCCGAAGCTTACAGCGCAGAATATTTTAAGTCAATTGCAAAAAAAATTAGTGCAGCTGACATTATTGAAAGCAGCTCAAATTCAAATGAATCGGCACAATCAGATATCAGTAGAAACGTTATATTGTCTCGTAAATTAGAGAAAATGGAACTAAAACAGCGCGAAAAACAGCAGACTTACAAAGATTTATATTCAATCGATGGTACACCATATATCATTGAGAAAAACGAAATAAATTTCAAGACTAACGAAATTATAAAGAAAATCACCAGTAAATCATCTGTAATTGATTTTACCTGTGCTGGTCATGAGAAATCATTTTACAATTGGATACTTGAAAAACGTAATTGTAAAAAAATGAATGATAACAGCTGTTTGCCATTTATTGATCCGGAGATGATCAACAACAACCGAAAACCTAATTTAAATCTAATCAATTCCGACATGAAAGATCCACAAAGTTCTATACAAAGGTAATTTGCTAATAAGATTAGTTGGGCATATTTTTTTTTTGAATAGCATGCTATTTTCAGTATATTTCCATGTTTTTTCTTTGACATCACAATATAAGTTTTCATTCTGTAATTAATTTGCTGATCAAAGAACGACCAGATTCTGAAATACTTGCATTTTTTTAAAAAATAGACCAAGTTCGAGCTGCAGCATAGTTTATCATTCTGTCGATCGTTATGGAATTCCATTCACAATGATTAATAAGGCAAAGAAATATCAGGAGAAAATGGATATTCAAAAAAATATCTTAAAGAAAGTGCGTCGTGCACATATGGGCTGCAATCAACCGCCGTCAAATGATGATTCATCCGACGGCGACAGCGTTCAAAATGTTAAACGGCTTGCTTTAGTTCGTACGCCATATTTTTTGCTACCAACCATAAAACGGAATTGTGTACGTCGAAAAGAACGATTTCGAAACAAATATCTGCGAAATAGTCGTTTAAATCGCATCAACTGCTTACTATATCGAAAATTAAATCCTAAACTCAATGATAATCCAATGTTGGCTACAACAATTTTAGAGAAACATTTTTCAATACCAAAAACCGAACATTTGATTGAAAGCGAACATAAAGATTCATTGACATCGTCGAACCCAATCAGACTTAAACTTTGTTCGATTATTAATTCAAAATACACCGAAGTAGAACGAATCAATAAATTTCATGTAAGTATTTCATTCATTTTGTTACTTGTTTATGTTTCTAATTCGTTATTACTGTACAAATATTCTGAATTTAAACAAAATAATTTTTTTGGCACCAAAACTTTGCAATAAAAGAAAAATGAAATAAAATTGTCTGTCTTATTGAAGTATGAGCGAGCACAAACCACACTTGATTTTTTGAGTGAAAACGTGAATGAATGCACTTCCTAAATCGCCTGTGCTAAAAAGGAAACGAAAGTGCAAACAACTACACTCGTAAATCATATGTTTTAGTTATTTTTGTGATCTGAAACACCTCTGTAGATCATGTTGGCAGTCGAATGTTATTTTGGGTGGTCATGCTTTGCACCATTTGATATTGCTTCTGTAAAATTACTTTTGTTTTGAAGTTAGCAGATACATTTCACATAATTTATGATTATTGCAGGAAAGAAACACTCCAAGATTCGAAATATTCAATAAGCATGTAACGAATACGTTTGAAAGTGTACTGCCATCGGACAATGAAAAAATCATTAAGAAAAAGTGCAACGATCAAGGCATCAACGATGAATACATATCGCATAAACTGTTTAAGCGTAAAAAACAATTTCGCACCTGGAAACTTGATGAAATTGAAGGACCACTCTACACTGATCCATTTTTAATTGATAAAACTGAATGCGGAATGCGTGCGAAATGTGAGTATTTGTCTCAAAACATCATATTATAGGCATGCCTTTTTTTGGTGAGAGTAATAATTTTATATTTCAAGCGCATTCAGCGTCTTGCTGATAGTTTTTGTTTCAAAAAATAGTCCGTGTACTCAAAGTAGTCACACGTGTGGGCCAATCGATATGTGTTAGCATATCGATACGCAGTGAACAAGAAATGTAGTCATAAACATGAACAAAAACAGTTTTACGCTGAATATAGTTATTCTGTAATAAATCACCGCCATAGATTACACCTTTCAATGAATGAAGTCATTTCATTGAAGTGTTTCCACCAAGCTCACAGCCAATTTCCAACAAGTATTTTGTCATAGAAAATACGATAATATTCGAAGTTCAATTCGAACCGTTGCGGTGAAAAAAGAACATCTCTTTAAAAAAATCCATACAAATGTGGTGCTGTTAAATTTGCACTTTTTAACAGATGTATTTTCACCGTAATGATTCATTTGAGACGCTAAAAAAGATATAAGTGAGCAAAAAAATGAACAAGCGTGTTTCTGTTGTTGTAACCGTCACATTTTCATGAATATACACACACTCTCTCTCTCTTCCTCTAAAATGAATTTTAGTTTATGGAAAACATCGGTATTACAAAAGTTTGTTGAAAACTAAATTTGGTTTGCGGAAACGCCTAGAGATAAACGATGAGCCATGTATTTTGGAGAAAATTGGTGCAAACGATGATCCGAATAATCCCATTTTTCCAACGAATTGGGACACTCATTATGTACATGACATGCGTCGTCGACGCACTAAAACACAATTCTGCGTTAAATCGTAAGTTTTATCTCAATAAAAACGGGCTGTACAAAATTGATAATTTTTTTATTCAATTTAGTGATTGCTCACAACTGAGGGACATCTTTCGAAAGAATTTTCTGATCTATTATATACAAGAAAGTATTTACGATTTGAAAAGCCGTCAGATTTCTGAAGACTGCATTACAAGGAACGTTGAAGTTTTTGGACAAGTAAGATTTAATTAGAAACAAAAAAATCGATGATTTATTGAACATTTAATTTGCAGAAATGTCACAAATTATTTATCGGATGGTCGGAAGATGCATATGAAAAATTAATCGAGAAAAATAAGACATTTCGAGAGTTACAATCGAATAACAAAATAATATGGGACCAATATTATAACACCGTGGATACTTATAACAAACTAAAAAAAGATGTGTCTCTCAGCGAATATCGATGGAAATTCATCTATCGAATTGAAGTAATTTGAATTAATATATAGTATTTGATAAGTGAAAAAAAAAATCCATAAAATGTGTAGAAAGTGCCGGCGCTATTCTACATATCGTATTCATGTATTGTTTCATGCGACACACTTATAAATGACTGTTATAGTCACTCTTTAAACTTAAGAAATTTGATACAAATAACAATTACAATTCAAAATTACTTTCCATAAATATTTTTAAATCAAATTTCAGAACTATTATCATATGCTGATGGACTTGGATCGACGGCAAATAAGTGATTCGACAAACTTTGATACTAAAAGTAAATTAGTTTGTCCACGCGATGCCATCAAATGCGCAAAGAACAGCAATTTTATTCAGCCCACTTCAAAACAATTGAAAAATGTAAGCTAATACCGATGAATATGCTTAATTTTTGATAATTAGGTCGAGAAATAGAACACATGGCTGTTGGTGTATGCAAATAATTTCAACTGGAGATTTTTTTTGAAAAAAAAAAAATGGTCGAAACACTCTTCAATTCGAATTTTTCTTTCGATTTTGACATTTCAAACCGAGTGTTCAGTGATTTGACTCCAAAAATGTTAATTATGCAATCAAATTCTGGCCTAACCTCTTCAAATGATCAATTTACATTTTTGATTTAACATATGAAGAATGTAGAATTAATAGGGGTCACCTCTCATGAGATTTCATTGAAATGTAATCCTGCAAAAGTTGAGTTTTTTTTTTGTATGGCTGACTTTAATGAAATCTCGAGAGAAATCTCACATTCATTTCCGGATCATATAGATTAATGAAAACTACAAACTCCAACGAATAATTTAATCATTTTTTTTACACAAAACCAACAGAGTGTGAAAATGTTGCTGGACAAATCCTTTGGTGAACTTAATGAAAACAACAAAACAATGTGGTTGTTCAAAGATTTCCAATTAATGTATAAAACGTTAAGAGACAAGGTAATCCTCAGCTTAATAGTGTCCAATGTAAAATGTTGAAACCGTTTTTTTTGTATATTTGATAGATAAATGAGTATGAAAAGCAACAAGCAGAAAAAGTTGAAATATTTGAAAGAAAGATGAATTTATGTGTAACACGCACCCAATGGTTACGTAAAAACGGCGAGCATATGCTGACGAACGTCCTTTCGAAGGGATTTTCAAAGTATGTACAACATTGTATAACAAACGAACATTTCGTCATCGTTTTTTTTTTCGGTTTTCAGTTCACATAATCAAAAGGTGGTGGGAACAGTGAACGCATTATACATGCGAATCACAGAGAAAGTGGAAACAAATCAACAATTTGTGAAAAATATTAAAGACTCAAATAATTTCCGTCTCATTCATAAACATTTAATGGAACTTTTACAGATTTTGGACAATATTTCGACGGATATTTTGATTATTTGCCGAGATAGAGTTCGAAAAAAATATTTATTCAAAGATATGGAATCAAAAAAAGCGATTTTAGCACAGAATCGCTTCGAAATTCTCAAAAAACAAATAAAAAATCAGTTTGTATAATGGCATACACACGCAATAATTACAGTATATAAAACTCAATAAATAACGATGATAATTAGTAAAACAAAACGTATTAATTTCATGAAATAGGTGGTAATGTGAGGTGGAAATGTGTAAATTAAATTCGAATTGGCATCAGGGTAATATAGGGCAGAAAGCGTTTCAAGCCACGCTTCTGCACATAAGGCGCACCAGTTACGTATTGCATTCAAATCTGTTCCGCGCGCACACACACTACACGGAACAGTTCCGGTATATTTGCTTATAAAACTTTGTAACGCCCCTCAGAGGGACGATTTCATTTTTTATCTCGCTCACCCAACAAATGACTCCCTCGCATTTTATTGGCTATTAAAGTTCGATTGCGCATGACATAGACATTTTTGACTATACCAATAATACGTTATATTATAAATCGGTTTTGGAATTTGCAACACTTTATCTGAATATGTATTGTTATATTATTCGTTAATAAATGTTTTCCGATCTCTCTTCCTATCTCTATTTTTTTTTGCTTTCCATTTCACTTTGTTATTTTCAAATGCTACATTATCTCTTTAATTCATGTTTTAATGGAGAAAAAAAGATTCAATTTTAATCGGATTGCATTTGGAACGTTGATTTTCTACAACTAAACGAAATGAATATTGATGTTGAGTGAAAAAAAAAAATTGGCAGACAAGCGAAAATAAAGGTGATATTTTAACATATTTAGTGGTAATATTAATCTTAAGGGGCACTCAATGCCCCTAGTGTATTTTGTAAGAAATGTTTTATAAATTGACACAATATGTCTCGAAATATCGCAGAAATTCCATTTTTTTGGAAAATCCAAATTTTTTCATACAAAATACACTAGGGGCACTGCACAGAAAGAAAAAATTTGGTATTTTTAATTGAATTTTGGTAGATTTAATATAAAATCAACCAACAACGAATTAAATTTACCATTTTTGACATGTCTGAGGCATATTTTTCAAAAGTGACTATTTGTTGAATAAGTTTTATCAATTGCTTCATTACATTTGCCAACTTTTCGAAACCACAGATGACGCTAGCGCATGAATTGGTAAAACTTATTCAACTGATAGTCTCTTTTGAAAAATATGCCTCAGAGATGTCAAAAATGGTAAATTTAATTCGTTGTTGGTTGATTTTATATTAAATCTACCAAAATTGAATTTAAAATACCACATTTTTTCTCTGTGTGTGAGTGCCCCCAAAAACGAATTTAAGGTAATTCAACCAAAAATGGTTCTTAGGTTTACTCTAGGTATCGTCTTACAATTCTTTGCAAAGTAATGCACACATTCATCACAACTTGGATGTTTTTCTTGATAACCGTTTGTAACTATAGTGTACGTGAATAGTCAGGTAAGTTAAAAGAAATAAATGAATTTCAACCGGGTTTAACTAAAAATTTGTTCCTGAATTGTTGACACAAGAAATTTTACTTTCGGAAATTTTTATATCCAATCCTAAAGAGGCTTAAATTTTCAAATAATTCTAAAGAATGGGCATTTGAACGCGTTTAGAGTCTATAATTTAGACACGACATTAGTTTTATGGTGTATTTGCTTTGGTACTTGAAATTAGCCGCACACATATACTAGAGGAATCGAAAATAATTCTCAAAAGAGTTCACCTTCAAATTTGTCCTACAAAAATGGGTAGAAAACAAAACTATAGAATTTACTAGGGAAAATTATCTATTCGTGAATGGACAACATTTATTGGTAGTAGGATAAAGTCGTCATTATTGTAAAGTAATTCAAGTAATTCGCAAGCTATTAGCAAAAAGTTATCACAATTTGATACATACAAAACATTAAAAGTTATCACAATTTTGCGAATTGTCTCACGTTCATATCGAATTGTTTTTTAAATCGCAACTTTACTGGCCCAAATCATTTCGCATAAAATTCGCAAAATATCGAATAATTCGATATGTTCTGATCGAGTGCGATCCCTTAGCATACTGATTTTTGGGCCTAATTTCTTTGGATGAACACTTTAGCTGCCTTGCAAAATGATGTCAATGTAAAAATTCCCGATCACCTTTTTTTAAGTTGCCGCTTTATTGTTATTTGTTTTAATAATTATACAATTTGTTATTGTTAAGCCACCAGTGGCGAGGCGACATTAAACGATGCATATAATTAATAAAAAAATAAGATCTGTACACAACAATTTGCAATACGAGTGTAATTCAGCGTTAAAAAATGTGGGTTTACAGTAGGTATGTTATTTTATTTTTGTTCGTTTTATGCATGCATTCACATAACACATGTCTGTTGTCTTTTTGTGAACCTCAATTTGAGATTATAAGTTGGTCCAAACGACAAATGCCGAAAGAAGCAACGTTAATGTTTACAATAGTAAGCGCATGTCAGTGGAAAGGGTCATTGAAAGATTGACCATTCAAAAGTAATGAATTTAATGAAACTAAAAAAATGAGTTTTTACAAAAAAACACCATTCTTTCGCCAGTATCAGAAACTTCAATCTATTTCTCATGCATATTTTCTCTATTCTATTGATAAAATTCTCTATTGAATAGTCTTCTTTGTCAAATGATTTTGAAATGAACGCCACGAATCGATTGATGCAACAACTTCGCTTCTTACAACACAAGAGTATATGCATGTTTTTGTTCCAATGCTTGTAACAATTCCAACTGATAGTTTTCATAGGAGCTTAACAGACGAATGCATGTTATTATTCTTATCGTTCAAATATCAAGTAAACACGCGATTTTCGCTTGTGCGATGTGATTGACATTGTCATATTAAAATTATAATATTGTTATCTCATAAATTGTGTTTTAAAATGAGCAAATATTTGTAATCCCTAAAAAAAGGTTTCACCGCATATTATATGTGTGAAGTGTTTATTGTTATGCCATTTCCCTTCATGTTAAATACAATATACAAAAGTGATGAAGGGGAAAGTGTGCACACTAAACGACGTTTTATCGATTTGAAATAAATTTTCTATCATTGCGTGCCCTATAAAATCAGCAATCGAAATGAATATGACCGCATTCCGTTAACTCTGGTCGTAATCCCTTTTGTAAAATGGTTATTACCCCAACGCTCTTATTAACAATAACATAATCATTTGATTTGATTTCATTTCATTTAATTCGTAGAAGAGAAGAAAAAAAAAGACACAGTACGTTTGACGTTCAAGGGAATAACGCTATACGAGATTAATAAGGACAATATGCTGGCATTTAAGAGGCGGAAAACGTATCTATTTGTATGAAGGGGATTTTATTTTTCATTCAAGTATAGAAGAAGTCAAAAGGCGGGTATTAAGTACTTGAAGAGTGGGTAAAACTGATAAGCAAAGATCTTCTGTATATATAATCATAGTTTTGCTGCACACGCGCATTTATTCAAATGCACAGAAATCAGTGGCAAAGATCTTTAATGCTTGCATGGGAAACATGACCTTTGCCAGTTGCTTTCAAAGAAATTTGCTGTCATCCATTCCTTATGTTTATAGAAATCATCCAAATTAATTCCACAATAAGCTATTTTTATATTTTATCAAGGAGGCGTGTGCGAATTATTTGAAAATATTACGCTCAAATTCTTTCACTTATCATTGAATGGGTGAGAAGAAAAGAGGCACACTTTTCTTCAAACGTTTCAAATCATGTTCCACAAAATTAAATAAAGATAGCCTGTGGCGAAACAATTGGATTCTTTGATTCCTTTTGCATTCATTTCGTTCAAACAAATAATTCAATTTTTTTCTTTTAAATCAGAATCTGTCTCCTTTTCACTTTATCGAATCGAAATGAAACGTTTCCCTTTTTTCTCATCCATTCATTTCGTCCCTCGTTCGTTTATTCTCGCTTTAGTTGATCCCTAATGAAATACATTATCAGTATCAAACCAGTAACTTGACAAGCGGTGTATATGTGTGAACTTAACTTTTCTGAAATTCGGCTTTTACAAGATTTAACTGTGTACCACTTATCTGATCTTGGATTGCTTTTAGACATTTATATAAATTTTTTGATAATTAAAATCAAAGCTTCTGTTTAAAAAAAAATCTTATATAAATTGATATTCCAACTGTATTTCTTTCATAAATGCTAAAAAAACTTATTCAAAAGTAATGTTTGGTTCCAAAATGTGAATAGAGCTACGATGTTAGTTAGGTCAAATGAAGTACCGGCGATTCGCTAACGAAGTAAGAGTCGTTTGAAAACCGTGCGTGTTTCGTGCTGTTGTGATAATTGAAATGTGATCAAATAATGTTTTCAATACAACACGTTTTCACCAAAGACTTTTGAATCGAGTTTTACCGGGAACAATCACTGTCTATTTATAGAAGTAAATAGCGTCAAAGGATAAATTATATATATTGATCAATAAACAAAGCGGGTGTTTCATACAGAGAGAGAGAGAGAGAGAGAGAGAGAGAGAGAGAGAGAGAGAGATTGTGTGCGTATGCAAAGTTTTCCGATGGAATACCGTTTTCCGTTTTTCGGGAGCCTGAAATGTTCAAACGCTGAAGGAGTTTACAATTTGAAGATATGCCGCTCTCTGCATTTATGAACTCATTTTAGGAGCTCATTGTTTCCCTATTATATTCATTCATTGTTACACGTTCATCGCCTCATAAATGCCAGACTGCAGCTTTTACGAGGTTTTCAGTCAATTTATGGCATTTTTACGGTCTGTGTACTTTTGATATACCGATTCGTGGCTCTTGAAGCAATTCAGTATTTATTAAATTTATCTCCAACAAAGTCCAAAAGAAAATTATATTTACTCACTGTTAAAAGAGCATAGAAAAATTGGCTTATTTTCAAATTACTAAATACAACTACGACTAAATAGAAACCATTCCAGACTTGCACCTTTCGAATGGGATTTTCTCGGTAACTTTTAGTCATTTTTGCAATTTTCATGGCCAAACCACAAAATATTGATTCATTCCTTTTTGAATGCGATACTAATTGAAAAGGAAAAAAAAAACAATTTAATACTATATTGATTAATGACAAAATTATAGCTTTATTTCGATCGAAACTCTGAATTAATAAACGCCCTTTATTATGTTTATCAAAAAATTGCCAAATAATTGATAACAAGTGATGATAACAAATAGAACCCATCATGCATTCGACCAACTATGCACAACGGCTGGTCTTCTTTGGAGAATATATCAAATTAATTGCCATTAATGATCTCGGTGGTCGTTAATAATTGAAAACAAACCATTATTGTTGCGTTAAATATTGGTGCATAAATCGATATATACAGTGTTGGTGACATTGGTGCAATTTGTCGCATTTGCATCGTTAAAATTCATTTTTGTGTTGCAAACTGTCGAAATGTGAGAAATTTTCAATAGTTTTCATTCGATAGAAATTGGCAAACAAAATTTCACTATTATCCTGGAACCAAACACCAATTCACTATTGTAGCCGCGCTTAAGCATTAGCATGTTTTGTTTATATTTGGTAAATGATCTGATAATGATAACTTTTGTCGAGGGTTTTTTTTGTTTTGTTTTTTACATTCAACCCGTGCCAAATACTATTTCTATCATCGTTCCAGCTTATGCATTTGGTTCAATGTTGCTTCGGCAATTGTCAGGCTTTCGTTAGCAATCAACGAAAATGATACCTAATGCAGATGTAAAATCGATGATTTTCACTACCCGCAGAAAATGCAGTTTCGGTGCTCAATGTAACAATTTTGATAGCATAAGAAGGAGGAAGCACAACAATAATGAATGGCAACTGAACAGAAAAAAAAAATTTGAAATACGTTGAAGCAAATTCCAGGGTCTTTATCAATTAGCCAATTAGACAAAAAAAAATCACCTGCTCTTCAAAAGTGATTCGGGTGAGGTTTTTATAGTTGCATGTTTCTCTCTCCCTCTCTCTTTCTGTATCTTTCTCTTGATTTCTCTGGGCTCATTTCGGTAAATTGCTCGTCAGCAGTGATGTAGTAGCACATTAATAAGACATTTTCGAAACACACCGTTGATAACAAAAGACATATAGGTTTATGCGTGTACGCGCGCGCGCGCGTGTGTGTTTGTGCCCGAACGTACATTGTTCGATCGAAAATTTATGTTTCTATTTCACAAACTACACACAGGACAGTTATTATGTCGGAAGGAAATATATTGTCTACTCTTCATTGTTACGCTCATGGCATCGACAGAGAGATATAATAAGTGTTACGTTAATTTGAGAAGTGTGCGCACACACGCACTAATGTGATCTTTCGATTCTGATAAACTAAAACTCTAAACTTACATGAAGTGTCTGTAATACACCAAATTACAATCCAAATATTAAGATAAACATCAAATACAGGCGAATAAAGAAATAATTAAGAACAAGAAAACAGAAACATACAGAAAAATACACACACACCGAACATGAAGAAATAAAAACGATTTTTCGGACTCGTACACTGAACCCATCAAAAATAATATCACTACCAACAATTTGCTTCCCTTTTTTGCGGCCACATAGAAGAATACACACAACCGTTTTTTTTGTGGTTTTGGCTCCTGAAACGACAGATCCTTTGAAGCTATATAAATTTATGGAATTTTTTTATTTTTTTTTTTACGGATAATTGTATTTTCCATCCTTTGGAGACACTTTCATAAAATAATATTTTTTTATTAGTAATTTCTCCATTCTGTTTTTTTTGTATAGAATTCGATATTGTAAATGTTTTCCAGAAAAGTTAAACCAATGGATGTATTATCAATGGAAAAAGTAAAAATATTTGATGCAAAAAGATTGACGTTGAGTAATTATCGAATTTATGTAAGAAATCCCTCCCATTATTTCTGTGTTTGGTATCAATTGCATATAAAATGTGAAAAATGCCATTACTTTAAATGTTGCACAGATATTTTCCGATCAAATGCTAGAAAAACATGTAATTGCCATAACAGTCACGTAGTACTGAATGAGTTATTTAATTATATTTACCGCAATAATATCAATTTTCAACACCTATGCTCAAAGCACACCCGACAAGGTTTCAAAAAACGCATATTCTTCATAATGTTCAATTAACTTATCCACGGCCGTACACACACGAAAAAAAAAGAGATTGATATACTTAATGAGACTAAACATTTTTCTATTCAATTAAAGCGAAGAAGAAAAAAAAGAATACTGAAAATCATTTAGAGAATGAATGTTATATTTATTTTTGAATAAATAATCATCCTTTCATTACTTTCGATGATAAGAAAGTAATAAAAAAAATATATTTTATGTTTGGAATATTTATTATTTGATTAACAAAACTAAAGTTACGCCTATTATGCATCACATCTCTTTCGCTCAACCTTATAATGATATAAGTATATTTAAACGTCGTTTTGCGTTACCTCAAACGCGCAGAATTTATACACAACGCATACACTCAGCCACACTAAATACCAATATATTGATTGAAAACAGTAATATACGCACACACACACACACATGGAGAGAGAGAGACATACACCAGCCACATACAAATGCAGATCAATTGTCCAGCCCACTGGTATTCATCTCTCATTCTCCCTGCTTCGTTGTCTATACTATATATTTTACTGAGTCTATTATCTGTCAGATATTAGAACTAATTCACCCTGGCTGTAATATATCATAGAGCCAAAATGTACATAAAAATAAAATATGTATATATGTAGTGGCGAATGCAACAGCAAATGAATATTGAGAAAATTGAGATCACGGCGAGAAAGAGAGATCACTTCAATAGGTGCTCATCGGGGGTTTAACGCGGTATATGTTTCTGTTTCTATCTTGTCAACAGCAAATCAAGCATATTTGCCAAAAAAGGAAACACATTTTTTTTTATTCATTTGTATCTTCGCACGCTGTATGTATTTTCATATAAAATGTATGCGTTTTTATCTGTGTTCATTGTCCCGAATTTCGAAACGTTCTACATGGCACTTCTCTCGCCGACACCGTGCGTTGCCGCTTTATCATATCACAAGCACTTGAAAAACTAACTGCTTATACTCACGGTCTCTATATAGTTCACATAACACAGTGTGTGATGGTTAAGCGTATCGTGTTCAGAGTTTCTCGTTTTGGTATTTTCTCACCCATCACGTTTTTCGGTGCATTATCCAGAAGAACTATAGTGGCGGTAACATAACGTTTGTTGTCAACAACACCCGCTGCTCTTAATGCTTGTCTTCTAAAGCTATGTTATTATGCTTATGGTTAGCTGTTATTCGTTCAACTTAGTCACTCAATGTCTGCACACACACTTGGCACTTTCAGCCAGCAGTCAGTAGTCATTGGACGGTTAACTGTTACGAAGGCATTCGGTATACATTTGGATTTTTCAACTTTCGTTCTTTGGTTGTTGGTTTTTTTTTTGCTGTGCTCAAGTTTAACAATTCCAAAGTAAAAAATTTTAAACAGAAAAAAAACTTTTAGAATATTTTATTGATTGTGTAAATAAATTGTGTGCTGTGGTGATCACAAATCATGGATTTCTAGTGATAAAATACATTTTAAAATGATGAACGACACAAAATAAAACATTGAAACGCTTATCAAGTGTGAATAAAACTGAATATTTTTATTTTAAAACAGTTTTTTTTACGTGATTTTATTTAAATGCAAAGTACAACTGGTAAGTTTTTTTAACTGATTTTTTTTTCTTTTTCAAATTGTTGCAATTCTCAATTTTTTTTTAAATTACAAATGAAAGTGAAAATTTGTTAAGAAAAATCCAATTCTGTTATAAAATTTGTGTTGCATTTTTATTTATATATTTCTATGTTTTGGTAAATTGAATTTGTTTGTATCGTTAATTAAATTGAAAATTCTAATTATACAGATTATATATTTGTTCAAATAATGAAGTGTTAATGAAGCACTTGCAAAATGATAAACGAGTCATTTATTGTGAGACCCAAAGGCATATCAAATTCGCATAGAAATCAAGAGTCAATAATTTGCACAGCTCAATCTTTATATTAAATAAATGCAAAACGAGCAATTCATGTCGAAAAAGGATTTTCCTTTGAATTGAAATGTTACCAAACTCGAAAAAGTATTGGAAAAACATTCGACTTGGAGATTTAAAATAGAATTGCATGTTGATAAGAATAGCGATAACAGAGGAAATAAATTTAATAATGCTTTATAATATTTAACTAATGTAGTTCCTAGAGATATTCATAATTTTCATGAGAATAAACTTATATCATTCACATCGAATTATCTTATTTCATAACATGATAAAGCAAATTATTCGTTGTCAACACTTTTACGCGAAACGAGTAGATAATTGAGAAAAACAATCATTTTCAAATGATGTAAATGCCCATCTTTTTATATTCTAAATTCATATGAAATGTATCCGATGATTTCTTCATGTGAATATTGATATTCGTTAATAGGCTCGTCGGATTTTGTTCCCCGTTGGACATTTTTTCTTGTAATTTTTGTGGATCTTTACTCCAAAAACTGAAATTATGGATCCACACACACACACACACATTATTTTCGCTTTAACCCTCCTAGGTACAGAAGTGGTACATTGGACCTTTTGTTCCTTTCAAAGATTTTTCATTAATTTTTTATGAGCTGTTTGTACGTTTATGTTATTATTGTATTCTATCCTTAGGAGGGTTAAAACAACACAGAAAAAAATAGAGAAAGCTTGATACAAACGCAGAGAAACTGTCGAAATCCCACAGAAAATAAATGTCAAGCTTCAAAATTCTGGAAAACTTTTTTCTTCAACGTGTCGGCTATGCAACATTTTGCGTTACAAAAGAGATATTTTTGTGTTTGAATGGTCTGAATTCCAAAAGTATTTTAAAATTATGTTTAAATGTTGTCAAATTTTATAAATTGATGGTTTCCATACGGCCACATCTGCCGAAGAATAGAAAATAATGACAAATTAATCGTCGGCGTATTTCCGGGGAAGTCGTCTCATTATGACCAATGGTCATCCTTGTAGACATTTTTGTGCAGCAGAATAAAAATTAACCGTTAGAATGGTAAGATTTGGCGATTACGACAATTGAAAATTCGAAGGACATTTGTGAAGATATGTACTTTAATCGTGTCCTTACTCCAAAAGTCGATCGAATTACTTTGGGCGACTAAAATGCAAATACATAAATACTCATACAAATTCTAATTTAATACAGAATTGATTTGGAATGATTGTGGCGAATTAATTCAGATTGAACTAGCATCGAAATATATAACAAACTAGAGCATTCAAAATAAAACTAATGATTAGTTTCATTTTCAAAAATAATAATTATAGAAGAAGAACGAAAATGAGTTTTGGTAATTACACAGTTTTCTTTAACGAAACCAATTTTGGTTTTGTTTTTCTATATCGGAATAATTTGCATTATATTCAAGTTTCGAATAAAAATGGAATTCATCTTTCACCCACACCGTTCACCTCCAAATTTGTAAATATTAACAAGGGTAAAAGTGTTTTTGAAAATGCCTAACGAAATGAAATGTAAAAATTATACAACAATTTAATCGTGACACGCAATGTCTCGTTGTTTTCGTAAGCTGATTGAAATGCCACAATTAGTTGAATATTCGTCGGAAGTTGAGGTGTAGGTAGTGAAAACAAAAGTAATGTTCGCGTTTAGCTGTTAGACACTTGGGGGTGCACAAGTGGAGTAAAATGCTAATAAAATTATACACGTTTGTTCGAATTAGAGAGCAAAAACCAAATGAGCAGAAATATAGTATATAGAACGATAATATTATAATAAATATTTTTTTTTGTTCAACAATATTCATACAAAGTGTTTTCTATAGTTGCGCGTATTTGTATTATTATGAATTGCTCAACCTGCCAAATGAAATTAATTGAAGGAAATTGACCATATACAATGACTAAACACCGTTGCTACCTATTGCGAGCTACAATAGACCATGCATACACACATATTTTCATATAGTATCAGCTGAGATATGGTTGAACTGGAGGCGAAAAACTGTTACATCGTTTGCTAATATATCTTGTGTATTCAAAGCCATTTAAAAATGAATATGTATAATTTCAACCACCGCTGCCAAATCAGAAACATTCTACAACATGATATTGAACATAATTATAATCGCAAACTGTGATCACTGAACTAAACATGTATTATTTAATTTACATAACGCGAATCACGTGCATTTTCAAAGTTTCAACGCTCATAAAAACTTAAAAGGCACACTTTAACTTGCTTGTTTGACATCGATCATAGAATAGGGGCTACTAATTCACCATGTACTTTTATTTTCAACAATATTTTGATTTATTTGAGAGATTAATAAAATTGTTTTAATGAGTGGCTTTATATTCCAAATCGTTTCCGCGTATGAATATTTATAAAAGGTCCTTTTTACTTATTCAAATATGAGGCGATATTTTCTGGACACACTGGACAAGTATTTGCAATGAAAATTAACCGTTCGATGAATTAAAGCAACCATTCAATTTTATTACGCCAAGAATCACAGTCATATTATTTTAGCCAAATCAAGATGTTTTGTTTTTGGAATTTTTCAAAAACTTTATTTTATGGTTTACAAAATAACTTTATAGCCTACATATCTATTGATAGGACTAAAGTTTTTGAATTTCGCTGAAAAGTCATGTGCATCATATGCAATATTGAAAAACGTTTCTACTTTATGTTTCATCCGTAATGCTATATATTCAAATAAAATCTGAAAAAATATTTCAATCCAAATCGAATTTATGTTCTTGCAACAAACGGAATGCAATTATTGAAAGCAAACACTCACCATAAATGGAAACAAAAACCATGGATTCAAAAACATCAAAAAAATACTCTTTGTATGGTCTTGAATCGCTTAGAATAAATGGGGATTTTGAAAATTTTATTCATGTGGTCATAAAATTGTCCGAGCGTACATACGTCCTTTTGCAACAATTTCGATTCAATTTTGAAAACAATACTCTTTTGCACAATGTATAATCTCACTTTTGCTGACAGTCACATGAAGTTTAGTTTCCATTCTGATCGATTCGATTTATTTACTTTGACTTGAATAAAGTGTAACACTTCAAATTTGGTGTAAATAAATGGAATAAGTATCGGATTGAAAATCCAAGTTCGTCACCTATCGATCGAAAATATCTATCAGTGATGTGTAGAAGTGGGAAAAGCCGGTTTTATTTTTTATGTTTTATAAAATTATTGATTAAATATAAGTGATAGGTGTTTTAAGACAAATTATTATTAGTCCAGATCAGACATTATAATGAGATATTTTCAGCCAGATGAATCAGTTCAGCCAGATATCGTCAGGAGCTGAAATGGAGTGAAAACAATAAAAGTGATTGATATAGATTGATATAGTGGTTGTAACAATTTGAATGTTATTATGACCATAACAATCACTTCTATTGTTTACACTAAATTTCAGCTCCTGAGGATATCTGGCTGAGCTGATTCATCTGGCTGAAAATATCTCATTATAATGTCTGGTCCAGATCTTAAACTTTGCCTTAAGCTCCCCTTTTAACATTGTACCGATAAATATATGAAGATACGCTTTGAGCCTCCATAATGTAGTACTGAATACACCTTTTCGGAGCATTTATATATAAAAAAGAGTAGGAAGAGTACTTCCATCAATATTCCTGCGATGCTTCTAATTGTTTTATTTCTCTTATTTTACAGATTTAAGTTGGAAATTGTAAAATGCCACATACAGGTAAACAAACGATATCATACTACTTCTAAGAGAAGGTTTTTGAAATGTGATTGTTATCAAGTAATTATTCTTATTCAAATTTATTGAATTGGCATTATTGCATATTGATCGCATTGATAACGATCTTTTTCAAAAATATCTATGAATTTTGATAATTATAATTTTGATAATAAAATTTGGCGATATAGCTAATCTAATAATAGTTGCTTCATTCCTAGTAGGAATTTTCTACTCCTCAGAGGAATAATCCTTGGTTGCTTTTCATATTTGCAATTTTGAATCAAAACTTTCTGACGAAAAAAAGAGCGAGGTCTTAAATCGGGACTTCGAATTTTTCTTTGTTATTGATTTAGTTTTTGTTGCCTGTAACTTTTGTACGATAAATAATAGTGGATTCACATAATATTTTTTTAAAATAACTCGAACAATCAATGCATATTGTTTTAAATGAATTCAATTCATAAAAATGTTCAGACATACACTGTGACATTCTATATTTGTAGACACACGAAAAAAGTTTATTTTTTAAAAAAATTCTCAAAAGATGGCGCGCTCGACAACGTTCAAAAACGTTCAAGTGTCAAACATCACTTATGTCATGTGTGGCATTGTTTAACGCGCCATAAGTCAAATTCTACAATGGTTACTATATTTATCATTTGTAGAATTACTATGAATTTTCGTAGTAAATTTACAAATATATTTGAAGTCTACGTGTTTGTAAAATTACTATGGAGATTCATAGTAAATTTACAAAACCGTCCAATTTTCATAATTTGTAAAATTATTATGAAATTTTTAGTAAATTTACAAATGATGTAAATTGGATGATTTTGTAAATTTACTATGCATTTTTGACGTAATTGTACAAACATATATTCAATAGAGGTTTTTGTAAATCTACTACAAAATTTCATTATAATTTTACAAAATGTGTAAATGTACTATGATATTTCATAGTAAATTTGCAAAAACGTCTTTTTTCATAATTTGTAGAATTACTATAAAACTTCATAGTATATTTACATATTTTGTAGAATTACAATGAAATTTTGTTGTAGATTTACAAATGATGAAAATTGGATGGTTTTGTAAATTTACTATGAAATTTTATAGTAATTTTACAAAATCGTCCAATTTTCATCATTTGTAAATTCACTACAAAATTTCATAGTAAATTTACAAAATCGTCCTATCTTCATAATTTGTAAATTTACTATGAAATTTTGTAGTAAATTTACAAATGATGTAATTTGCATGGTTTTGTAAATTTACTATGAATATTCATAGTAATTTAACAAAATTTGTAAATGTACTATGGCATTTTATAGTAATTCTACAAAATATGAAAATATGACGTTTTTGTAAATTTACTATGAAATACTATAGTAATTTTACAAAATTTGTAATATTACTATAAAATTTCATAGTAAATTTACAAAAACCTATATTGAATATATATTTGTAAAATTACCTCAAAAATTCATAGTGAATTTACAAAATCGTCCAATTTACATCATTTGTAAATTTACTACAAAATTTCATAGTAATTTTACAAATTATGAAAATTGAAAGTTTTTGTAAATCTACTATGAATCTCCGTATAACAATAGCATAGAAAATTCATTTTGTCTGATTTCGCGGGATCTTTTTTTTAATTCACCTACAGTTAGTTGTTCCATTGGACCAATTTTTCCTACAACCTTTAATGATAGAACGCAGTACACATAGTTTTTCAACTTGTTTGTGTATAAACAAACAAATGTCAATTGTTAATCTCATGTGTCAGATAAGCGTTCAATTTACAAACCGTTCAAAAAAAACCAACGTTCACAGAAAATTGATAGTTTTTCATTGCAATATAAATTTAATAAATTAAAATAAAATTAATGCCCCTAAATTTTCTAAAAACAATTTATTTATTTTTAAACCATTTTTTCATCGTAAATTTTGCAATTATTAATGTAAAAATATAATTATTTATTAAATGAAGTCATCAAGTTTGACATCACAAAAAAGTTTATAAACATACGTATTGCGCCATCTATCGAAATATGAGATATTGTAAATTTCGATAGTGAAAGTCGCTATGCATGAAGTCAAAAAATAACATTATTTGTTTTTTTTTGATGTTTTTTTCTGTTATTTTATTATTATTATTATTATTTGGAATTATGCTACCAAAAAATTGTGAAAAAGTTGTATTTAAACTGATATATTCATCATTTGTAAATTTACCCTGACTTTTCGTAGTATTTTTACAAAATGATATTGTGACTTTCATTTTGACACATTTTGTAAATTTACTACGAAAATTCAGTGTAAATTTACAAATGACTTACAACACAGTGTTCGTCGGAACATAGCGCCATCTATTGAAATAATCTTAATCTACTTAGACGAACTTTTTTGTGTGTCTATAAATATAGAATGTCACACTGTATATGTGGTCGACTGGTCAGCGGCGGTCAACGGGGCTGATTTTAGATCAACTTGCTTCTAATATGGTGTGTTTCTTATCAATTTAGACCTCAATTTTAGTATTTAAGATGTTCTGAATTCAGAGTCACACCTGCTGGACCTTGTGCTGAACTCATTTTCAATCATTAAGTGTCAAAATCGATATGTAAAAAATATCGAGCTGACGTGAAATCAGTTCGGGTGACCAGAAGAAGTCTCTCTTAGATCACAAAAAATATAGATTGATATTTCACAACACCGGAAGTGTCATTTTGCGAAAGAAAGTACTTTTGGTAGTCAGAGACTGTTTTTTAGAGAAACATATGTGAGGTGGCGCGCTCTGAGGAAGTGTAGAGCAAAATATAAAGAAAAATATTTAAATTTGATAACATTATTTACCTTTAATATTTTGCTCCTCGGTCTTCCTCCGGCTTCACAGAGCGCTCCTCTTCACATTTACTGATACGAAAAAGAATCTCTGATGTAAGCCCCTAACTCAAATCTATTTTGGGACAAACTGACTGACTATTGACTGTAAAAACAAGCAACCTTAGTTAAATTTAGTTAACCGTTTGTTAACTTCAAACAATTAAAGTAAGCTATGGTTAACTGCAACAGCTAACTAAAGTTGACAATAATGATAGTCAACCGATAGTCAAAACGTTCCAAAATAGTCGCCTGACTGACCGAGTAACTATAGTCGATTGTTTTCCATACAACATTTTAAAACTCATGAATTTAGCTAACTTATAGTGAATAGTAACTTATTCACTATTTTCCACTCGGATTTTCTAATTAGATACGGAAAAATAATAGATAGAGTCCTTAATTTAAAAAGAAAAGGTTGAGGTTGTTTACATTCGTTGGCACCTGTACAAAAAAGAAACAACAGCTCTTCAAATTGTACACAATATATCGAGTAGGCTTATTTAAATGCATGTAAAAGTCCAATGTGCCGGAAATTGTGCGCATTGCTGCTCATCCAAGTCAAAAATTTATTATAATCATTTGATTTCACTACTACAAATATTTAAAATCCATCTGTTTACAGTAGAAATCAATATATTTGTCGAATGTTTGATTTTAAATTAAATCTAAAGACAAATGAGCGCATTTTATACATATATATTAGATTCACACTTGTTGACTGTTATGTGTTATGTCAAAGTGAAAGAAATGTGTAAACGAGAATGGTGACAATAAAAATGTTAACGCTACATCAAATATGTGATTCCATCGAAATCTATTTGTTGCATGGATGGTGTGTCTATTGTTCGAAGATTTAAGAGATTCAATTTGTATTCTTTTAATATCTTCATTACACGCCTTTTGGACTGACTGTTATTGATTATTTCGATTAAATATTTTCAGTTTCACCTAATTAATGCTGATAATACATTAAAACCGGTAAAGGTATTCTCATTTAAAGGTGCCGAAATTCTATGGTAATAAAGTATTTGTTCATTTTTCAAAATTGAAATGAAAAAAGGTGCAATAATTCATCGAACCGATTATATCTTAGATTTAATTGATGTAATTATTCACCAAACATTTCGACAATTTACACAAAACCGAAAATTCAAGCGCCATTTGTTAACACGAAAACAATATACATTGAAAAATTCAAATTTGTTAATTTATTCGAAAAAACGTGAGAAACCAATACCACTAAATCGTTTAATAGACGATCAATAGAAGATCAATGTGCTAAAGTTGTGAGAAACACATTAGAAAAGAGCATTCCATAACAATGTTCAATTTTGAACCTGTTTTCTGAATCGTGTCATCAATTTACAATAAAATAAATGATATCGCGACACATGAACATATAACCGTACACACTTTTCAGAAAGCGTTCAGGGTCACATTTGTTTTAATTCCCGAAAAAAAAAACACGTCAAAATATTTGATTGTACCGAACATTTTGCATATGGCATATATGATGATCCATAATGATTGTCGGCTATATAATAAAAATTATTCGACTATTGAGGTTTGATGATAGCAATATTACTTTTATACACGTATTTGATTTTCCTACTGATTTCTTTTTTTTTTAATTCAGTGGCGAAACAATTCACGGCATGCAACCAATCATTTATCATGTTCAGTCAAATAAAGGGCTGTTTTTATCGAGATAAGAAGTTTTGATCGATTTGAGTACAAACAGCCAAATCGGTATTTTAGTAAATATTATTTATTGAACACCGTCCATATGTAGAATGTTGTTTTCAATTTGTTTTATCTCGACTTATTCAATGAACAACACAACGAAAATAAAAAAAAATTGGTTTGTTTCTTTTCTATCCATCCAGTGGTAGGTCAATTAAAGCCATTTTTGACCAAAGGAAGATGATGTCACGTTTTTTTAAAACGAAATAAATTTCTTGCATTTTTTTCATTTATTATATCTTTCTTGTGTTGAAAATCCAATTCAGGATTTACACCCGCGAAAAAAAAAACTTAACAAAAAACCTTCTCCGGAAAAAAACTCCCGTGACTTTTAAGAAGTTGAAATCTCGAACTACATTTTATGGCGATGGAATCAAAATAATGATACCATGGTGACAAAAAAGACTGTAAATCCAATGTGGAATTTTTGCTTTTTTCGCAGATTTTTTTTTATTTAAGGTTTATATTGGCCTCAAGGTACATAAGTGCAAGTACTCATGAGAGAATAGGTGGTAAAGTTAGAAAAAAAACCGTCGCACATAGAAACACGTAAGCACTTGCAGCTGGTGTAGTTATTCAAGTATGTTACAAGCAGTTGTTGTATGCGAGCTCATATCATATCTCACACGATTTTCAAAGTATAACACAAATAATCCACATTGTTACATGCAATACAAAATCAGGTTTTATTGTAAAACACTTACAAACATGTGCACAAAGCTTCCTGATTTCATTCAAAATCCAAAAGCAATCGTTTAGCTGTCGTTGAGTACACGGTGTCGGAAATTCTGTAGCTCAGAATTTACCGAACGCATATATAAATCGTGCCAATTCTTCCATACAAAAATGTTTCGCTGTCGCATGAGATGCAATTGATTTTAAATTGACAGTATCTTGAAAGCGGGTGTTGACCGATAAATAATTTTTCTCAAACAACTAAATTCGGTACGAATCCTGAACAAACGAAAAAAGCAAAAAACAGTTTGACACAGTAAAAACACACCATAGTTTTATTAATAATTCAAATTGAATTAAAAAGTGTGATTTGTTTTTTGTTTTTCATCGCGTTGAGTTTTTTCAATATTGAACATAATGTAGCACACAAAAAAACACACACACATCACCACGAATAAATGGTGCACAAAGTGTACTGTGTATCCTTATGTAATTCAAGCGTAAAAAATTGACAAGAGAAAAATTGTCAAGAAAAATATCAAATTCAATGGCAACAAAAACGATCAAATAAGATTCAGGAATTTGACAAAAAACCATAAAAAGTAGAAGAAATGCATTAAAGACACGCAATAATTGGAATTTCAGAAAGTAAAAAGGGTCAGGAGAATTTACGCAATCAAACCAATATATTTGCTCAGTTCTTTTTTTTTTTTCGTTGTGATTATGCGTAAAACTGGTTAGAGATCTGGTGTCAACACATTTTACGCTTATCTTTTGAAGTTTAAATTGGACATACTAAAACATATGAAAAAAAAAACACAAAATTTCCCAGTTTGATTGACATCGCATACGTCCACACAGCGTTGTGTGCACTATACACACGTGATGTCGATTGAAAAAAAATTTGAATACACTTTGAAGAATTGCAATGGTGAAAAAAATGCTTCGATTCGTTTATTTAAAAAAAAGAAGCAAATACTATAAAAACTACGTTCTTTAATTGGAAAGATTTTAAGTAGTAGAAGAAAAATCTTATTGCTGACATACGTGTTTGAAATTTTAATTGAATACTTCAGAGCTACACCGTATATCATTAGATACATCACAGATCAATGAAGTGTAATCATTGAAAATCGCTGGAACAAAAAAACATAGTTTCAAGATGTGTAAGAAACATTTACAGAAGCGAATGCAACGCTCTTCGTATATACACGCATTCTCTTTATTGCTTCTTCATTGAACATGAATCGTTTTTACGGAACATCTTTTTATTTGCTACAAATTCGCCGTGAAAAAAAAAATATATAATACTTTATAATGTTCGTTGGTATGATATTCTAAAACGAAAGACAAAAAACATCCAGAAGACCTTCATTTATTCTATATGTCATGACAACCATTCGAATTTGGTAATAACTCGAAGTCAAATTAAAATCATTACCTCTTCAATATGTGAATTTAGACTGAAACCAAGAAAAAAAATCGTTTAGTTCATTCAAGAAAGAATATCAGTTATATAGAGTACAAAAATGGGGCAACATTCTTAAAAACACTTTTTGAAAAAAGTAACGTGAACTTTGCCGTGGGACATATGTTGGATATAGCAAGAAGAAAAAACAGATTTTTCATTATAAAAAGCGAGGAATTTTACCATTTCCACATGGTTGGTACTTAAAAGTGCAAAACTTACATTATTAGATGCAATCAACTAATTGTTTGATATACTTTCTTTGTTCAATCTGTACAAACGGTTGTTGTTATACTATTTGTTATCGAAAATGAGTCTATTACTTTATTTTGTTCATTCATGCTACCATATGATCATTCAGTAAAAAAAAACAAATTGCTATCGCCTAATACGGTTGAATACACTATCAAAAGCAAATTTCAATATCTCGATAAGTCAATGATATATTATCGATATAACAGTCCCAGAAAATCAGTACACAATCAACATATTGAGAAGAAAAATCAAATGAAATTGATATGCAGAAGCGTCGACAATGTTCACTCGATGTAAGCCAATTAATTGCTTAATTAACGTACTTTTTACGTGATATTTAAACTATTGATTCTGAATGTGGAAACTATTAATTTTTTCGGAATCAATTTCAATACCTCTAATATATCTTTAAGCAATGAAAATGTTTTATGTTCTTATTCGAAAATGTTTATATGTAAAGAAGATATTTGATAATAGTTTTAAAAAGATTTATATCAAGAGAAAGAAAAAAAAGAATATAAATCATTGATATTTAGGTGCTGGAAATGTCCTTTACGATATTAATTGAATACACGTAAATGTTAAGCGCGTCCTTTTATATACCCGTCTTTGCAGTAGCGTTTTTGTTGTTATTTTTTTTAACTTGACTATTTTAATTAAAAATGGTTCAATAAGATTTATAACATTACGGTCGTAAAAACTCCAACAATCATTAAAATGAGATCGTTTATTCTGTTATTTTCAGGTCAAGCAGGTGTAAATCAATTGGGAGGTGTATTTGTGAATGGGCGGCCACTTCCAGACTGCGTTCGGAAACGGATCGTAGAATTGGCCTTAATGGGTGTCCGACCGTGCGACATTTCACGCCAACTATTGGTTTCGCATGGTAATGTAGCTTTGTGTTTAGGTTGTTTTAAATATAAATTCGATGGAGTTCAGTGGAACTTGCAAACAATTATTTTTTGCACTTTATATGATTTTAATATGAATCGAAAAAATATTGAAAACTGTCGATATTTTTTTGAAACTGACTTTAATAGTATTTTCATAATTTCGCTATTATGACCATTTCCCGACCAAGTATATGAATCGTTGCAGCGAAAGAGTAGCTCTTATTTTTCTCCAAATAATACTGCAACATAAAGTTTTTTATGAATGTTGCAGTATTATTTGGGAAAAAATAAGAGCTACTCTTTCGCCGCAACGATTCATATAAAACCAACTAAAGTCAATTGTGATCAAATTTGATTGATCTCGATGTATAACTTGAATGTTTATTTGATTGAATTGTTGAGAACATATTCAATTCGTTAATAATTGTTTTTTTAAACCTTTTTTCAGGATGTGTATCCAAGATTTTAACACGTTTCTATGAAACAGGCTCAATTCGACCCGGGTCAATAGGCGGGAGTAAATCAAAGGTATTTAAAAAAATGTGAATAGAAGAAATCGGTCATATGTAGATATTAACGTTCATCAATATGAAAGCTATAAGAATGTTAGCTATTGTACAGTTTTTAGGAATTATTGTAAAGTACCAAGTCTTCGTTAATTAAAATACATACAGCTATATTTTCAACATCTTTCGAGAGTTTCATATTATATACACACATATTATTAACTTGATATATACAGGGTGTTTCACAATTCCATGCTAATCTCTCTACCACAGATTCATCAGCTCAAGAGGAGTAAAAAAATGTATGAGCACTTTTCCCAAATCGGCTGTTTTAGTAGGGTTACAGCCCTAGGCCCCTCAAGATTTTCTATTTTCTGGTTGATTTCCACGGACGGTCACCACAGTGGGGTTTTTCAAAAGCAATTTTTCATTATTGTCTTGTTGGAAAGTTTCAGTGGAGCCGACAAATCTGTGGTAGGGAGATTAGCATGGAATTGTGAAACACCCTGTATATCAAGAGAAGGTGTTCTTAGCCGCGGGAAGCTTTTCTAGCCGGATGTCCTGTATAATGATTAATGCAAAACTTGGGCCTTGAATGTGTACCGATGAGAAAAATACTCATTTTATGTGGAAATACACTAAAAATGGTATTATAACAAGTTTTAGAACTATGAATGTATAGTTTTTATGCAAAAAACTACAATTTTAATATACAAAGCTCACAAAAATGCCTATATTTGGTATTTTTCCTAAACACAAGAATCAACTAAAAGAGACATAATACCTTTATATGAGACATACGCAAAGTACACATATTTTGACTTGTCTAAGGTTGATTACGATGCGAGCGATTTCAGAAGGGAGTCAATTTTAAAAATGTCAAATTAAAGTTCCATTCTATCCATTGTATTTTCGTCAAAAGTCCCTAGGATATCAAACAAATTCTTCAAAAGTAGACAATCAATCAACCAAAAATGTATCTACGTAAACATAATTTTGTCGCATTTATCAAAACATTCACTCAGGTTACACAAGGTTATAGAAAACACAATTTACATCACTTGCTAAGAGCATCATTCTTTAGAATGGATGTATTTAACGTAGAACTTTCAAGTTTCAACACATGTTGAAAAATACAACGGGATGCCCTAGAATATATATGTAAATAAGATCATTTGTAGGAAGTTGTTGTTCGCCTTTTCATATCTATATATAGTTAACACATGAAGAAAAACATTTTGGTTAAATTTGATTCAATGCAGCATATTTATGATTAAATCTAACAACAATGCACTTTGACATCTAGATGAAGCGTCTAAAAATGAACATACCTTGCCGATCCTTAATATGGATCCTAGATTAAACATTGGACAATATTTATAGGCAATTCAATTTAACTAACCTTCAACTGTTGAGACTGAGATTATTAAACTACAGATAGAATAGATTTCAAAGTGATTTAATCTCTACCGTTGATTTTAGATTTAATAATATTGTAAATACTATATGTGTGGCATTGAATAAAATTTAACTAAAATATTTTTTCAGTGCAGCACTTTACCACTTAGAGATTCATTTCTAAGACGTAGCGAAGCACGCACGGTAAGCTAGTCATGAATAAATGTAAACTAACTTTTTTGCTAAAATGAAAAGAGTGATAGTGGATACTTTTGAAGAGTTGAATTATATAATTGTTTAGTTGTTATTCCCAAGGAACAATTGTTAGCGCAAATCACCCATTACCAGGCCCAAGTTTACGGTCGAATTTGGGGTAGCATTCGTGTGTAGTTTCAGTCAATTTTACCGTCGCAATGGAAAGAAAAAAAGAAAAGAAAGCACAATTCAATTAGACTGATATGAAAAAATTGACTTGATTCATAATCATCATTATGCTATTGTATATGCAATAGACTCCACTTACCGAGTACAATTTATACCAAGAGGTACTCGTACTTTGGCAAGGCCACAATTTAATCAAGCCTAGCGAACTAACAAATAATTGTTATAAACTAATTTCTAAATTTAGTATTGTTTGAATGTTGTTGAATGAGGGCTGCTACTACTGCGGCTGCAGATGTCCATTGTTGACATTCTGATTCTGACCTCGATACAACGGCAATGGCTGATTGTTGTCAACACGGCGTGGTCTCCGTACATTTGGATGAATTGTCCGCTTGAACACCACGCATTCACCTACCGAATGATACATAACAAAAACACATTACATGTATAACAATTGCTTCAAAATTTGTATCAATTTCAATTGATTGCATACCTTTGTAGAGGATCAGCTTCGCTGCTGCGATATCACGGTGCCATACAGTTGTGAGCGTTGGTTGTGCTCCGGCAGCTCCCTCGATTTCAACGTTTGCAACATTTGGTAGCCATGTTTTGAAGAAGCGTTGCTTCTTTGACACCAAACGACCTGCATTCGGTCCATCTCGAAGAGTTGCAGCAATGACATCGCCTATATCACGCATCTCGCGCCACATTCGTTCAATTGTTCGTCGCATTTGTAGTAATCGTTTGCTCACATTGGTTACGATGGTTCGTGGTAGTCCAACAATTGGATTTGGTACACAACCCACACATGTCTTGTATCGATCACGTCGAGTTTCTTGTGGAAATCGTTTGAAACACAATGGACAATGTTGTGATGTCATGTACTCATCGACCATTCGAATGATGCAATTGCCACGTTTCATAATGGCCGCAAGCAGCTTCCGTGTGCCTGGACATCGCACATGTTTCTTGATCTTAATCGGCGAATTAGCTGGTGTTGATCCGCTGGCTCCCATGTAGAAAATTGATGGTTGATTGTAAACCATTTTGCATGCCGTTTTGTCGATTGCACGAACCGATTCGATATGCTTGTCCAGTCCCAAGCGTGCATACTGTTTGGTTGAGTATGTTTCAATGCCATCATTCATTACACGTAATCGATGTTCAATGTACGAACGCCATGATGGTCCTTTTGGCGATGGCATTTCACCAATCATAGCTGCAATTCGATTACGATCGGCTTGCTCTTCGAAAGTAAACAATCTTGTGATTCGTTCGGCTTTTGCATTACGTCGGCCTTGTTTCGCATCCCAGTGATATCGCTTGCTGGATATACGCAAATTCACCTAACAAAATGAAAACAACAAAAACAACATTGTATTCACAATCACAATCGCTTTCATTCATTATTAAATGACAAATTTACCTCTTCTTTGGTATGCAAATCTCGTCGTACGGAAGCGTTCCACGTTCGCATACCCGGATCACATCCAACAGCATATTTCAACTCATTGCTGTCATACATTGCCTTGATTTCGTCATCTGTTGTCTCGACTGGTGGTACTTTCGGTTTTTTGTACATCAACGATACAGATACGCCATCGGAACAAATTTGAGAATCGAATTCCTTTTTGTTGTGCACAAGTTTGAGAATTTTCTCCACATCGAAGAATAAATTCCAACTTAGGATTTTATTTGTGCGGAATTCGTTGCTCGTGATGTTTTTGAAATTTGTTGTTCCGTCTTTACGTGTCCGTTTACCGCACTTTCGAGGCACCAATTTCGCATTCGATAGGATAACGTACAATGCGTCGGTGTCAATTCGAATGTGTCGACGCTGAAAAGTGCACATCGGCACAACGACAAAGTTTTTTATTTGCGGTTTATCGCGACGATCTTCGTATGCAAAGTGAAAGTTCCGAATATCGCGCTGAATTTCCGACCACATGCGAATCGACTTGAACCAATCCTCTTTCACAAAGTCACGGATATTGCAATCGTCCGGTGCTCCCAACCAACGCAATTCATCCAATAGTTCACCCAATCGCATCTCACGTTCAACGTCGCCAATTGCGGTGTTTCGACGACGATAAGTATAATTGATGGCATTTTTTATATCTTCCTCGTCGTAGTATGGCAATTCGAATTCGATCATACCGTACAAATTGTTGAAATAATTGTACTTGATGGCGTAGTCGTTGAGTTCGAATGCTCTCATTTTAAAAAACTTCCGCAATCGAGACTCGCAATGCGTTGTCAGGTTCGTTTTGACATTGTCGTAGTACTGCTCCCACATATATTTAAAACCGTTCCCGAACCCACCGTTTGTGGGCCAGTCAATGTGTGCAGCGTCGACAATGTTGCGGAAACCAGGTAACATAAGCGATATGTTACCAATGTTATCGACAAGAACGGCCTTAAAACAGTTGTGTATGATCGTTGATGGTTTATCGGTTTCAAAAAAATCATAGTTGAAATCGTCGAGTGCTTCATTGACCTATTCAAGAAACACAGAACACATAGAGAGAGAGAGACAAACAATCAAATCGATTCATATAAATACAATGGATCGCATAGTGCCGAAAAAATGATGAAATAATGACGAAAAATAAAATTTGGTCAAAGAAATGGGTGTACTTACCTTCATCAAAAATAGTAACGATGCAAGGCATGCGATCTTCGTAGCCTTCACCGATAAGTACGAAATGATTGCGACAATTACATCCCGATATCGTTCACGGATAATTGATGGCAGTCCTTGCTTTATACACCTTTGGTCGGCGTTTGGATCAGCCTTCTTGTGACGACCCATTTTGCAGTCTATTTCAAAATTTAAAAAAAAACGGAAAAAAGAAAGAAAAAATGCGTTAAATAATTATATAAACAATTGAAGGCTACACACAACGTCAAATCGCAATTTCAAAGCACAAAACACACAATAGAGAGTACAACAATAACAATGATTGAATGGCCAAACAGTTTAAATCAACTTGCCTTGTGAGGATTTTTCGCTAAACTGAATTCGATTCGCAATATTCTGACAGTCAAAAATCCAATGGCATCAAATTCGAAGTTAATACACAGTCAAATTCACACAACAAAGACATATAAAATGAAGAATGCACTTCCACACAAATAAAATGAACTTCCTATCAATTCGATACAAAATACACTGTAATGCCGCTTTGATTTCTTACTGTGTGACTTTGGAAATGTTCTGTTATTTTAAAAACAAAACAAGAACAGACACAAAATTCACCGTAAATAAATCTATTCTTTGCAAATTCACAATATCTACGTTGAAATTAGAAGAAAGAATTCTGTTTGTTTGAACTAAAAATCCACGATGCATTCTCAAAACAAAGCACATTTTAAAATGTAAACAAAATTATGATGTTTGCATCTTTTTTCAAAGTGACGATGGTTGAACGGCAACTGTCAAATTCAATTCGAATGTCTTTCAGATTTCGAAATTCGAAATTCATATACGTTCATGAATACGAAAGTATTTAAAAAAATAAATGCCAAGTGCCGTTTAAAAAAAAATTCTTCTGCAGAAAATTAAATCAAATCACTCAAATCTAATTTGTTTGCAGAGAATGGATTTTCTTGCGGTAAATAAATCATTAAATTTGAAATACAAAAACTTAACGTACAGTACACATATTGGGTGGCGATCATATTATACGGTCAGAGTATGTTTTTGTATGGTAGTAAACAAGTGGAACGAATCATTCCATTGGAAGTTGTAAATATACTGGAAACTACACACACAATCTACGTTCCATTTGACACGGAAATGACCACTAAACCGGGCCAAAGCGTTACATTTTTTAACGTTAAAATGTCCTAAAAACGTTACATATTTGTCCGTTGGGATACTAATCGAAATATCATTTTGATTTTACAGCAAGTGGCCACACCGACGGTAGTGAAAAAAATTTTACGATTCAAACAAGAAAATCCTGGAATGTTTGCATGGGAAATTCGTGATCAGCTATTGTCCCAAAGAATATGTGATCCGAATACCATACCATCAGTTAGCTCGGTGAATCGAATTTTACGTAACGGAGGATTATGGACAGATGACACACAAAATGGTAAAATTTCAAAAAGTATACGTCTAGGATATGCATTTTTAACAGGGATTGTTCCTCTTAGAAGGCGGCAAATCAGTAGGAGGAGAACATAGAGAAGGATCTTCCTCAAATTAGAAAGAAAAGTTTTTTTGATTAAAAAGCTATTTTTTGGTTAAAAACATTTCACTCTTCACTTTCATCTTTTCTTTTGCCTTCTTACCAGTGAACAGATTGGGCTACAGCTATAGCAGTGCTATTTTCACAGCTCCTATTCATTGGTGCCATTTGTGAACAACGGATACGGACAGCGATTTTATGATACAATTCCGGACAATGGACTTATTGATTTGTTCATGCAAAAAAATACTCAAATCAAAAAGTCTATTGTTCTATTTACATTTTGAACATTTCTTTCGGAATTGTATCATAAAGTCGCAAATAGCGCATATGAATAGGAGCTGTGAAAATAGCAGTGATATAGCTGTAGCTCAATCTATTCACTTCTTCTTACCATTACACCTTCTCAGAGAAACAATTCCTGATTTTAATGATGAAAAAAATCGATGAATGCATCGTAAAATAAATGATAAAACGTGAATTGAACTAATAGTTGTTACATGGGTTTAAATAAGCTCCATTTCAAGATCCCTCATTAAATGATGTCTGCTTTCAAAATATTTATAAATGATGTAAATTTTACAGCGCAAGTGATGTTTGAACGCAACAGTGAAAAAGCACGTTCCGTTTATTTTTCGCCAACAAAAAATGCAATGTCAACATTCGAAGAGCCATGTCCCGATGTGCATCCAAACTCAGGCCATTTAGCAAATGGTGCACAATCACTCTATAACCATCATATTCAATTTCTTCCCAGTCATCAGAGCTATTCATCACGATCATCATTTCCGCATTCATTTTCGGGCTCATCCAGAACCACCATGGATTTGTCATCGTTCAAAAGTACAACAATTTCAGCTAGTTCAATTGCTAAAAATGGCAGCACATGTTTATCAGTCAACTCACCTGCCACCTCACACTCACCAATGCCAAGTTCGATTTTACCTCATCAGAGTATGCCCGAGACGTTGCCTTATGGTCAACTAAGTAAGCATTTATTTTGGAATCGAAATCTATTTTATTCACAAACAAGAACCGTTAACGATGGTCTACTGTCGTATCCCACATCGCTTGGAAATTTATTGGAACATAAATTATCATTTCCAACGAATTCAACGCAAAGCAAAAATGTTGATATATCGTCGTCAAGTAATTGTTCCGATGTGAACAGTGATAATGATTCAATAGATGTTAATGAAAATGACAAAGATTTGCGCAATAATTTACCGCAAAACAGTAATTCATATCATACCATCGATTCAATGTCAAATTGCAAAAAACGTAATCCATACTCAATAGAAGAGCTGTTGAAAAAGCCAGAAAAGAAAGAATCCATTACACTTCAAACGTCCTATGTCCTGAAGAACGAGAATATTAAGGAACTACCGACTGCCGGTGACTCAACCAACACATGCTTCGCACGTACTGACTTAGAATCACCGAAAAGCAACGGAAATAACCATATAACCATTGAGGTGTGCGATTAAAAATGTATCCCGTTTCAAACATTTTTTCCGATTTTATTTCATAATATGTATATTTATTTAATCTATTTAGAACTATATTTTATGGGAAAAAAATATTAAATAACAAATAATTAATAAATAGTTTAAATATGTATTTGATGGTGCATTCATGCTGCGATGATAACATCTAATTAAGCAAATACATCCAGTTCCATGTTAATGCACTTTAAAAATAAGAATTTTTAATCGAATTAAATGAGAGTAATATATAGCCATAACCAAGCATTTCCGTGAAATCATATTAATATTAAATCATGTACGTAGTAGATGTAATAAACATAATAAATTCAGTTTTTATCGACTTTTGACATTTTGATGGACATACTTTTTTTTGGAAAATGCAAAGCTATTCGCTAAATAGTATTCATGCTCAATGTTTTCGAGATGTTTATTTCTAATCTTTAAGCACACAATATATCCGAGGAATATGTCTTTAATATGTGTCAATACAAAAATTACCAATAAAGTCCCAACTTACAATACAACATAATTATATGAACAATTGAATTCTGAAAATATTTTTTCTTTCAACAAATGAACCTTTTTTGTTTTATTCACTTTTCACGCGAATGAACGGTGTTATCCAAAAGTTATGAAGTCAATCTAAGGCGGTATGTGGATTTATCTCAAAATCTTTCGAAAATCTAGAGAAGAGTAAGTTTTGGTCTCCGAAAATTGGAAGACCTAAAAAAAGGTTTTCAGCAAAAAAAAGTTTGATAAATTGAAAGAATCTCTTCAAGAACTTTAAGAAGTTCAAAGAATCGACGCCTCAGAAAACTGATTACCAAAAAAGGTCTTCATTTTTCGAAAAAAAATTAAACTCTGTTCTGCGTGGATGGAGATTATTCCGACCCCTGAAAATTGAACGCTCTAGAATAAAAACAACGTACTGAATGGTTGTTATATCAAAGCGGAACATGGCGTTTTTTTTAACATAGATTTGTTGTTGTAATACAACAACGTTCAGTACGTTGTTTTTATTCTAGAGCGTTCAATTAGTGATTGGAAGGTCGAAAGTGCATAGCGCGCTAATATTCTCAAATTTTTTAAATTCTCAAAGCTGCGAAACAAACAACTACGCGCACCGACTACGTGCACCATATCACACGTATTCCGTGTGCAAAATTTCATCAAAATCAATGAATTTTGATTCTTGACAGTGTTCTTGACAGTGCTTGGACAGTTTGCTCTATAACACCCTGATCCCTCTTTTAAATTTCCCGGATTTTATTTCCAAAATAAACCATTTTTTAAACTATGCAACGTGTGAGCATCCTCTGATCACTAAATCTCTAGATAAGAGATAGTAATTGAGTAAGTAATTATTATTTTGGAAAAATTGAAATCACATTTAAACCAAAACAATTTTATAACCATTTTCAAAACCATTTTTCAAACGCTATGAACTAGTTCTGTTTTCCGCTGATTTCAGTTGTTCAATCATCATGTGCGTGTCATTATGACATTTCTCAACAGAACAAAAATACTTGCCTTCGCGACATTGTTTACAAATCCAAAGACTGCAGAAATAAACAATATTCGTATCACTTTGTTTCTTTAAATTTTAAAGCGACTTTAATACCGAGGTGAATTTAGATGAATTTAACGTAATTTAATTTCTTTTTCTCTAAACATGCTGTTTGCTTCAAATTTGTAGAACATGATATCCAATCAGAGTTCATTGCTACAGAATATCCAAAATCGGTACTTGAATCCAAATGGTGCTGATGTATGGTTTGTATTCGATGATGAACGAATTCCAGGTCATCGAATTATCTTGGCATCGAGTCCATGGTTGGAGAGTATGTTTTTTGGATCGTTAACCGAAAACAATGACGTCAATATGAATAATTCAAATGTGACCAGTAGATCGTTTAAGGAATTTTTGCGCTACATCTACACCGGCAATGCAAATTTAACAATGGATAATATCGACGAGATGATTTTTTTGGCCGATGAATCATTGTGCCAAGAAATTTTTGATGAATGTGAAAAGTTTTTGATAAAAAATTTAACTATTGACAATATATTTGTTGTGTATCAACTGGCTTTGCGGCACGAGAGAGCCGTTCAATTGAAGATCGCTTGCGAAGAAGAAATCTGTGTAAATGCTGTTCACACATTAAAATCATCGAAATTTTCAGAAATTCAATTTGATTTTTTACAAAACATTCTCAAGTGTGATTCATTGGTTTGCGAAGAAAAGGATGTTTTTAATGCATGCATCGAATGGGCAAAAGCTGCTTGCAGACGAAATCGAATGGATCAATATAATCCGATAAATTTACGAGCACAACTTGGCGATTTAATCTACCAGATTCGATTTAGTTCGATGACAGTTGGAGATGCGGCTACGTGCATTGATTCATGTCCCGGTTTATTTACGGCGAATGAACTACAAGAGATCATGTGTATTGTTGGCCGGAAAAATTATTCAGGAACAACGCAATTCAATTGCACAGAACGATATTTTAGTTTGCAGCGAAATCCAAGTAAAGAATTAAAATGTGATCGTTTTAGCTTCATTACATCCGATCGTCGTATTTTTGCTTTAACGGAAACTACGACATTCACTTGTAATCGACCGGCATTTCTAAAAGGTTTCACATGCGAATGCAATCATTGCGTAAATAAGACAGCCAGAGTGTCCATTGTTGAGACGAAAGGCGAAGAAAATGTCAATATACGATGCAATGTGCAAAAAAATTTAATATTCGGAACAAAAAATACGCGCAAAAAAAGACACGGACAGATTGAACGGACTCACACATCATTTACAGCAAAAGTTATGTTTGATTCGGGAATTTTGCTTAGACCTGGATATGAATATAGCATTCATATTACATTCGATTCGCTACTACTACTGGAACACAACTGCGTATTAAAAAAAAAAGTTCGAGTCGATCATGACATCGTAATTCGATTCGATAAAACAAATGATATTGTTACCTCGCTCATTTTGAATCGTTTCGATAATCGAAAATACTTTCGCAGAATTTTTCATAATCCCGTGATGTGGTGTATCCTGGTTGGGGTGCTATTGGTGATAGCTGCTATAATGCGATATGATATCAATCAACCGGATTCAGTTCTTGTCCATTTGTGGCATATGATAAAGAGTATTTTCGAAAAACACTAAAATAGTCTCTCAAAACCACTGCATTTAATGCATTTGAATCAGCCTTATCAAAAACATTTTTCAAAATAGAATGGGAATAGTTTACTAAACAACTCCACAAAATCCATGCTTAAAATATCTTATGCGATAAAATTGGCAGTATTTTTTTTACTCATAACTCATAGATGATGACGGACATTTTTCTGGCGGTGGGGGTTAAGAATTTGTTTACATTTGAAAAAAGTGAAGAGCAAATAAAGGTCCTCATTTCCAAAATTTTTGAGGGTTCCTGAAAATATTTTAGAGGGGGGTAATCCGAACCCTAGGAACCCTCGTCATCATCTATGCTTATATATAATCTTTACAAAAATAAGTATTTTATATTATCAAATGAATAAATGTGTCTAATTGTCTCTGGAAATGTTGGTATTAATATTGAACATACGTGTCAGTGAGAATAAACGTTTATAGAAATGGGAATCAAGTGTTAACCTTATTGTCGCATGAATATCGTTCCCATTGCTTAAGATCGGGACCGCAAAAAGATTACTACTTGGAGCAGAATAAATGTAAGTTCCTTTACAACACAAATAAAAAGAAAAACATATGGTAAAAATGTGTTTTTATTTGACAAATAAGAATTTTTGATAAAACAATTAGTTATTATGAAGTTTCTACAATGAAAACAAAAAAAAAAAACTTTTTTTTAGTTATTTTGATTGTTGGATTTTTCAATGTCTATCTGACAAAAGTAAATATTTCAAAAAGTAAATTTTATTTCTTTTTACTACATTTATCGTTTACGGTCACGGAACTGGCCTCCTTGTCTTCGATTATTCGAATATCGTTCATGTCTCGGTGCACGTTCCTTATCCCTACTGCGATAATCATGGTGTTTTTCAGATGAAAAATGCTTTTTATGTGGAATATCACCGTTACTGTGCCCATAATCAGACTTTTCTCGGTCCCTGTCAATGACAAAACATCAGATTTTGTTTTAATTTTTGACTTTAAAAATAATTTATGAAGAAAAATACAAAAATAAATAAAAAAGTTTTTTACCGTTTTTTATTATACCGTGACGGTGACAAAGAAGCGGATCGAGAGTAATTGCGAGATTTGACTCTGCTTCTTTTATGCTTTTCGGATGTCCTACTTCGAGAACGAGATTTGTCACGTGTTTTCTTGTGACTTCGTGATCTAGAATTGTCGTTCGGTGATTGAGAGATAGATCCGGAACGTGACGATTTTGATGGTGATCGTCTGGCACTTTGTTGTTCACGCGACGATTTCGAAGACTTTTTTGTGTTTTCTGTGTTTGATGATTCATTTTGACATTGTCCAGGTTGTTGCGAATTTTGATTTGTCTGAGCTGCTGAATCCGATTGTGGTACATTTGATTGACTACAATATGAAATGAAATGTTATCGTGTTAAATTCATAAAGAAATCAATAATGATAAATAATTGAACAGAAATTCACAAACACATTTTGGCTAAGTGAATATTGATTGCAATTGAAGTATGATGCTTACCTATCTGAAGAAATTGGTTGCGTCGGTTGTTTTTCATTTTCATTGACATTTGTGTTTGTCACTGGTGCCGCACGTGAAATAAAACCGCTCCATGAATTGTATGATTTATCATTTCGATCCACCGATATTGTGACTGGTGGTGTATTTTGTCCGGTTTTATTTTTATTTCGAATTTCTTCGAAGACTTTTTTAAGTTTTTCAACCGTTTGTTCAAGCACTTCTGCATTCGGTTTTGGTCGACGATACAATTCCATAATTTTATATGATATATCCAAAATGTCATCTTCATTAACATTGAACACACCATACCATGATGGATTATTGGGTAATGGTAAATCAATTTTTCTTGCTGTCAAATAAATGCATGCACAGGCAATCGATTCGGGATTGTATCGTACAAATACATCCGTACGCAATGAATCGTTCATAAAATTCCATGCCATTTGCATGAGACGCTTATTTTCTTCATATCCAAGCACTTGCAGATACATCACAATTAATTTATGCGGATGTTTGACATGTACACAAAATCCAAGCTCCTTTAAAACACGACGTTCGGCTTTAATTACTTGATTTTTCAGTGATACATAGCTCGCATCCAAAATCATTGGATGTATTGGCCTATTGAAAAAATAGAGAAATTGCCATTTAGTTTTATGTTGTGCAAATGTCGAACATTTTTGATAAACTTACTTTTGACCACGAACTTGTTTGATAAGATGGAAAACATTGATTACATCCCGAATACGTCGCGGAGCCTCTTCAATTTTTGATGCTAAACAGATGCAACTCATTGCTGTTATCTCCATATTGTCACGCAAATAGGACTTTGAATAATAAAAACGCTGAAATAATACTTGCCCGGTAGCCATCGCCACCTGTAACATAATGAACATACGGACATTTAATTTAACATCAATGCGTGTGAAAAAAACTCAAAGAATATTAAATTACCTGTGGAAGTTTTAGTAAAATGCCCGCAATTTGAATGAGTTCACAACCAAGAACTCTCAAATCGGTTTCAGTTTCTTTATCCAAGCCATCATGTTGCGACGGAGTCTCTTGCAATTTATTGTCGGACAATAAACAATTTTCAAGTGTTAATGTGATTTTACCGAATTGACGTGGTAACGTTGTCTTTTGCGTCATATTCAAGTGGATTTCATTAACAACTTCGAATGAACTATTTTTTTTTCTCAATGATATTTGGCGCTATTCAACTAAAACAAAAAAAAAAACACCTCTTCACAGCTCAATACTTATACCAAATTTTCTCGCACTAATGGCGTGACAGGACCGAATTTGACGATGTCAAACGTATATTCAAACTTATCATGTCTAACACTAGAGTTCGCCACATGCAAGCAATATGATTACTTTGGTGTTCCATTTCATGAACGCAACAAGAAAATAAATAAATAAACAAACGATTATTTTTTTTTATTCATTTTATGAATATTTATTTAATTAAATAGCCATATAAACCATAAAAGTGATATATGTATTTCCGAATGTATGCGCGCTTCCCAAAAAAAAGAATAATCAAAAATATTTATGCGCTGCAAAATCCAATAACACCACAACCAATTCGTCCACCGGCATTTCCTGTAGTTTTGCTCAATTCATGGCCACCCAAGCCCAAATCATCAACATCAGCATGTACGACAACGGTACGACCGATGATACTGTTTGGTCCTTGCAACGAAATCAATGAATCGGTCAAATTAACTTTGGCCGAACCACTTGCATCAGCTGTAATATTTCCCAAATCACCGACATGTCGAACTTCGGCATTTGGTGCACCGTGATCCTTTTTGTATGGATTGAAATGTGGTCCGGCTGATGTACAACCATTTGTATTGTCACCAAATTCATGTACATGGAAACCATGTTGTCCCGGTGCCAAGCCGGTTATTTCACCAGTCACAGTTACAGGCCCATTTTCCGATTGCTTTATTTCAATTGGAATTAGATAAGATAAGATTATTTAAAAATTAATTGGACATTTGCATGAATTATTGAGACAAATAATAAATTTATTATGTGAAAATCTACTTTAGTTTTTTCATTGTGTAATTTAATTTCCATTTAAGATTTTTCAAAAAAAAAAAAAAAAAAATACGGGAATTGAGTCAGAAGTGCGACGTAAAATAATGAGAAGATATAAAATGGAAATCAATATTATGACATTGAAAATAATATCAATTGGTTGTTCAATTGACTTTAATTGCATATCAAGTAAACACGAACTTTGACTTACTTGTTCGAAAAAAATATTGCCTTTGGCATCACCAGCAACAACAACGACGGCTTTAACCATTTTGAAAAAAGATTTCGTCTTTTTTTGTCTTTTAAAAATTTCAAACCGGTTAGATTTCTAGCTTGATGAAAACAACAAAGTGTTTTTTTTTTTATTCTTCCTTCTTCAATGATTGAATTAGAAATGGCTTCTGATATGAAGATAACTACGACGAAGTGATATAGCGTTTTTATAATATAGCAAGACTCTCGTACATTCGAAACGTTCTAAAAAATCAATGGCAGTACTAACGCAGATTTGAATGGCTGCATACTTGAATGACAGTAGTTCAAAATCAAATTCGATTCATTTTTTTTTCCAATTTAAATGAAAAATTATGCTTTTTGCTGTGAAAAAAAATCAAATTCAATTTGATCAATTTATTTATGTTTATCGCCAATAAACGTATACACGTATATTGTAATTCGATTAAATGTTATATCCTGTGTTTGTTTTTTTTTTTAGTAATACAGATTGAATAATGCGTTGGTTAATGTGATCGCATTGAGCGAAAAAAAAGATGAAAAAAAAACATTCAATTTATTGAAGAGTTTCGATAATTTTCTCAACTTCAGTTTTAGTATACATTTGGAACAAACTTTCTGGTTTCATAATCATTACTTCAACATTGGTTGAGCTCAATTTTTCTTCCATAACTTGTTTTAGCGTGCGCAATGCCAAATTGACTGCTTCCTTTATTGTCATTTTTTCAGTGTAGTTGTCCTGAAACAAATAAATGATGAACATTTTAATTTTGCTTATAAAATTATGATTTAACACTACAAACGTTGAGTTTGTCAATAAAATGGCTTACCTGTAAATTTTGTTGTGCACCTTCACTGCCTGATCCGATTGCCTTTGCATCGTAGCGAATATAAGTGCCCGATGGATCCATATGCCATAGTTGTGGGTCATTGTTCTCAACACCAGCGAACAAAATTGCCACACCAAATGGTCGACTCATGGCCGAACCGCCATCAGCACTGTCACCAAATTGAATAGCTAATGTTGATACAGCCTGGGCACAAGACTCAACCGACATACGTTCATTGTAAATGAACCAATGATTTTGGCATTCAACACGAGCACGATCAATCAATGTTCTGTAATTGAAAACAAACAAATAAAAAAAAGTTGAAAAAAAGGTTTGTTTTGATAAAAATTGTCATAGTGTCACCTGGCATCGGCCATCAATCCAGATGTAGCACATCCAATATGTCGATCGACTTCGACGATTTTTTCCACAGTTGATGGTTCCATCAATGGAGATGTGATTCGTTTTTCCACAGCCATAACAACACCTTCGGGTGTACGAATACCAATTGCTGTCGAACCCAATTTGATTGCTTCGATTGCATATTCCACTTGGAATAAACGTCCTTCCGGTGAAAATGTATTCACACCTCGGTCGTATTCAGATCGTGTAAGAAACATCTAAAAATTAAATCGAAACCAATTAACAATAAATAAAATCGAAGTGAAGAAACCGTGGTGTAGTCTTCATCAATATTTTTTTTTTTTGAATATCATCACATTTGAGGTTATAATAATAGTGTATGACATAGCAAAAATCAATGGAATTTTATATTTAGTGAATATTTCTTACCTTGTATTCGTGATTATTTTGTTAAATTGTTAACTAGTTTTTGTATGAAATTAACTCAAACAAACGATCTATTCAAATTAATCGAATAATTGGCAATGAAACAGTTCAATTTATTTGCCGACAAACAAACAATGTATGTAGATGGTTTAGCTTGGCGAACGCGTAAAATTGTATTATTGAATTGTCATATATTGAGTTGCCGTATGTAAATGTTGTCGTTTTTTTATGTTTAACGCAATACACTCCGGAATTGTGTGTACTAAAATATTGAAGCGGCGGCATATGTTCTAAACTGCATGTCAACAGTAAACTGTCAACGACTTTAAATAAATCACACAGTTGTTGTTTTTTTCTTTCTTTGGCTTATCAATATATTGAACATTTCAGCAAATTACAGTTTCTTAAAAAACGTTTTTGTCTTGGATTCATTTGAAATTATCGAGTTCATGCATGAATTGAGTTGTTCAGAAAAAAAAACGTCAAAAATGATGATGATGAAAGAAAATAAAACAGAAAATGATATAAATGTAAACATTGGAAATGCCGTATTTACAAAACAAGTGGCGGCAAAAGTGTGTATGGCACTAGTTGAATTTCTTTTAATCAATAAAAATCAAATTCCATTTCCGGTTGTATCGTTTCAACAAATCATAAATCGCATAAATAATGTGGAACATGACGAAAATAGTGATGTCAAGAAGCCAAATTTGGTTGGAAAATACAAAGCCGAACGCAAACGCAATAAAGCTATGGAAACATATAACATGTATAACCAGTTGAACGAGGCAAGTATATTTTATGATTTGATGATTTCAAAAAAAAAAAAAATTTAACAAACACTTTCTTGATATATCAACAGATTATGATTTCAACGTTTGAAAAGTGTGACATCCATCAGGCCATCATATTATTTGGACAAACAAAATTTACGACAAAAGAATGTTTCGTCATCAATTTTCCAGAATCTGATGTTGTACATTCGTCCGTTACAGTTTCCACAAATCAATCAGAAATTGTGCGAAAAATTATCATGTAAGTCATTGATGAAGTAGATGACATCAACAAAATAAAAAATCGTCTTCTATTCAACAGGTCTATATTGGGTTCAGCTGATTTTTTCAATAAGCACGGAAATATTCTGCGTCAAACTAATATGCATTTATTATTAAAACTAAAAGATGGTTCCAGTGCACCTTGTATGACAAACTTTCAAATACAAAACTATTTAAGATTGCCGCACAAGTGCAGAACAACACATTTCAATATTCAAAATAACACAGAGAAATTGGATAGCAAACCATTTAACATTTTTAGTGATATCGACAATACTGGAAATGCAGCGGAACCATGTTCAGATAGTAATATTTTCTTTGAATGCAATGTTATATTGAAAGGGATCAAATGGAATCAATAGATTTTTAATTATTTTAAACTGATTTTGTTTGGAGCATACGATTCTAGCACAATTATTCAATTTAATTCATTCATTTAACGCATCATTTAAAGCAAAGCTGGTATAGGCATCGCGGAGGTGTGGACACTTTTTATGTAAATTCTGCTCTTTCTTGTATTCAGGTGAACAACTTGACAAAAATTGTAACTTCTCTGGTGCCCATAACAGCTTTGAACACAAGACAGTTGTTTTCATCAATGCATATTTTTTATATGAAAAAATTACTATGTTTATCAGTCTTAAATTGGTCAATCGAGCTTTCAATAATAGTGTTTAGAGATTAAATAAATTTTAATTGTCCTGATTCAATGAATTAATGTTGATTTTTCGAATTTATAGTATCTTCATTTAAATTTTGATATTATGAATTGTGACGGAAAAATAGTTTCTTGAAATTGACTGAATTTATGATCTAATTAGTACCTAATAATGAAGATAAATAAACATTCGACCAATACAAACATAAATAAAATTTCACCCAACATTTTTTTTTATTGATCGTTAACGATTTGATGTGCTATAAATATTTTGAGCCAAAAAAAACGTCGTTTAAGAGAGTAAAATTGAGTATAGACATTTGGTTACCGGATGCGTTAAACGCTGCGTCACAGCACACATACAAATACACTCGAACGAAACACTACATTTGTGACATATCACAAGACAAACATGTTTATCGTGAATGAAATATAAACAAAAAATAAAATAGAACAAAAACATAAAACAATGGACGCAATAAATCATTATCCATATTAAAATCTATCAATAGATTAGTCATTAACAATGAATACAATTACGGGCCAATCAACCAAATACCAACAAATTAACAAACAAAGATCGTAAGTCAAGTTTCCATTTAAGTGCATTGAAAACGGCATATCATTTGTGTTAAATTGCACTTGAAATTATTTTATTTAAATATAAAACGTTCTTTTTCTTTACATTTCAGACACAAAATGTGCATTCAAGTTTGTTTTACTGTGATTATTTCTATTGTCTGCTGCACAGCAATGATGTTAGCTGTATCATCCTATAATCAAAGCCAACCGATAGAAATAACAGGTAAATTCAATTAATCGAATGTATTTTTGGGTGATCGAAATTGGGTAGACTTTTGTAAATTGCCTCCAGCAGAGTTGTAGAACTGGATCAGTGCTATAACCTTCTTGAAGACAGTTGTTATATCTTGCAGAATGATCTTCATTTAAAAAAAATTGGTCATGATCTACGCATTTTCGATCGAACAAGCAAAGAGAATGTCATGTTTTGGTAGTTTTTTTTTTAATTTGATTTCCCAAAAAGGGTGCTAAGAGCACTCTGACGATTTTCAGACTTCAATGAGATATGTTCAAATTTTGCATACCTCTGCAAATGTTTCTTCGTCTTCTTCTCATGCAGGTATTTGAAATGTTGAATTGAGTTGCATGAACAACACAGTAAACCATCTGCTTCAATAATTTTATAAAATCTTAAGTGCATGTTGCATACTCATAACTCACCGATACCTTCATCCTAATATTAACACAACGATCACGATTAACGTTCCATATAAATTGATCTGATACTTTTATTTTTATAATTGTTATAGATACGCTACAGCAATGGAGTCGAAGAGAGTCAAGATATTCCAATGAATTTATGCTTGAAAAGAGGGTGTCAGAAGCATACCATTCCTCAATGAATGCTGAACTATCCAATGAATCAACTATTTCCGATCAAAGCACTCCATCATCAAATAATGATCGAAAACTTGTGTGCTACTACACAATACCCGAAAGTAATTTAAAGAAGTCTATCAACCTTCAACTTGATAAAATAGGTACGTCATTTGAATATTCATAAATAAAATATATTCAACGAAAATGATGTTCTTTCTTTTAAAAAATATAGATGCATTTTTGTGCACCCATATCAACATTGGAGTAGCTGTAATAGAAAATAGTAAAATTGTCATCACTGACGAATTGAAGGTGGCCTTTGAGCAAATGACTGTATTGAAGCAATTAAATAATAGTCTTAAAGTACTGATCTGGATTGGGGGTCCAACTGAGTCGATAAGCTTTTTTGAAATGATTCGTACACATGAGAATCGAAAAGAGTTTATAAAATCCATCAAATTAGCACTCGAAAAATATCATCTTGATGGCGTTGATATTGATTGGGAATTTCCAATTACGTACGATAAGAGTCGAATCTATCTCACCAAATTGTTGCATGAAATACGAAAAGAATATGAAAGAGAACGTCGTAACTATTTATTAAGCGTAGCCGTTGCAGCGCCTGAGGGAATTGCATACTTTGCATATGACGTTGAGGCTCTTAATCAATTTTGTGATTATATCAATATTATGACGTATGATTATCATTTTTATTCGAAATCTACACCTTTTACCGGTTCGTATGACATCATTTTTTTTCGATCATATTTGCTATAAATGATAGAGAAAGTTTATTTTTTTCTATTTATACCTTTTGAGAGGCTTTAATGCCTAATACACACTTTACATTTGAAAAAATGTAAAAAAAAAAAAATTCTAAACAGTATTTAACAAAATTGGACTAATTTTTGATATGAAAATAATTTAGGTCTCAATGCGCCCTTGTATAGTAGAAAAAATGAAAATTCATTACTTTCAACGCTAAACATAAATGCATCGGTGAGCTTTTGGCATGAAAAAGGTTTAGACAAACAGAAAATTATAGTGGGACTTCCAACTTATGGACACTCGTTTCGGTGAGTAAATTTGATTCATTTATTTTATAATAAAAAAATTAACAAAAATTAATGTAAGGAAAAAAAAAACAAATCATATTTACAGTTTGATTAATCCATTTAATAATAAACTCGGAAGCCCCGCAAGTGGATTCGGACGAACGGGAGAATTTGGTAAGAAAATATAATCTAACTAAAAATGTTAATATATTTCAAAAAATCTGAGTAGTTACATTAAATATTTAATATTAATATATTTATTACGGACTGATTTTATTATTTTGTTAAAAAATTTATATAATAATTTTATTCTTGGTTGATTATTTAAACCGCATTAATTGCAATTAATTAATTGAATTTTTTTTTTCATTTCAGGATTTGTGACATATCCAGAAGTATGTTTGTTTGAACGACACAATATATTTGTGACGAAAGTTTTTGACGCCGATACATGTTCACCATATATTTTTGCTGGTGATGAATGGATTTCATATGAAGATGATAACAGCATTAAGTGCAAAACCGAATATGTGATAAAAGGTGACTTTGGTGGTGTTATGATATTTTCCTTAAACACGGATGATTTTTCATCATATTGTTACTACGGAAGCCAAAAATATAAGAAACCCAAAAATTTCCCATTAACTAGATTAGTCAATGAATTGTTAATTTGGAATTGAGGTGGATTTCTTTTTATACCGAATATTTTAAAGCATTTAAGAAAATTCCATTGCATTTTTTTTAAATTTAGTTCTTTTGAATTTTAATAAAAAAACTGTGTAAATATGCTAAAAAATATGTTATAATTTTTACTTGAAATTCTTCTTAAAAATTATAAAAATTTATAATTATAAAAAATTTTAGTGGTCAAATGTAAATTCAAACCTTAGCAGCAAATTCAACGGTTATTTTATGGGAATGCCGGATCCCTTTCCGATTTTTTTTCCTGAACGAAAACGTTTTCTCAAAAATTCAAAGAAAAAAAATCCAAGACGTTTTCCCGAATTATTTCGTTCGGGAAATAGTATGTTCCGGCATTCATTATATAGTTAGAGGCCCCTAGAATTTAATCATGACGTACATGAGCGGTAAAAAGTGAATTATTCGATAGATTGGAATGAATCACCAAATCAAATGTGAATGCGTATATTTCATGTTGGCAAAATCTAAATTAAAAATAAATCTAAAACATAAGCTCCTGCAGATAATCAAAAACATGAAAATGCTGAGACACAGTCCGAGCCATATGATATTATTCAACTATTATTTCATAATTATTTAAAATTCATCGATTTTATAAACCGTATTTATTCAATATGCTAATAAGAGCAGTTACAAAAATGTGGCAGTACATGGAGCCATGCTTGCATGAAGTATCTCAATCATAAATGTTTCCTTGTGGTAGAATGTGCTATGATTTCGGTCAACGATTTCTTTTTTGTTTCATCTAATTTTAAACATAGATTCTTTTGTAATCTGATATTTGTTGAAAGAAATACGAAATAGCTCAATGTTGCATGATTTGTTACATGATGCCCGATCCCATAGATCATCGCTGCACATGATATTATAATGCGAAAAAGGCAAACGTTAAAATACGTGAAAGCGAGCTAAACACATTGGTTTGTATTTTTCTTATCAGAAATTCTGATAACAAGCGAGTGTCAAATGTCAATTTTTTCAACGATTTCACTGAATCCAGCTGTTTCTGAGTCAATCATTATCAAGTCACAATGTTATAAAGTGTTCCAAATACAACAAGAAGAAGAACACGACATCAGTTCAAAGGTTAAGGTAAGTTTTTTCTATTGATTTCAGTAATTTTTTTTTCTTTTTTTCCAGAAATAATTCAAAAAAATTTCTATTAGTTTGATCAAAAAGTATTTCAAATGATATTGAGGTTCTATCGATTGCTATTATTTTTAAGGTATATATTGCAAACCTTTGTGGAGAATCCAACCGAATCTATTCATATGGTTTTAACAGATGTTATTTTGAAAAACATGTGGACGACTTAAATTTAAGCCCGGCATACGATTTACTGGAATAGAAAAAGCAAGATATTTTGTGGACCTGTACATGCTCAATTTTAAAATTACTTAAAACTGATCTTCAATCTCAAATCATTTCTTCGAGTAAATCAATTTTGAAGGAAGAAAAAATATTACGAAAAATGTACCTTATCAGAGCACAAGCATGGGGCCTAGTTGAGCTACTTTCACGTTATGTGATCAAATAGACATTTTATTTTCAAAAAAAGACTTCCCATGCATGGCGACAAAAGAAATTCAAACAAAACACTTGAAACGAATGCCACATAGATCAATCGAACATTTAAAATAAAATCTTCGCTTTGTTATTGAAACGAAACGAAAATTAGATTGCAACACAAACGGTTGGTCATTTGATTCCATCAAAGTACTAGAGTCATAAAGTCGATTTAAAATAATCAAATGCAATTACAAAAAAAAAAAAAAAAAAAAAAAAACAATTTGTGTCCAAGTTTTTCGGCATTGCAAAATTTATCGTTCAAAATTGAAAATTCAAGTGCGTATTAAAAGCACACTAATTTCTTTCGAAATAATTGCTTTAAACATATTTTCTTGCGTTCAGAACACACGCTGTATACGCATAAATACGATATGCGTGTATGAGTTTTTGTGTTCGTTTCTTATTCTTTGACACCATGCCCATGCCGTATATGAGAAATAGGTGTTCGATACGATTCAAATACAAACACAAATGCAATAAATGGAAGTTATATATATATATTTCGAGTTATCAGAACCAGGCATGGTTGTGTAAGAAATACTGTTTCGTTTTTTTTTTATTTTAATTCATTCTCTTTTCTTCTGGCATACGTATTTGTTGGCACGATCGAATGTGAAGACAAACATTGAATATGTGTGTTCGGTGAACGGTTGAACACGCTAACAATTTTTTTAGAAACAGCAATCGTTGTCATATCTTATCAATGTAGAGAGAGTTACTACTTGAATCAAGATGCTTGTTCATTCGAGTTCAGTTAAGTTTAGTGCCTTTCATTGAACAGTAGTTCGATAGCACTTGGTAGAAAGTGGATTCAAAGCTGTCAATAATAATAATAATAATATATATATATATATATATATATATATATATATATTTCTTTTTTTTTCGATTCAGTGATTTTGACGATCACAAATTTGTACCATTAACACAAAACATAGCGAATAATTTACATTGTGGTGCGGTTTATGGCAGCAAATATGTATATTTTGTTAATACATGTGTGTATGTGTCAGTATTCATGTTCAACAAATAAATAACTCACTATAATCCACTGTATAGAATAAAAAAAAGTAGAATGGCAACGCAAAAATATTGCCGAAAGGATTGATTTTAAATGCAGACATATTTGGTAGATTTGTTACGAAAAAACACTTTAATTTACTAGATTTTTCGGGAATTTCAAATTTTTTTAAATTTAATTTGACATTTTATATAGCGAGAGAAAAAAAAACATTTTTTTTTGTGAAATTATAGCCAGAATGAAAACGTAACCCAAAATGGAACAATTTTTAATGAAGACTTTCGAGTTATAATATATTCATGGAATACATTTTAGTAAGTTGATATGATAAATACCTAATGACTATTAATTTCAAGCGAATCACAGAAGTCCATTCTTCGTTTACGTTAATTTGAAAGGAAGAAAAAAAAAACACACACACACACAGTTTCTAGAACTTTTAATTTTCCGGTCTAACCTTACATTAATTCTTCGAATATAAGTCTCGTTTAAAATGTTGATTAAAACAATCGTTAATTCAATTCTCTTCATAAAACGTTTATTTTCCTTTGTCATTTGAAACTTTTGAACTTTCATAAGAATAGGTTTACATGATAAAAAGACTTTTTTTTTGCGAAAATATACAGACGCTTTTTATTAGTAATTTTCAATTTTAAACGCTAATTTCACAGTTTCATTTATAAAGAGATTAAAATTATCAATTTATGGCAAAAGTCAAAATAGTGATATATTTATACATTTTCTTTGTTCAGTCATGGTAATCATTGTATATTTATTTGCAAGTACATTTGAATGCCTCTTGATTTAAAAAAAAAAAAAATACACTGGAAAAAGGCCAGTTATTCGAATTCAAATTTACTTATAAATCACTTAAAATTGTCTATAAGTTTAATACTTTTATAAGTTAGGTTACGTCACAAAATGTCTACAATTCAAATCGAAATGCAAAATGGTTCGCACGTTATATTCGGCCGGCTATTTTTGTAAACCACATGGGGAAATGAATCGGATCTCATACCAGCCGTCAGTCTTCATTGATCAAAATAAAACACTCTATTACATTCAAGGGTTTCTGTTCACATCTTACCGGGCAGCATTAGATATTAATATATATACCTCTAATACTGTCAGGTAAAGATGTCGTCCGAACTCTATAGCATCGAAACACACATTAATACCATCTGATATTCAAAATGATAATCCATGATTCAATAAATACATCTTCTCAAGTTGAATACACCAACCAATTTTTGTTTGTTTTGACTTTTGGTATATCACATTTATAAACTACGTCTCAGCGGAATAATTGTATTTATCGGTATAAATGACAGAGCAAAAAAAACCACACACATATTCAGTTAAATTTTTCCACCAAACGTTGATAATTTCATTCATTTTGGATTGATATATATTATTTCGAATTATCAATCGTTCAACGTTCATTCAGTAATTTGTATCATTTAAATTTAATATAATTCAAATGAAATCAAATGATTATCATTTCTTCAATTTGATCTGCCTGCCAATGTTATAGCAGAAAACAAGAAGAAAAAAAAATGCGCGATGAATAAACCTGTCGATGTTTCATGGTTAAAAGTGAAAACTGGTTCAATTTTTACTCTCTTTTTTTTCTGTCACGTTCACAAATCCGAATTTAGTCTCTCCACTCTCAGAAAAGTTTACTTTTGTAAATCTCTCAGATATCAGCTTTTTTCTCTCGTTCAAAATCGGTCGGTTTTAGTTTAAATTTTTCGATATGTAGTGGTGTTAGTTTTCTATCAGTAAATTGGATATGTGGACGGACGATTGAATTCAAGATCGGATTAAATTTAACATGAAACATGAAATTGTGTATCGTTATATAACAAGATGTTCACCGCATTCGATTGGGAATTAATTATGTTGTGGCGAAAGTTGCAATCACAAAAATATATTAAGAAATTTCATGTTTATATTGATCCAGCTTTTCTAGACATACATTTTTTTTTTATAGTGAAAGTATTTACTACTTTAATGAAACCAGTTAAATTTATTCGAATTTTTTTAGTAAAAGTCGCTATTTTCAATAAACTTTCAGAAATATTGCACTAAATAGTCGAGAAAATCATACCAAAATCGATAGTATCAGTCAAGTTTTAGGTCACAAGAGAAAAAATGTTTTAAAAAAGCGAGGAAAAAACGTGAAAATGTCCCGAACTTCGGATAAGCGTTAAAAATGCTTTTGATTGTGTTTCAATCATTCAAAGACGTCTATAGATGTTGTAGAAATTCATGATTTGGCTTCAAAGCAGATAAATTACAATTGTCTGTAATTGTACAATACTCGTGAACACACTATTTACGTGTTCGCTTCAATTTTAATATTTTTTCGCAATATGTTTTATTATCGCTGACGAATAATATTTTGTTTTTTCGGTTAGAATTTCATATAGAAATTCTATACACTTTGCTTAATCTGCGTCAATGAATCAACAACAACGAAATTATTTTGTCAGCTTTATTGACTTTGGAAAGGCCAACATTTTTACAATGAATACCTCAAGATGATGAGTAGCAACACAAAACTGCTGTCTAATGTAACATTCAAGTGTTAACCCGTATCGGTTAAAAAATTAGAATTCAGACATTACTAACTAAATATTGGGAGATTTCAAGTGTCAAAGAAAATCGATTCCATACATTTATTTGCGTTTAAAATAAAAAAAGATTTAAAATCATATAATTTACTGATTCAGTCAAGTTTTCTTGATTTTGCAAGTAGATCTAGCGAGGAGATTATTTGTATTGAATAGTCCTTGGGACATTGGATCATTCATGTAATACGATTTACTAATGCAATGGAGTCCTCGTAAACTTGCGCCAGGTGAATCACAGTACGTACAGGTGAAAGAAATTATTATCAATTATCATTCATTTTTTTTCGTCAAAAATGTCATTTACAATTCGTAAAATTCGTATATGTGATACTCTCGACACAATCATCGAATTTTCAAAATATTTGCCCAATAGTGGAAAAATATGATTACCGTCTTTCTATCTTAAAAATCATATCAATTATCGTTCGTTTATCGTTTATTGTCAATTTTTCGTTCTTGCTGCTCTTTCGAGTTCAACGTTCAATTCATGTTAAAATGATGAATGTAGCATTTTAAGAAAAACCACAAATAATCTCAATTTAACAAATATATCCTTCGAACCACATAAAAAAAGTCAAACGGACCCAAATCTTTCATAACCTAGAAATCCGAAGATTTCATAAATCGATAGCATCGTATAGATAGCATTAATCTAATAAGTCATTCAAATATTTCCAGTTAATCATTCGTTTTGGAATCCGATTAGATACGTTCACAGCATTTCTTTCATATTTAATAATATGCATGGAATATCTATTAAAATTGTATAATTTTGGTAATTTGAATGCATATGTACGGTTGCTTTGATTTATAAATGTTGTTGCATTGGTATTATTGAATAATTTCCATTACGTCTAGTCGAGTCTTTTTTTTCTAGTGTGAAATCCCATCGCCTATCGCTTCATGAAATGTAATGCATAGCAAAAATGGCGACAATAACAGATTACTTATATTACGGGCACAGGGTATGCCCATGTCTTGTGTGAAGAGTGAAAAAAAGGTCATCAGTTTTTTTTCTCAACATTAAAATGTGTGTATGGTAAAAATTGTAATGGAAGGCATGAAACATCTGATAATCAGCAGAGCCGACTACGTAATCATGAAGGAAAATTTGGAAATGTTTGAGTGGCCACGTGCAAACGCTGAATGATGCTTTTCTCAATATTATCTTTTTCGTTTTTTTTATTTTATTTTTTCTTTGACATTTTTTTTTTCAACATCAACTAAGGTTAAAAAATGTTTTACTTGTTTCTTCGAAAAAGAGAATTTTATATTTTAAAATGCAGTCGCTTTTATACTAATTTAATTCCTCTTCAAGTATTTGAATTGTGTTCAATGGTTATTTTATTCATTGGTCGTCTTTGTTTTGTAATATGTGTCTTTTTCAGTTTATTTAATAAAGAATTCATGCATTCAAAAAGTCAGCCGTCATACAGTTAAGAGATAACAAAAAACATTGCGGCATTTGAAACTCATTTAAAAAAAAAATTACTTAAAAATCAAAGTTCTGACTTTTCACTTCCTTTTCGGGTTGATAGGTCATCGATTCTTAACTCATTATCACCGTTTCCAAGTCAACAATTTCAAAATTATTGAAACATAGGCAGAGCAAACCGAATAGGGTAAATGAATAAGAATGTACAAAACAAGCGGCTCAGATAGCGACAGTATTCGAATTTAAAATGAAATGCGAAGCAATTTATTGGATTTATTTTTGTCACAAGAGACGTGTGCTGCTGTTCTTAAAATATTCTATATATGCAAAATCCACTAATACAGACATTTACTGAACACTGAACACAACATCACAGCATTTCTCTTTGGGTGTCTTTTTTTTATTCGTTCCTATTTTCACTAACTTTTCAGTCACCCATACACAGGCAACATTGATCAACGATTTGAAATCACGGAATTTGTTGTTAAAACTGTTGAAATGTATGAAATCTATATCAGCTGAGCTCTGCAAATGGATTTTATTGTCGCCTCTCTTTTACACAATTACCGAATATGTATATTTTTTTATAATGCACAAATTTTCGATTTAAAAATCGAAATCTGAAAAAAAAATATTTTTTGTTGGACATTTTCTACCACGAAAATATCAGTTCCGTTTAAGTCATTGTCAATCGTTTGAATGTTGTGAACAGAATGACGCAATATATTAAAGAAAATTGAAATGGCGTTGGAACTATGTCATTTTTCCTTTTCAAGTCATTCATTTCGTCAATAAAAATGAAATTTTACAATACATAGCAATTCATATTGTCGAACAATGCCGTTGTTCGGAATTGTGAAATAAGTCGTGTATGTTGTTTTCAGTGGGTTTTTTTTTGTCAATTTCATTTTAAAATTGGAATACAGAACAAAACAAAAAAATAAATAAATACGTGGGTAGCTCCGAAAATTTTGAGAATGGGTATTTTCTTCAATTGCATTTTGCGATATATTTATATATGTTAGATCATGTAGCTGATTTTCTTATCTCAAAAAACCTAGTGCGTTTCTATTACTGCAAATAGTATGTACCCTTATGTAAACTTAATTTTTATAATTTTTTAACCACACTTATATACCAATTTTTATCATACAACGAAAAAAAATGTGATTCTGAAGCATAGGCCTACTCAAAATGTTCTATATTACATACATAAAATAGATAGAATCATGTTATACGTGTATCTGAAGGAATCAGGTTATGCTCAATGTTTCATGCATAAAGTGACAAAAAAATTTGAATTTAAGGAATTTTCAAAAATTGTCAAGAAAATTTCAAAAAAAAATATCAGTGAATTTGAAGAGATAGCTTGAAACAAAAATTCCGATGAGTAGTCCAGTAGATCAATTTTTTAATTGAATCAATGCGATGAAAAAATAGCTCTTCAAATTTAGTTACAACAACAAATTTATGCAAAAAAAACTATGTTATAATATTATTTGGAGCAACGAAAACTATTATTTCTTGAGTTTTCACTCATATCAAAATGCCATGTTTTTGTCGATCAATTTCGGCTAAATCTGAGTACCATGATCTCGTTTGATATTTGCAATTGGAAATCATCGATTCTCACATTTTTTGAAGCAACCCACGTATAATTCGCTTTCTACTCATAGGGTAAACGCCAATTTCTACGACATTACTCCGCAATATATTCAAACGACGAACTTATTGTGTGCATCGAATTTTTTTTTCCAAGTACACATTTTTATGGAATTCACACCACCAAAGTAAGAAAAAGTGTGTACGATGAAATTGTATAATCCTATATGAGGGTACCGTTATATGTAGGGACAATTCAATGAAAATATTATTTCCGATTCATTTTTACTTTTTTTACACGATAATTTTGATTATATGCTTGATCATGAGCTGAAGGAAAGTATTACGGTGAGCCTACTTGCCCGTTTTGATAATCTGATATTTCCAATAAAAAACTTAAACGAAACAACTCATGGTGTTTTATTATAAAATGAGTAAAGTTTTACTGTTTACTTAAAAAAAAATCTAACTTGAAAATGGTCATTGCATAACTTTCTTCACAAATAAATTCCGTATGTTGTATATACAAGATTGCACTTCTTTGTTAAAGATTCGATACTTTCCACATTTTTCTACATATTGGAAAATATTGAGAAAACACTTTGAAAGTTGAGTTTGGTTCAGAAGTTTCGAATTCATTCATATATGAAAGTGACTAGTTTGGAAAAGGTAATGTTTTTTTTTTTTTAATTCGAGAGCAGCAGAGAAAATGGTTGAAAAGGTGACGGTAACTTAAAGGTCGAGAAGGTAACGTATTTGTCTTCTACGGGCATATTTAGTCGAAAAAAAGCCATAAAATAATTCGGAAATGGAAAATAGTTCAAAAGAATACTTTCGTAATTTTTTGTTTAAATCTTGGTTGTAACTATAGCCAAAACAATTGTTCATGCTTCTGAGATTTAGGTAGGTGTACATTTGTATTCACCGATTCATTTAATATGACCTATTATATCTATAAATACATAGAGCGACATAGGGGATCTCTAGCTTAATTCTTTCATTCTTTTTTTTATTTTTAAAATAGATTCGTTGAATATCGTTGAATCGTCGCAGAACTATACTATGGATTGAAACATAGCACGATCAATACAACCGCACATATATGTAAAGAATGTGTATTCTTTGTGCACAAAATGTGATTCTTCAACGAAAAACATATATTAGTCTGTAACGTTCATTAGATTCAGCACATTTTTTCAATGTATTTTTCCTATAAAATCCTTATCCGTTTAACGCATGGGTGCTGATTTTTTCCAAAATTATTATTTCCAAAAGATTTTTGTTACAATGGAACATGATTGTATACATCCTTCAATGGATTGGCCAACAAAATATTAGAGAGAGAAAGAGAGAAAGAAAGAAAAAAAATGACCAAAATCACGTAATTAAAAATGTTTTGTTTTTGTTTAGTACTGTTTTAAATTGCTAGTGAATGATGTTCCCCCATTTGTGTTTGATTATTTGATTTCATGGATGTCAAAATATATACATAACAAAAGATAAACTGAACGATCACATATAACAAGTGTGTGTGTGTGTATGTGTTATTATTATTTATTTTTTATTTGTGGATTTTGTTGCAGTATAGTACCAAAATAACATGGAAGTTCGTTGTCTATTGTCAAAATTGTAGAACAATCAAACGATATTTTGAACAGAAACTTCAACATAAAAGCATACACACAATTTTATCGCAATCAATTTGTTTTTAAATAAAATAAAAGAAACTTGGGAAATAAAAATAGTGCGATCATGGCTTGCTGTACGGCCACCGAGGCAATTCGATTACCAATCGAAATGTCACACCAAAGTGAAATTATAAAGGTGAGTCGAAAATGTCAATCAAATCAATTTGCTGTTGTTGTTGTTGTTGTTTTTTTATTGATTTTTAGATTTTATCTAAAAAGGATCTCACCCGGTTTTGGTTCATTTTTCTCGTGACCAAAACTTGAAAATGACCCGTAAAAATCCGATTAAATAACAAAGCTCATTTACCCATTCTGAAAGCCATATTGTCATTTACGTCGGCCATTTTTTAACAATAAAATTGATAATAAATAAACGTAATAAAAAATTTGGGGAAGAAATGCGATTCAGAATTCGAGAAGATTGAACAGACTCACGGAAAATGTGAAGGGAAAAAAAGAAATTCATCACACTGGTGTCTGACTCCTAGCTAAGAATTTCAAACATATTGCATTATACGATGCAATAAAAATCGACACCTAAATGGGTATCCCTCCTAAATTTAAAAGCAACGAAGACGATCCAATGTCATTTTTTAAATTTTGTTTTTTTTCTGTTTTTTTTTTTTTTGTTTTGGTCGAAATAGCTATTTTTAAATAGTTCTCACTGTATAAACCCGCGACTGCAGCACATTTTTGACTCAAACACCACACTGAACTGTATATAGATTTCTCGTTCTCTCCTTCTTCATTCTTATTTCATTGCTTTCTCCATTTCTTGTCACTTTCGACTTAACGTCCATACACACATTCTACCTCGCTTACTTTGTACATGTATACAAAAATTTACAATTTATTTTAGCTCCGACTAAAAGATATAAACACCTTCTGCACACACTATTTTCAAATAGTTTATTTTTGATTTAAAGCTGTCACATGGGATATATATTCAAATAACAAACACAATAGTGAAACAATCCAAACGATGTTTTCTATTTTTTTACAACAACAACAAAAAAATAACGTTTCATAAGGTTCTGTAAATAGTTCACATTTTAGTTCCCACTTGTGTATATAAAAAAAATATGCAACCTGACAGGCATACCATGCTGCACACGGAATGCGACAAAACTTTGTTTGTGTGCTTTGAAAGTGTTTTGAAGGAAATGTTTGTTTGAAATGACATTTTACAGGATCAAAATGTGTACACTGAAGATCATGAGATGATATTCCAAGTTTTTCCATGAAGTGTGCCATCGCAAAAGCGGCAATGAACTTCTACAAGAATAATGGACACCATATTTTGGCTGTTTATGTGTAAAAAGGATTGAGATTATTATAAAATTGATTTATCGCGAATTTTCGCATTTGAGAAAAAGTATTTGGGAAATGTTCCGGTATTTCTTCAAAATGTCCCTTGAAACCACATTGAAAATCACCATCTTTCTTTGTCTATTTTGAATTGGTTTTTACCTTTCTTTGGCAATCGAAATCGTTTGGCTGCTCTATAATTACTACATAAAATCTTCTTTATACTTGTAATGAATGAGAGTGAGAGTGCGAGATATGTAATATGCTTAAAAAAAATTCTCTTTATTTTTCCAGGGAAATGAGCAAATACATTCATCGAAATTTTTCAAAGATTCAAAAAATGGAATGTTCATAAGTTTTCTGAGCGATGATGCCCGTACTTTGTATGAAACATTTCGACGTGGATCTTATGAATCGAACAATGGACCATGTTTAGGTTGGCGTGATAGCGTTACATCAAAATATCAGGTATTTACATCGAAATTTATGCTTGAAATTCATGCTAAACGAACACACATACTTGATCAAGGTAGAAATTTAAGCGGGATTAATTAAAAAAATATCGAGAGGTGTAAGTAAAAGATCCGATTGTAAGCATAGACAAGACTCGGAAAAGATTGATTACTGGGGGAGACGAGAATTTCGCAAATTGTAAGATTTTTCTCTCGGAAATGCCCCGAGCTAATCTCCCCTTTTAAACCTAGCTGAGCTAAAAAAAGGTCTTCAGTTTTCGAATAAAAAATCCTAGAAATTTTAAAAAATTCTTTGAAAATTTTTAGGAGGTAAACCAACGTCAAGGGTTAATCGGATCTCTCCGACTCCTATTGATCAAGTATGCCGAAATCCGATAATATCAAGATGAAACAATGATAAGCGTTCCGATTTCGTTGCATTTCAAGCACCAACATTTTTTCAATTTGTTTCCTTTCAGTGGATGACATTCAACGAAACATTATTAAAAGCGAAAAATTTTGGATGTGGATTAGTTAATCTTGGTGTACGTCCTCACGATTTGGTTGGAATATATTCATCAAATAGACCGGAATGGACGTTATTTGAACAGGGAGCCTACTGTTATTCACTCGTTGTTGTTGCACTTTATGATACACTTGGACCAGATGCATGTGCTTTCATAATAAAACAAACCGACATGTCAACAGTTATCGTTGAAGACGACATAAAAGCAAACATGATATTGGATAAAGCACCACATGGTTTGAGGCGATTGATTACCATTACGGATTCCATTCGTTCTGCAACTATAACACGTGCTAAAAATCGGGGTGTCGATTGTTTCACTTTTGACGAGGTATGCTTATTTCATCATTATTCATTCATTACTTTATGATAAGTTTCATTTTTTAAAAATATCATGAAGTGTATAAAGTGTTTATCTGCCAAATGTTGTTCTTTTAAAGCTTAATACAAAACTATAACAGCTATAATAATTCTATTGAAAATCTTGCAAAAAATAAAGTTGAGATGAAATTTTGAATCAATCTCATTTACTTAATTCGGCCATTTTTGTAATTGTAAACATCAACCTCACTCAATCAACAATGCACTTTATGTAAAAATTGAGACGATGATGCAATCGATCAATTTTAAAATATTAACTATGCTGTCACTTTTGAAAACAGTCTGACAAACGTATGGCTCATTTGACCTTCAGCATCATTGTAATGTGACTAATAATGAGTAATTTGACTAAGATGCAAATTAATAATAATTATTAATTCAATAACAGAAATTAATAAATAAATTACTGAGCTGCAAATATGTGTTCGATCGATGATTGTTTCTTTTTATTGATTGAATGCACTGTCAAAAAATTTGCAGGTTGAGAGAAGTGGATCCAAGCAAGATCATCCGGTTGTTCCACCAAATCCAGAAGACATATGTACGATATGTTATACGTCAGGTACAACTGGCAATCCCAAAGGAGTCACACTCACACATCAAAATGTGGTTGCCGCAATGTGTGCGGTGCTTTTACAATTAGGTAAATTATTTAACATTGTCATAGAATAAGATGTCAGTCACAAAAAATGACAACACATATTTCCTTTGAAAACACTTGACGGAATACATATGCGTGCGCAAACTCGAACAATTTTCAAATATATACAGCAATCTATGTTGTATGTAATAATTATGATGCTAAAGGGTCATTACGAATGAGTGTCGATTTGCAAAGTCACGTCTATTTTCAAAAGTGACATCAACAATCAAGTTGGTTCTCTTTAGCGCATTATTTTGAAATTATTCTCACTTTCGAGAATCGTAAAAATTACACAAACATTTTCACATCAATCATAACATTCTATAATTAATGACTACTTAGATTTTCACCTAAGCAAAACTGATGAATCAAACAATTGAATTTCTCGAATTTCTAATTTATTTATTGTATGTTAGGCGATCAACGTCCGCGCTATGGCGATATCATGCTATCTTACTTGCCGTTGGCACATATGCTTGAACGTTGCTGTGAAAATGGGATTTTCTATTCTGGTGCAGCCGTTGGCTTTAGTTGCGGTAATATTCGAAACTTGACCGATGACCTAAGAGCTCTGAAACCAACAATTATGCCAGCAGTACCACGACTATTGAATCGCGTTTACGATACACTCATGAGCGATTTGTCCGGATCACCTTTGAGAAGGCTTCTTTATAATACCGCACTTAAAGCCAAAGAATCGGAACTAAACCGTCAAATCATTCGAAAAAATTCAATATGGGATAAATTAGTCTTTCGAAAAATTCAAGAGTGTAAGAAACTTTTGATTCAAATATCTTAACCAAACACTGGATGTTCGAACAAACGATTCAAAAACTATTCACATTTCAGCATTTGGCGGTAATCTTCGTCTTATGATCGTGGGCTCAGCACCGTTAGCCGGGAATGTAATGACATTTATGCGGTGCGCATTAAGCTGTATAATTGTTGAAGGCTATGGACAAACAGAATGTACGGCTCCGGTCTCATTGACAATATGTGGGGATTCCATTCCAGAACATGTTGGACCACCCGTTGCCTGCTGTTGCGTAAAGGTATCATATGATATTTAGATTTTGACATTTTGATTTTTTGGCATAATGTTAATATTGAATCATCTCCAATACAAAAGTCAATTCGGTGTTAAATATCTTATTATTTGTTTTTACTTCAAATAGCTGGTGGATGTGCCTGAGATGGAATATTTCGCAATTGATAACCAAGGTGAAGTGTGTGTTAAAGGAACAAACGTATTTCGTGGCTATTATAAGGATCCAGAGCGTACAGCTGAGGTTATCGATTCATTCGGTTGGCATCATACCGGCGACGTTGGCATGTGGTTGGCCAATGGCACTCTCAAAATTATCGATCGACGAAAACACACATTCAAACTTAGTCAAGGGGAATATATAGTGCCGGACAAAATTGAAGCAATTTACGTGAAAAGTCAATATATTTTACAAAACTTTGTTTACGGTGAAAGTTTGAAGGTAACTTCGTTAATTTATAAACACTTGAAATCAAAAAAAAAAAAAAAAAAAAAAAAAAAAAAAAAAAAAAAAAAAAAAACAAAACTATCCAATTTTTTCATTTATTGTTTGCTAAAATTTTAGCAACATGCAAAATTGTAAAAATGTCCAAGGAATGGATGAATTCAACATCGAAGTAGTGATCAATACAGTTGTACTCGATGTTTGTCTTCGTGATTTCAATTCTTATCTTTTGTTTGAACGTCCCTTAAAGTTTGTCAAAATCGGAGCAGGGTTTCATTTTTACAAAAAAAAAATCCAAAACGAGGTTATTAAACTCTGATTCTGAGTTGGCACCTCTTTTTGGTCTTCACTTCCGAAATCTTATTATAACTAGTGTAAGCTTCGTCTCCCAAAAAATGGGTAAACCTTAAAAAAGACTTCACTTTCAAAATTATTACGAAAAAATGTCCAAAGTAAAGGGGTAATATCCGCATCTCTAGGGATAGTTCAATCCCTCGGATCAGATCATTTTTTTTTAATTATTAATTTTCTAAATATTCTTTTCAGAGTGGTATTGTTGCCATTGTAGTACCTGATGTAGATGTACTTAAAAGCTGGGCTAAAGAAAATCATATACCCGGAACACTGAGCGTACTTTGCAGCCATAAAAAAGTAAAGGAACTCATTTTGAACGATATGCTTTCTTGGGGTAAACAAAATGGCCTAAAATCCTTCGAACAGGTAGTGCTCATAATGGATTGATCGTTTCAAAATGTCGATTTAAATGTGGCGGTTCTTTTTATTCTAGGTTAAAGATATTTATCTTCATCCCGATCCATTTTCCATTCAGAATGGTTTACTTACACCAATGTTCAAACTGAAGCGACCACAAATCAAAAATTATTTCAAACCACAGTTGGACGATATGTACACACATCTGCCTTGAATATCTTTTACTTTAGTAGCTGAAATTAGCCTCATATTGTTTAAAAAAATATTGTAAATCAAATAAAGCGAGCTGTGTCGGCGTTTGTATGGAGTCTGTGCCATACACTAACACTTTTATTATACGTACTAATTCTTGTTTACACTTGAACTACACAGGCGTTTCTAGAAAGAAAATGATTTCTGTAATTGTTTGAATGGCACTCAATGAAATTTCGATCATAGACATGTACATCACAACTTGTTTCTATGCCAAAGGTATCACAAAAGTCGGAATTCTATGAAATTCAACAATAAATTTGAATGGTCAACGAGAATATTTTCCAGCAATTTTTATGTGTTCTTTTTGTATAGCGAGGCTTAGGTGTGAATAGCATAAAGTTTATATCAATGATAATATATGTATGAAAAATTCTTCAAAAAAAACTATGACAAACAGTCAGCATCTTTATTTTTTTGCTCTAATTTAAACTATAAGACAAACAAAAAAAAATATATCAAAATGACAGAATATCACTAAAATTCAGCCAAAATATTGGGTCTGCAAATAAGTTTTAAAGGATTTTTTTAGTGAAAATGAACGTTTATTTTAAAGAAACCGTACGATGTTTCGGCCATCGTTAGCCTCTACTTTTTATCATATTTCTGGCAACTTTCGGATTCCGCGTCGAAAGAACCGTTCGTTTTTTCCGCTTATCTGGTAACCGAGTTATTTACAGACAATATATTGAACCAACTGGTCAGTTGAGCTGACAGTACGTTAGCCAGCTAAATGGACAAAAACAATAGAAGTTATTGTTATAATGAACAATCACTTCTATTAAAACAAGAGAAGTGATTCATCATTAAAACAATAACGTATATTGTTTTAGCCCATTTAGCTGGCTAACGTACTGTCAGCTCAACTGACCAGTTAGTTCAATATATTGTCTGGTTATTTACGAAAATGAATCCATTTGTAAATTTTGAGCAACATTTGAACTCAACCACTTCCAAAATTTGTGAAAAAACGTGGATGAGAAAAATATCGATTCTAAGGTAATTTTTCATGCTGATTCTGAATTTCGGGGTTTCAGGCCAAAAAAATCATGTCTTGGGGGTTTTGACCCCCGACCCCCTTGTGGTCCCCCGGGTGGGGGGACTTGGAGGCGGGGGTGGAAGCGAGTAAGCTTTGAGCAGGTTGCTAGGTTGGAGGGCAAGGGTCCTGAAAAATTTCTCTCGTCATTCTAAACAACATTATTTTTTGATCCGATAAACTTTTGAAAAATTTGGGGCACCCCCACCCCCCTGGGGAAAAATTCAAAATTCCAAACCGATAGAAATTTTTTATGTTTAACCCCCAACATACCTTCCAAAGGGTTTTTCAAAATTCCCAACCCCTAAGAGTGAGCCTATTATATGTGCCACCCTGTATATATAATATCGAGTACATCACTGCTTTCCTGACTTTCTGCTATTTCTTTAATTGTTTTTTTCGATCCCACGCGGTTTAACCAGAGAAGCAATTGCTAAATTTCATATCTATAAAATCGCATAAAAAAATTCAAGCACAAGCTTTACTTTTACATTTAGGACGGCAATTTTAGGTTTAGCAATAGAGTTCTTGGCACCTCCACTGGAATACCGTATAAAAAATACAGAACAAAATACAGATATTTTTTAGAAAACGATTTTTTATTTTTACGCAATTGAATTTTATACAGAATCTTACAATTAAAATTTCTTCGTCGAATAAAATGTAATTTATTTTCAGTTCTGAAAGACAATTTTACGAACAGAAATTATGTTTTCTTAGTAAAATTAATTTCGAATTTGTTTGGATCTATTTGAATATATGTTATAATTCCCATTTTAAGTCAATATATTTTTTATTATTGAAATATATTTGTCCACAATAAAATACTAATACACAATATATATAAAGTCAACTGAAACGTAAACGTCAGCTCAGTCTTTGCTAACAAAAAATAATAATAATTAAAATATGTAAAACTAAAACTAATGTTAATTTCAATATGTCTCTTCGAAATATATTACAATGCAAGTGAATTACGTGATTGCACACATATACATGTATATGTATCGAGTGAATCACTGCTTTTTTGACTCTCTGCTATTTCTTTAATTGTTTTTTTTTTTTGTTGATTTCAGTTTCTGATCCCATAACGAATCTTTAGGGTGCTATCACATGTTCATTTAAAAAAACTATTTTTTTTTTCGACATACATACATCTCTAAATAACGATTCCCTTGTCATTTTATTATTTCAAGAGAGAAAAAAACCGTCTCCATATATGCAACACAAGATTTCTTAAGTTTTGTTTGGATAACAATAAAATCGGCTAAGTTTTCGTTAAAGAAAATGTCGAGTTTTCTTAATAGGCACATTTCTTTGCTGGACTTGGCAATTAATGTTTCGATCTAAAAAAAAAAAATTCAAAAATAATCTCTTGGTTGTTTTAATTTACAAAATGGATTTTAGTTTTTGAGTTGAGGCGATGGTGGTGGTGGTGAGTATGTCGAACTGGATACGGATCGAATGGGCGATGGTGTGGAAGGGCTCTCTGGTGCTTGATGACCATCCGAATGATAATGTGATCGTGGTGTTGGCGGTGGTGGACATGGTTCACGATCATAGCAATACCGTGCTTTTCTTAAACTATTGCTATTAATACTTCCTGTGCCATTGCTGGCCGTTCGCAGGATATTAGTTCGATAGTCGTGCGGATCACATGACAATGGTGATCGAATACGCGAATGCGTTCGATATTCATCACTTTCATCGCAAAAATCGGTTGTTTCGGCTGGCGATGGTGGTGGCGGTTTATTCACTTTTTTATAATGTCGATTGTACGGTCGATGGCTATTTGCACGTATTGTCTCTGGACTTGGTGGTGGATTAATATATCCAATGCTGCCGTTTGTTGTTGAGCTCGATGCACCCGTAATATTATTTCGATCATAACTATTTGCGACGGTGTTTCGACTATTTAGCGTTGACATTCGTACATTGTCTGATACAGCCGTAATTTTTGATACATGTGTTGGTTTATGTGTGGCTGGTGATAGTGGGTCCATTGCTTGATCATCTTTGGGTTCATTTACAGCACCCGCTAATTTGGTGCGACAAATTTGTGTTCGTCGTACATTTGTGTATGCAATTAAACATACTATTATTACGACAACAAAAACACCAACAAATATTGTTTTCTTATCGGATGGTGGTGGACGGGGTTTTTTCTGCATGCTACATATTTCCTCCGATTCGTCAGCACTTTCTGGACAATTATCCCATCCATCGCATAGCAATGCGGCTGAAATGCACACCTGTGATTGAATTTGCAAAAATAACACACAATTAATGTTGTTTCTATTGGCTTGAAGGTGAGTCGGACATACCTTATTACTTGGACATTGGAAATCTTGTGCTCGTTTACAGCAATTCGCTTCATCATGACCATCAGAACACTATAAAAATATAGTTGAAAATCATTTTGAATTTTTATTTGTAAAATAAAAAAAATATATATATTCATTTTTCTGGTGCAATGAACTTACATGTGTCGTTCCATCACAAACTTGATGCTTTTCAATACATTCGCCAGATGTACAACGGAATTGATCTGGCCGGCACGACGGACAACCAACTTCGTCCGATTTATCGGGACAATCTATGAATAAACGATAAAAAAATATATTATTTTAATTTATTATTTCAGTCTAGCCTTCAGCCAATGTGATCTTACCGTTTTGTCCATCGCATCGCCAACTCGATGGAATGCAATCTTTATTAAGATCAGAGCTTGAATTCTCATCAGATGTTCCATAAACTGGTGCCGCACATGTGAAATGATTTGGACCACATGCTGGCAATGCACCACAACTGTGTTTATCCTGAAGCAACATTTGACCTTGTGGACATGAACAAATGTCCGTTTCGGTTTTCGAATATTCAGCAATGCAGAAATGTGAACACTTTGCACGATTCGATGAGCATGTATGATTTCGAATCATTTTCATGTCAGGCATGGAAACGGCCACAATATCGGTTATTTGAAGTGCGCGTTGTGTTAATTCAGCACGTCTTCCGTCGCCGGTTATAGTCACACGTTCAACACCAGCCTTTTCATCCAACCAATAGCAATAACCTTGAAGCGCCGCCAATGATACTACCAAACTCACATGCGTCGATACCAAATTTCTCCTGTTACCAAAAAAAAAAAAAAACGATTGAATCATGGTTTGAAAAAGTTTGAACAGAAAAAATTGAATTTTTAAAGAACATTGTTTACAACAAATCACTCACTTATTGCGTCCATCGAGATCCATGACATCGATACGCTTGTTATAGGCATAGAAAAGAAGATCCAAGTCTTGATCAACAGCAATAGCAGCAATTCCATCGAGTTTAATTGCCAAAGTAAGACGATCGGCACCATCAATACGGGAACGATAAATCGATTGTTGACTTCCAACATCCGTCCAAAATAGTAAACGTTTCATCGAATGGACGGCAATGCTTCGTGGTTTTTCGGAATCGCCAATATCAACTACACCCAATTCCATACCATCCAATCTGAAATTTGATTAAATTATGAATATATACAAAGAATACAAGAAAGAAATTAAAAAACAAACAAAAAATTAAACTCTCAAAATGTTTCTCTGTTTCCCGGTTTTAATTTTCCGTACACACCTAGTGTGTAAGGGGAAAGTATTTGAGGTTGACACGTAGTTTGTAGAAATTTCCATTTATTATTAGTTTCCAAGAGTAAATTTTGGAGAATAAATGTAAACTCTGAAAAAATAAGTAATTAAGGAGAAACAAACCTTGTAACATTAATTGTATTCATAGAGGAACATGACCAAAACAGCAAACGTCCAATAGTATCGATGGCAATGTCAAACAGTTGTGCTCTGGGTCCAATGAATATATTGCCTTTAGTTCCATTATCAAACGATCGTCGAATGCTATGACCTTTGGCTTCAATCTATTTTTAATTTTTTTTAAATTAATATCGAAATTTTTATCAAATTTTTAAATTTCATTACCCAATAAATGGTATGATGAATGGGATCATATTCGATGGCTCGAATATTTTTGCCCAAAACTGGTATTGGAGCATCAGGAGCATCGCTAGCATTCGTCAATAGTCGTCCAAATGAGTTTTTCTGACTGAAGATAACATAGTTTTTGGGTGGAATGCACGACATACCATCTTTTGCAAGTACAAAATGTGTTGGACATGCACATATTTTACCGCGTCGTCCTGGCAACGCAAGACATAAATGTTGACATCCACCATTATTCTCATGACATGGATTTGTGCCATTTTGTCGATTCTTATGATAGACCAATAGTGAACTTGTATAATCTAAATTGCTATGAACTAGAGTTTGATTGGTGCCCGAAACTTTGTTTGCACGTTTAATATCGCCCGACATCCATTCGCTCCAGTATACATAGTCTTGAAACAGTGTAACTGCATACGGTCGATCAATGTCAGCGGTAACAAGTTTTTGTCGATTTTTACCATCCCAATCAGCCGATTCGATGGCCGATGGTCTGGACGATGCCCAATATAAACGACGTGTATCCATATCAATTGTAAGACCGGATGCTTGATTTGCACCAGAAATAATTGTTAACAAATCCGAACCGTCTAATGCCGCACGACGAATCGAATCCGATGGCCATTCCGACCAATACATAAAGCCTTTTGTTGGTTCCAATACCAAACTGCGTGGCTCTTCGATACCTTTCCATAATAGAATACGTCGACTGCTACCATCTAATCGTGTTACTTCAATACGTGTTGCTTCCGAATCTGTCCAATAAACATTGCGTGCAATCCAATCGACAGCTATACCTTCCGGTCGTATAAGTCCCGAATCGACAATTTTTTGAACATCTGAACCATTTATAAATGCACTTAAAATACAACGTAACCGTTGATCAGTCCAATAAATTCGATTTTCATACACATGCACATCAATTGAATGTGCATCACGAAGATCTTTGAATGGAATTTTATAGTCATTGTGATTGTCTTCGTTGTAATCGATTGATATGCGACCAATGCTACCGAAATCAAGTGATTTTCCCAAACCAGATGGATTTCGTGAAAATAATAAAAATGCTGATGGTTTTATGCAGGTTCTTTTATCTTTGGCCAATTCATGATCGATTGGACAACGGCACACATAATCGGTCGGTCGATTCAAACATAAATGCGAACAATTACCATTTTTAATTGCACACGGACTGGTGCCTTTTATTTCCTTTAATCGTACCACTTTTAAGCCCATCAAATCGGGATACTGATCGAGAACTGTAACACGATCATTTCCGGTAATTTTATTTGCACGATCGATTGAACGACGTTGCCAATCCGTCCAATATAAATATTCATCGAGAATACTTAATGCAAATACATGCGGTAAATTTTCACTTATTATTGTACGTCGTGCATAACCATCATGATCTGGATCCATGTTTTCAACTTCAATTCGATCGGTTTTTGCATCACACCAATAGATTTTTCTCGCTTCAATATCAAGTGCAATGCCATTCGGCCAACCCAAATTTATTTCAACTAGTGTCGTTCGTCCCGAACCATCCAATGCGGCCCGTTCAATTTTCGGCTTTTTCTCATTCCAATCACTCCAAAACATCCATCCCAATGACGGTGCCAATGCAATTGCTCTTGGTTCGTCCAAATTTTCATTGATTATTACTTTTCGATGTTCACCATTCAAGCGACACACTTCAATGCGATCGGTTCCGGTGTCCGTCCAATACAAATTTCTTGCCAACCAATCGATGGCCAAACCATCGGGATGCTCAATTTCAGTTGTAATGATATCCATTTGACCGGTACCATCAAGACGTGCCTTCCGAATTGCATGCACCTCTTCATCCGACCAATAGATATAACCATCGACTGGATCGTAATCGATTGCAATGGCATATTTTACACGACCCAATGATAAACCGTACACAGTGTAATCGGGTGAATCAAGTGATATACGACTGACTTGGGTACGTTGCACCAAAAATAGCATGTCTTGTGTATCGTCGGCACATTTTGTTGGTGTTATCAATTTTATACCGGTCGGACATGCACCTGAAAATTTCATATTGAACATATTATTATTAAAATGTTGATTGTGTAAAATCGATGTTTGAAATGATGAAAACGATGATATTTCTAACTTACATGTGAAACCAGCTGTTGAATTTGATAACAAACACAAATGTGAACAATTGCCGTTGTTGTGCTTGCATGGATTGTCACCATGTGGCTGTAAACGTTCGTCCCACACGTGAATAACCAACGGTACATCCGGTGTATCAATCAGCTCACGTGTTTCGTTCGTATTCAAATCATGCGTATGAATCGAACCAATTTTCCAATCGGTCCAGTACAGACGATTATGAGTCGGAGACACCGTCACACTGTAAATAATTGCAATATTTGTTTAGTAAAAGTTAAGAATCTCGTTTTTGTTTTAAATATCTTACCTATATGGATATGCAACGTCTTTAATATCTTTAACCAGTGTCCTACGATTCGATCCGTCAAGATTCATGACATCCAGAAATTTTAGATTGCCATCAACCCAATAAATGAGCTCTTTTTCAATGTCAACCGTTAGTCCATTTGGCCAAAAAATATTTTCTCTAACTAAAGTTCGTCGTGTGCTTGGATCACCGTCCATCGCTGCACTTTCAATTTTTGGATTATCACCCCAATCACTCCAAATCATGAGCGCTTTTGATGGTACCAATGCAATGGCACGCGGTTGATCTAAATCCGACCAAAATAGTACCTTTTGATGTTTGCCATTCAATGTGGCCACCTCAATACGATTTGAATCACCGTCCGTCCAATAAATATTTTCCGTGTACCAATCAATAGCAATACCTTCTGGTTTTTCAATGCCAATGCTTATCACATTTTGTATTGTTGAATTTTGATGTGTTCCATTCAATTTCATACATTGTATGCGCTGCAACACTTGATCGGTCCAACAAACCAGTTGTTTTTCATAGTAAAAATCTAAGGCACCCGCTTCTGGTAAATCTTTGGCAATTACTTCAATTGATGATGGCGGCCCATTTTGCCGCGTTATATTTGCAAGCCGAATGTCATGATATGTGGTGAACAGCAACGACACTGGTACAGCAATCGTTTGTGTTATTATGGCAAATACTGAAATATAACAAAATAACATACATAAAGAATGATGAGAATGTGAAATGGACAAAACAAAAAAAAATCATTATTATAATAATTATGATTATCGAAAGGATGTGTTAATTTTATTGAATGAAAAAAAAAGATGACTCTGGGGGGCATGCACAACGTCCTTATTTTGTCATTAAATCGAATTTTATCTTTGCGTACATCACATTGCATCAAATAAATCAGCACTGAAATGACATTCTTTTGATTTAATCTGCATTCGTCGATCAAACTGTGAACCAAGATAAAAACTTACTCAAACAAAACCAGTGTAAAAACAAAACGGACGGATTTTAAATTGCATACATAAATATCTCTTGGATCATAAATACATTCTTTTTTCCTTCTTCCATTTGAAATTTATTCGGTCAAAAATGAAACAGCAGGCATTTGTTTGCTTAATCGTTTCATTTTGAACGGCAGTGTGAGAGAAAGAGTGTGTGAGTTTGTGGTGTATTTTGTACAAAACAAGTTGAGACGATATATGCAAAAAAATATATATATGCGTAAGTGTCGAAAACAAGTAAACGACATCGAACATAAAAATCGATTAAAAGTTTCATTAACTGAAATTGCTGCATTTTTGAATAATAAGAGAGAAAATACGGCACAACAAAAAAAGCGTCCATGTATTGGTAGGCATATGTGTGATTAAATATGTGAGTGATTGAAGAAAAACAAGAGAAAAGATAATGAGAAAATCAGAAATAAGATGCTTTCCATCGTTCCTATTGATAGCACCAGAGGTTATACAATGCACTGCGTCCATTGATCCATCGAAATTGATGCTCTCACAACTTGTGACCAGTGCGTGTTGAATACAAATCGATCGAACACAAAAATAAATATTTTTTTTTATTATTAAAGAAAATGTTATGCTCTACGTTATGAAATGAATAGAGAAACAAACAAAAAACTCAACGCATATAGATTGAATCGAGTCAAACGAAATGCTATGCCATTTCTTTGATAGATTGAGAATCGAGTGTGTACGAAGTAGATGAAGTAAAACAAGGAAGATGCATCTGAACGATTGAATTTGGTGTTTGGGCTCGGCTTGCTTCCTATATGTGTCAAAATGACTTGAGCAAATGAAAAATTACAAAAAATTTTACGAGACAGCCCAGAAACACTGTGATTTCCATAAATTCAAAATGTATTTTTCGTTTGCGCTATGTGTCCGTTCGTTCATACGTCCCTTCATCAACTGCATCGCATTAGCCCTGTTAATATCGCGATATATTTATGTTCTTTTGGCGTTTCTTGTTCACTTGTTATTTATACATTTTTTTGTTGTTGGTGCTGTTGTTCTTTTTTCGTTTGTGGTTCTGTTGTAATTGCTTTGCATTTATTGCAGCCAACAGGCAGTATATACAGAAGAGCGCGAGTGCACATCCGTTGCAAGTGCACATATCAAGATCGCAATGAAATTGGCATATGCAAGGTAAATGAAAAGGAGAGAAAGAGCAAGAGAGAGAGAGAGAAGAGTAAAAAAAGAGGAAAAAAACACAGGCAGATTATTCAGATGCTTTTCGTTTCGCCAAACCCTGTTTATATATTGTTTGCCTCGTGTGTTCGTCTCATATTCATTCTACTTAAAAATTTTAACACCTCATTATGGCAAAGATATAATATGAGTGGTGGCTGGAGTGTGATGTGTGCAGCCAGTCGCTGCTCTTGTCTTTCGTTCGGCTGTGCTGCTTACTCGTGCTCGCACCCAGTGTTGGCACAACGAAATGAGAAATAGAAAGAGAGTAAGAGCAGAAGCGAGACTGCATAAAGAGATGTTGTGAGTGTGTGTGTGTGTGTGTGTGTGTGTGTGTGTGTGTGTGTGTGTGTATTAAAAATATGATATGCATTGTATATCAGAGTTACTGTAGCTCGTTTGCCAAGCCGAAATCACACACTGATTTTGTTAGATTTTTCACAAATGGCCGCTTCAATCGATTTTGTATATTGAATATATGAATGAGGTAGAATAAAAACTACTTCTCGAAAAATTCAAAATAGAAATGGAACCCAAAAAAATTATGAGATTAAAGGAAGTCAAAGAAAAAGTTTCAATAAAAGTGAACTATATATTTTATTTCACACGCCATTGAAAATAATTTTATAATTCACTTCTATTGAAATTTTTTTTAGTATTCGATTTAATCAAAGAATTTTTAACGGGTCCATTTCTATTTACAACTTTATTTTAATTCGTTCTTATTTATTTTTTTATTGGTTGAAAATACGTATGTATGAGAATTGAGAAAAAAATCTGTTCAATGGGTATCACATAGCAAGTTTATATGAAACTCTCGGAGACTCGGTATAGAGCACTCAAACAGTGAAAAAAGTCCAG